CGTCAGATGACCTCAATGCACATCTGATTATATGGCACTTGGTATTTGGGTCCCAAGCTGTGTAAGCCTTTTTCATTGTGAAGAAATCATTTCCTGTGGCTGTTTCCATCGATCATTTCTTTGCTTGGTAATCCGTTCAGCACATGCTGTCGTCTTCTTGCTGATTTGCAGAATGAAAAAAGCGAGGTAGTTTGATTCATGCTCTAGTTAAAAGCACCAATCTTACTGGAAAACCTTCAGAGCTCTCTTGTGAAACTGACAAATAACCAAGTATTCAAACATCTGATTGTGGTTGAGAGGTAGCATCTGCCCTATGACTGACCCATTACTAGTGGACTGTGACAGAACAGGCTGCCCATTGAATGGATGGCTTGTTCTGTGCTTTTCCCTCTGGCAGTTGCCTGCTGTGTCAAGTGCTGCTAGTCTAATGTTTCTAATTCTTCCAGTGAAATGGAGTGCATATAATTATAAAGAACATTAGGCTATATTCCCCCAAAATGGATCCTCACCACCACTACATTTCCATAATACACTTGTCTGCCTCAAGGAAAATGGAGCTAATTGGTTAAAATAGAGACACTAAATTTTCTTGTATGATAGTCATTCTTCACTCTTGCCTCTTTGTGTGCTCCAGTAGTATACACGGTGTTAAGCTGACACCTGGTACTCTACAACAAACCTGCATGTGCTTATTTTGAAGGCAAGCTCTGGGATAGTTGGGGGTGTCTCGTATACTAGTGACTGTGAATAAGGATAATTTATTTAAATGCATGCTGCATTATTGTTCTGGATACCTTGCTTATCTTTTACCACTTGAAATATCGTTGGTGTTTATATCACTTTATTCACCAGTTTATCCACCTAGGAACACAGGAGAATCTGCCTTATACTAAGTCAGACCATTGGTCCAACTAGCCTAGTATTATCAACAATGATAGGTAGCAACTCTTCAGGGCTGACAGGGGTTTCAGGCACCTTGGAGAAAGAGCCAGCAGCAGTACTTTTTAGGGGATTTGGATGTTAGCTGAATCCTCTGTTTATCCCCAGTAAGTGGTTCTTCATTTAGGGAATGTCTTGTTTTGTTTTGTTTTGTATTTTTGGATATACATTTGCCAAGGTGTCTTAACAGTGTTGAAAAAGTAAAATTAAATTTCAATAACATCCAGTTTATAGCAACAGGGAAACTAGCAGAACAAAGCTAGCTTTCAAATAGCGGCAGCTAAGTAGCCACCAGAACCAACAACTCAGGCGTGAAGAGCTTGAGTGTAAGAAACTGTCTTAATATGGTGTCTACAAGCCAAGCAATGGCCCCAAACAAATATGCCTGCAGGAGATTTTCCAGAGTTTTTCTGTGCTTTTCTCTCCCCAGTTGCTGAATTTAGAAAAATATGAATTACACTTTTTGGATAATCAAAGCATAACCTTTGTATGATATATTATTAGTATAAATTAATGTTTACTTGCTTTTGATCAGTCCCTTTTCTTATGTAAAACTTTTCTTCCATTTATTTTTTCTTCTTATTTCCTTTTTACCTTTTAATGAACTGGAGATCCTCTGGAGTCCAGATGTTTAGAACTATAATCTGAACTGCCTTGTTTATATCACCAAGAGGAAGAAAAAGATTGCTTTGTGTATAGGAGTTACATTGCTGTGTAATTGGCTTCTTTCTGAGGTACAACTTTCACAGTCTCTGACTCTGCGACTTGCTGGGGCCAATGGGAATTGTAGTCTAAAACATCTAGAGGTTGGATTAAATGGTGTGGCAGTGCACCACTTAAAGCAGTCTGATTAGAACTGCTGTACCTTCTTTGCAGTAAATTTATTCAGGGGGAGTAATAACAGAATACCATTAGAAGAACTAGAGTCCTTATCAAACAAAAAGAATATACCTCTTTGTGAGTGATGTAGGGAAAAAAGTGCTTGAACTTTAGAAACATTTTTGCCTCACTAGAGGCTTGGCACATAAATTTAAAAAATACTATGCACATACTTTCATATGGTTTGGCTTGCTTTTTCAAAGTGAGTGCTTAAACTTTTTCTGTGGCACATCTATTCAGATGATCATTAAGTGATTGTACTGCTGTGCGCATTATTATACATTTGGCCTTATTGGATTGTTTAATTTTAAGTATTAGGATTAGTAAAGCTGGTATCTTTGCTTCACAAGGCCATTTTCTGTTGTTGGCCTATGCTTTAAGTAGAATCGGGAAGCATTGCATTTGTTGAATTTGGGTCATAAATACTTGGACTGCAGTGAGGTAATGTTCAGTATGTTCATAATATTTCTCTTGCAAAATCAAGACTCGTATATCACTGTCTTAGAAAGCTAGCTAAGAGCCAAACAAGTGATAGAATTGCAAATAATTTTTCACCATACAATCCTAATGTTGTCATTCTCTCTCTCTCTGTCTCTCTCTGTCTCTCTCTGTCTCTCTCTGTCTCTCTCTCTCTCTCGGAATTGAGTTACACCCTGCCTGCCAAACATGTTGAGGTTACAAGGCATTTGGAAACATGATGAGATTTGACACCCTGAAAATTAAATAAGTTACCACAATCAGCTTGTATGTGGTGGTGTTTAAAAATTTGGCAAATTGTATATGACTGAATACCATGTGGATGTTATGAAAATTTAGAGATCCTCTGGCTTTCCCCCTACTTTGCTTCATTATACTAACAACTGTGGTGGTGACAATAATGCTAGGGAAAGTTGAAGGCAGGAGGAGGAGGAGGAGACCAAGCATGAGATGGACCAGTTTCATAAAGGAAGCCACAGCCTTGAGTGTGCAATTGCTGAGCTGGCCTGTCAGGAATAGGACATTTTGGAGAGCACTCATTGTTAGGCTGGCCATGAGTTGGAGACGACTTCTTGCATGCAGCAAGAAGAATGCTGGTAACTGTTGGCTTGGAGCATTTTTTTTTCAAAATTGTACTGGGGTAGTTAAGAAATAAGCAACTTGTAGCACTCTTAGATTCATGCTGTTGGTCTGCAACTCCCATCATTCCTCAACACTGGCTAGTCTGACTAGGACTGATGGGTACTGTGGTCCAACAACTTCTGGAGGGCCACATGCTTCCCATCCTTGGTTTAGTGCAAGGCTGAAACTTTCTCGAGGGCTTTGAAAGAAGGGCAGTTTCGATTAAGAACGTAAGTGCATGCAAACCCAACAAAGGTCTATTCCTGAGGCGGCCAGACTTGCTCAAAGGAAGCGCTGCATATGGTAAATGCCATGTGTTTGAGAGCTGCAAGTGGGTGCCTGCCGTCAGTGGCAGAAGTCAGTAAGCGGCAAGTGGGCACCGGCAGGGGCAAGCGGTGAGCCGCAAGATAAATTCAAAGAACTGCATGCCACTCACAAACGGCAGCTTGGCAGCCCCAGGTCTATTTAGACTAGCATTCTGCTCATAGAAGGGCTAGCCAGCGACCTGTGGGAGACATACAAGTAGGACATGAGTGCAGTCGTACCTTCATGTTCATGTTTCACAGCAAGTGGTATACTGCCTCCAATGCTAGGCTTTGATATATTGTGATTATGACAAATTCCATGAATTTGTCCAGTTCTTTTTAAAAAGTGACCGGGTACACCACCATGTAACAAATTCCATATTTTATGCACTGTGTAAAAAAGTACTCTCTCTCTTTCCACTTTTTCCACACTGTGCATTAATTTAAACAGCTCTGTCATGTCTCCTCTTACTTACCATACTTTGCAGAACAGTTCTAATATGCTGTCTGGTATTGTTCAGCAAGACACTGAAGGCAAGACTCAAAAAGGACTATTTAGTGAAATAATTGTCAATTTCTTAAAATCATTTTAGTTTCCAGAATATTCTGGATTGAGGACGCTACTTAATAGCTGAGTGAACTTGACCAAGAATCAGAAAAACTGTGGACTGAAACCAGACAAATGATTAAGGAAGAATGTCAAAAGACAATTTCAGAAAGAAAAAGCCTAGATTGATGATGGAAGACACTTTCACAATTTCTAAGGACAGGCAAGAAGCAAAGCAAAAAGGTGATGGAAAAAGGGATCAGAATTCTGGATGCAAGTTTTCAGTGACTATCTCATAGAGACAAAAGTAACTGTTAAACTGGTCAGTGTAAGGAAACAGGAGAGAGCAACAAACAAGAAAAAAACAAGAGACTTCTTCTAGATGATCCAAGAAAACAAAAAGGGAATTTTCAACCTAGATTAGGAATGCCAAAAAACCAAGAGGGGAACATAAGATCTGACCAGGAGAAAATAATGTGGAGGTGGAAGAAATAAACGGAGGAACTATACAGAAAAGATGAAAGGACGATAGAATCCTTCAAGAGGAATCATTTGAGGAAGAATCTTGAATATTAGAAAATGGCAGTGGAGCACACCAAAGAATTTCAGAAGATCAGTTTATGCTGTTTAGACTACAACAAAGCCTTTGACTGTGCAAATCACAAGTAGCTATGGGTGGTCTTGAAAGCAGTGACTATGCCTCAGCACTTGATTGTCCTAATAGCTGTATTGTGCACAAAAAGCTACTCTTAGGACAGAATATAGAGAAACAGAATTGATTCCTATAGGCAAGGGCATCAGGCAAAGATGTATTTTATCTCTCTAGAAGTGAAATTTGACAGAAGATACATCAATAATTTAAGATACACAGATGATACTGGCAGAAACCAGCAGTGGATTGAAACAATGCCTGACGAAACTGAAAGAAGAAAGTGCAAAGGTGGGACTGAAGTAGAATATTTAAAAATACCCACAGAAGAATTACACAGCTTTAATGTCAACAATGAATAAGCAGAAATTATGAAAGATTTTGTATACCTTGGCTCCAAGGGAGGCTGCAGCCAAGAAAGATTACTGAGACTTGGAAGGGCAGCAATGAAGGTACGAGAAAAGATAATCAGCTATAGAGAGGTTTTATAAGAGACAAAGGGTGATGATCATCCACACTATTGTATATCCATTCACTGTGCATGGGTGTGAAAGCTGGACAGTGAAGAAAGCTGACAGGGAGAAAATTGATGCTGGAGGTGCTGTAGGAGAGCTTTGTGAATGCCCTGGACTGACAAAACAAGTGTTTCTTCTATCAAATCAAGCCAGAACTTTCCCTGGACACAACAATGTCAAAACTGAATCTTTAATATCTCAGGCAAATCATGAGAATGCAGGACTCACTGGAGGAACAGTAATGCTAGGGAAAGAGGAAGGTAGAAGAAGACCAAATATGAGATGGATTGGTTGCATAATGGAAGCCACAATCTTGAATTTGAAGAACTGAGTAGGGCTGTGAAGGACAGGACATTTTGGAGGGGGCATTCACTCATATGGTCCCCATAAGTCAGACATGATTTGACAGCACATAACAAAAACTGTCAGACTAAAAGCGAATATCTATTCCAGTAATATAGACATCATTTTTGTTTGCAAACTGGCAAGAGGTACTTGGACTTGGCTCCGTGTCACTTGCATGTGTTATGTGCTCTCCTGAGTAAACTGGCCCCAGAGATAGCTTTGGGAAGTTGCTTCATGTTGTATTGTTCTACTTATGAGTTTCAGGAACTGGAATTAATGCAGGCTTGTCAATATGCAGATCATGTACTGTAGTTTCAATTGACCACATTCTAATGCTTCATATATCTTTTATCCACTATTTTGAAGTGGGAAGGAAATGAAGACAGCTGCTCTTTAACACTAAGGAGAACAAGCATCTTTTCCTTAGTTCAGTGATATCATGATTCCTTATAAACTATAACTGTTGTTAAGAGCCAGCATGGTGTGGTGCAGGGATGGCCAGACTTGCACAGCAGAAGAGCCACATGCAGCAAATGTCAGATATTTGAGAGGCACAAGCGGGCGCCTTCAGGCAGTGGCTGTGGGCGGTGAGCAGCAAGTGGATGCAAGAGTCACAAACTCAGAGAACTGCATGTGGCTCCCAAACCTCAGTTTGGCTACCCTTGCAATAGTGTTTAGTATATTGGACTGGAACTTGAGAGATTCAGGTTAGTCCCCACTTGGCCATGAAATTCAATGGATGACTTTCAGCCAAGCATTGCTGCTAAGCCCTAACCTACTTCACAAGATTGTTGTAAGGATAGAATGAGGGAAGGTGAACTACATAAGCTGCCTTGTTCTTTGCAGATAAAAAGGCAGGAGGCAGGCAGGCAGGCAGGCAGTCAGTTCAACGTTTGAACTTGAAAATGTTTAATTTGGGATTTTTAAACTGTTGCTATTATGCTCATTCTGCTTTGGTTCAAAAAGATGAATTCACTGTGTGTTGGTATGCGGTCCAAAATGCATGTGCAGGTTTCAGGCTTACTGGATCATCTTGGTGGATATGTTAAAACTAGACCAAATGAAAAATACTGACTATGGGGCCAGACATACACTTACATTTGAGGAACAAGGTACCTTCTGAGGCTGTGTTAACCTCACGAATCAGTTTTCAATATTAGAATTGAGTTGTTCTATCCATGAATTCCTCCTGGTCACAATATTCCCACTCAGTTATTCTTCATTTCAGTGGCCTAATTTGGGGTGGACTAATAGATCCTCTTGCATCTGTTATTCAGCTGTCAGAAACAGCCTGGCATAGGGAAAAGCTCCTAGTTACACATGCTATCTCTGTGGTAGCAATGTTGGAGAAACCTGCGATGGACTCAATTAAATTTAAAGAATCTGACCTGCAGATGCCAGAGTGGACCAGCATTTCTCAAGTTGTGTGGACTTGCAGGCTGGTTTTTTTTAATTTGCTGTAATATTATGCAAATGTAGTCATAGAAAAATGCAGAGAATTAAAAAAAACCCAAATGCTCATTTCCCCATAGACCAGAGCATTAAAATAAGCATTTTGGGAGTGGGATTTGCATGTGTTGGGGCAATTTACACATTCTTGGAGAATGTGTCCATACATCTGTTGCCCCTGGCAATTGACCAACATAGACAGATGTTTGTTGCATGAAGGAAAATTGCAGAAATAAAACATGAAGACTTGAAAGAGAAGTATAATATAGCATTGTTTTCTGACAACCAGAAAACTTTTCAGTATGTTTTCAGATGTTACTTTTCGGTAACATCACAGACAGGTATACCCTTTTTTGGCCCCTTGATATCTTAGTCACAATGCCTCCAGTTTGCTTTCCTTCACTATTCTTGAATGAGCCACCCTATATTTTATCTGTAAATGGAAGGAAGAAATAAGCATCCCCATCTCTTAGAAATTGCTCTGAATTTTTTGCTTTCCATTTTGTGCTAAGAACTGGTGACTGAGCTACTTTGTAAAGGGAAAGCTACAGGAAGCAATTTTTTAAACTTGGACTTCCTTTCTTAACATTTTAATCAATCCATATTAGGAACACTAGGAGAGTGCCATTATAATGTACATAGTCTTGCCTACATCTATTGTGAAGGTTAAATGTAATGTTTTTTGGTACTGAGCTGGCAAGCATAAATACCTATAAATAATAGCTCTTAATGGGAAATGGCTTTCAGAAAAAATATATTGGTTATTTTGTATAAAATATAGAAGCAGTAGTCTTGATGCCCTACATGTATACTAGATGCCTACAGAGTATAAGAAGTTCTTACAAAGTGTATTCTTTGACATGCTGTTTCTGTGGGGTGTTAGCAAACAAATTAGTCATTTGATTCCAAAACCTCAGTTTTGTTCATGAGGATGAATCACACATATATTAATAGGTAAATCATACTGAGCCATAAGAAAACAATTACTTCAAAAGGACTGAAGCATACTTAATCAGAAAAGAGCTAACTTTCCTTTGTTACCAGGGCAGCATTGTATTGTGTAATGATGCGACAGCAGTTAGAAATGGTTTGTTCCATTTAGAATGGGATGCTTGTCTGACAATGCATATAGGAAATAATTTCTAAGAGTAGTATCTAGTGATGTCCCAGCACTATTTATTATCGCTATTACTACTACATTGCATTTATATCTACTTTTTCCTCTTATTTTATTCCTTATGAGGAACCTGAGGTGACTTGCATAGTTCCATTTTATTTTCACAACAACCTTTGAAGAAGGTTGGGCTGAGAGTCTGTGACTGGTCACCTAATGAACTTAGATCCCCTGGTCCTCAGTTCATCACTTTAACCACCAACACCACACTGACTCTCTTTCCCAATCCAATTGGATATGTTATAGAACATCAGTTTATTCACATTGGAAACCTAAAAGGAACATAGTCTCTTACTACAATCCTGAACCTGAAATGGCATTGCCAGAAGGTTCCATTATTTAAAGGCATATTTGTGCTAAGTTCTAAATGAAGTTAATTTCACTTCGTGCTCCCTACTTACTTTTTACCCTACCTCTGAGCAATTCAGAGCTGAATACATGGGAATGAAACTGGTCCTTCATTCAACCGCTAGCCTATCCCTTCACCTCCTGATCATACTAAACGTGATACCTCCAGGTCATTTTCTCATTGCCTTCTCATTTGATCTTTAAGAAACAACGACTGGTTTACAAATTTCATATGGAATCAAATCATAAAGCACATAGCATGAGTTATATTGTAATGCTCTATCATAATTAGGAGCATGATGCCATGTCTTACATTTCTTTGCCTTTGCAATTCTGGGGAAGGTTTAACTTTCTAGGCTCTCTGCAAACTCTTCTTGTTCTATTAGGTTTTTTAGTTTCTGTTTTGGTCATATCTTTGTACTTTCTGTTATAGTGCTACTTGGTGGTTTATTTTCTTTATCATTGCATTTCTGAGATCATACTTTGAAAATAATTATATGTGAGACTGTTTAGGTTCATTACTGCCTTTAAGTAAAATGGATACAAAATTGGATTTTTATATTGGTTGCTCACATGTCAAAGTCAGAAATGATCATTAATTTATCTGGATTTTAGATTGCTTCTGTAGCTTAGCTGAAATATTGACTGGTTTGTTTTTGGAAAAAATGCTACCTAAGTGTGTTTTTCCCCCCTGTTCTTATTGTAGTGCTGATGCCATAATTGCTTATTCGGCCATTCTAAAGATGGACTGCTGTTACTAATGGGAAGAACTCCAATATGAGTGGAAATGATGTTGGAGGAAGAAGACGCTTTGAAGACAGTGAGCACACACTACACATCTACCCTGGGAGCATTGCTGAAGGGACCATCTACTGCCCTGTTATTGCACGGAAAACATCAACTGCTGCTGAGGTGATCGATTCCCTGATTAACAAGCTCCAGCTGGACAAAACAAAATGCTACGTCTTGGCAGAGGTGAAGGAATTTGGGGGGGAAGAATGGATCCTCAACCCCACGGACTGCCCCATCCAGCGCATGTTGTTGTGGCCCCGCATGGCCCTAGAGAACCGTTTGAGTGGAGAGGATTATCGTTTTCTTCTAAGGGAAAAAAACGTAGATGGCTCGATACATTATGCCAGCCTCCAGTCCTGGCTGCGGGTGACAGAAGAGCGGCGCAGGATGATGGAACGTGGTTTCCTTCCTCAACCGCAGTACAAGGATTATGATGACTTGTGTGCTTTGCCAGACTTGAATGAAAGAACACTCTTGGAAAACCTTAGAAACCGCTTTAAACAGGAAAAAATTTACACATATGTTGGAAGCATACTAATAGTTATTAACCCATTCAAATTTCTCCCCATTTACAATCCAAAGTATGTTAAAATGTATGATAATCATCAACTTGGGAAGCTGGAGCCCCATATTTATGCAGTGGCTGATGTAGCATATCATGCTATGCTTCTACGTCGGAAAAATCAGTGTATTGTCATTTCTGGAGAAAGTGGGTCTGGGAAAACACAGAGCACAAACTTCTTGATTCATCACCTCACTGCTCTTAGCCAGAAGGGATTTGCTAGTGGAGTAGAACAAATCATTCTTGGAGCTGGACCAGTGCTTGAGGTAAGATGAAAGTCTTTCTGTGGCTTATGATGCATTTCCCAACCCTCCATGTGCAATAAAGTAGTTATGTTTTGTGATTATCATTCTGACCAGGAGCTATCTGCTAGTGGTTTGATAGTGTCGCGCAAAGCTCTTCTGCTTTTCTAAAGATTCTGGTGAATAAAGACATGTGGAAAACATTACCTCGGAATGTTAAGTCCATATTTTTTTTACACCAAATAACTACAAACAGGAGCTGGCAGTCCTGCACAATCCTGCTCACAAATCTTTTCTGGAAAGCCTTTTGTGCTATATTGTGGTATCATAATGTTTTCCATGTGTATTTGTTGCTGAGAATCATAGCATACTAGTATAGGAAGAGTAAGTGTTGGAATGGGTCCAGATTAATTTGAGGTGTATGCATCATTACAAATGAGAAAAGGCATATTTAGAAAGGCTTTAGAATAGTTAGGTACTGGTGCCACCTGTTTGCTAATTTTGCTGTTTCCTCAGCTGCCTCAGGTAAGTACAGGATCTTGGAGAACAGAAGCAAAGCTTGCTGAATCACTCTTAATAGACACTTGCTAAGGGCCTTGCAGTTTACATAATTAGCTCCAGTTTTAGGGGGAAATCAGGAGAAGTAGAACCAGGGGAGGCAAAGGCAGCTTCACATGCTTGCTCCTACATTTGCTCAGTTACTTCTACTGCTTTCTTCCTCTGCATTCAAAGGAATTAAATGTTCTCTCTGTTTTGAATACCATTTTTAAAGTATTGAATGAGTACTCTTTTTTTAAAGAGTAAGGTTTTGGATTGATCTGTTGCATTTTAACAATGTTATGGTCAAAACTCAGGGTTACAAGTGTAATAAATTAAGATTTGGTTACATATTTACCCTAGTGATTAGTACTTTGTTAATAGTGTAACACTGTCCTAGCAGGTTCAGTAAAGTTTACAGGGTATGGAAAAAACTCCAGTGGTTTTGTAGCAGTGGCTGTTGAGTTGTTTTAGCATTCAGTCTTGTCATCTTGACTTTGGAAAGGAGGGAGCTCAGATGTTCCTTCTCATTAGTACTAATAATGTTTCGTGGTGTATAGTTTTTCAGGATCTTTAAAATCCTAATTTAATACCATCATTTCATACATCCTATGTATGTAGAAGCCTACAAACAACTGTGCCTGAAAATCTATACACGTTCACATGTGAAACAGGTTATTGGAGGTGTCAGCTACCAGTCAGAGTAAGTTCGGAAGAGAAGTTCAACTTCAAAATGTTTAGGAGAGATTGGTTTGGGGGTGAATGTGTCAGATATAGACTTGACGCATTTTCAAGAATAAGCAAATGTGTTCATGGGTAGCATACATTTTCCTAGCATGACAAAAATGCAGGTAGCCATACTGGTCTGTTAGAGGGTTCTCATAGGATCAGCTATAAAGTTCCCCAGAAAGTAAACAAATTTGAAACTTGCAAAAAAATATTTTTTATGCTGAACAAAAAAATAAGGAAATGAAAAAAAAAATGTTACTGGCCTTCATGAAATATGTTTTAGTCTGCCCTCTTCTAAGATCGTTTTTTAATGTTTACCATAACATCCTACTTGATAGCTACTTTATAACTATGGTCTGGGCTATGAAGTATTGTGCCTTTTTACAGAAGAATTGCACAATACAAACACAATCATCAGTAGTATCAGAAGAAGAAATATCATGGCATCTATTTAATACCAGGTTAATTCAGGCAACATTGCCTGCTTTCACACTTGATCTTCCATGGCAGTTCCCTTTAGCCATCATTTACTCAGCTGCAATCCTGCTGACTTCCTCCAAGGCAGGGTAGTAGTGCAAAAGCTGAAACTCAGTCAGCCCATGAGAGAGCAGCTCATCTTGCAATAGACTTTGATGCCTTTCTCCAGTCGATTTACAAAGACAAGATAGGAGCTGTTCTACAATGCCAAGAAATGTTTCTCCACTTCTGTTGTCCTTTCCAGGTCAGCCTTAATGACAGCTAAGGTTCATCTTCAGAATTCTTAACAGTGGTGAACACTGATCAGAATACAGTACCAACCAAGAGAAGGGTTTGTTTGAGAACTCCAGTTAGTAATAAACTGACTGTAATGAAAGCCCAGTATTGGGGAACTGATACTTGTTGCATCCCTCAGAACTGAAACCTGCCATGAGCATAGCAATGAAACCTTGAATATCCTGGGGCACAACATACTCAAGGAAGTATTATGCATTACAAAAGTTTTTGCAATGTTGACTTGTGGATTATTGCATAATATCTCTGTGTGTACGTATGCATTATAAATGCTTACACTGCCAAGAGGAAAACCTCATTTAACTTTATGGGGCAAGGATTTCAAAATATGTCAGAGCTGCTTCCCCATGTCTCATTTTGAAGTTAACAAATGCCTGTTTTATCAGCCTTGCCAGATTCAAGCTCAGGCAAGGCTAGATTTTTCTCTTGATCCTGAATGAATCCTTCATATCCATTCTGAATCCCTCTTACATTATCCTGTGTCTCTTGGATCTTCACAATTAGCTACAAGATACTTGAAGACAGATTATAGAATAGTTTGGCCACAGTTTTTCCTCCTTATATGCTCCTGACAGCCAAAGCCAGCTTCTAATAGCACTTAAAACAGGCAAACACTGTGAGCTACCCATGTATTATTAGATTTCTGTCTCCCTTTTTCCTTACAAACTCAATGCAGCTTACATCGTTCTCCTCCTCCTGCTCTCAATCTTATTCCCACAACCGCCACCCTGTGAGGTTGGTTGGGCTGAGAGTCTACATGGCTGAGTGGGGACTACCACCCAGATCGCCTGAGTCCCAGTCCCATGCACCACACTGGCTTTTTATAGGAATATGTAGGGCATATACTTCTATTTACTACTATTTGAAAGCTGTTAAGCTGTATTGCACTAACATGGCAATATTCACAATGACATTCTTAGAAATATTTTTGGAGTCTAGAAATGCAAGACCTCCTCTTGGATGCACTCTTTAATATAATGAAGGGGTTTGAGAGTGTCAGAGAAGCCAAGAACAACACTGCTGGGTGTGGGAGGCGGGGAGCAGACTCTCTCCTAGGAGGGTCACCCAAGGTAGAAAGGTCAAAGCTGAGACACCACTCTCTTAAGGAATAGCAGTCACTCCAGCAGAAGAAAATGGATTTTTCTAATAGTGGTGGAGGCCAAGAAACTCCTGAAGGATAGCTACTGGGCTACAGTGGTAAAAGCTGACAGGAGGGAAATGGATGCATTTGAAACATGCTGCTGGAGGAGAATGTTGTCAATACCCTGACTGACAGAAAGACAATCAAATGGCTCCTAGATCCAATCAAGCTGGAACTTTCCCTGTAACCAACAGTGGCAAAACTGAAGCACTCATGCTTTGGGCACATCATGAGAAGGCAAGACTCACTGGAGGAGACAATTATGCCAAGGAAAGCTGAAGGCAGAAGAAGAGGATGATCAAATATGAGATGGAGTGCCTCCATAAAGGAAGCCACAGCCAGGAATTTACAAGAGCTGAGCAGGGCTGTCATGGATAGGACATTATGCAGGGCATTTATTCATGGGGTTGCCATAGGTTGAAGACAACTTGGCGACACATAACCCAAGAGCAGACTTTCTCCAGAGTCTGCATGTAGTTATTTTCCTTCCTTATTCTCAGTTTTGAACTTCTCCTTTCCCTACTTCCACGGCCACTCTCTTCCTCTGCCTATTGATAGGTTCTTGTGTGTGTCAGCTACTTTTCCACTCAACCCCAGTTATGTTAATCGAAACATCTTGGTACCCTCCCTTTGCCCTATACAGTTCTGGTACTTTCCTCCTACACTGTGGGTCACATTCGCTGAGCCAGCTGCTTATTTTCTATCTGCAATCCTGTTTCACAGCCCTCTTTTGAGTTTTAAAATGAAATTACTATTAGCAGGATTTTCCGCTTTCTGACACCCAAGAGCCTGCTGCTTTCCTCTGAGACTGTTTGCTTGACAGTGCTGTTATTCAGCATCTCATGCTTTTCCCATTTAGGAAAAGGGATTTGGACCATCAAAATAAAGGTGAAAATATAGTATCTGGTAAGCAGCATCTGTTTCAGTCAATTCCAGTTATTTACAGGGAAGGAATGGACTTTCTCCAGTGCTCTTTATTTTTAGATTGATTAAACCAACTGTCTAAAAGAAGAAAAAACTCATTCATTCTTGGGTGAAACAATGTGCATTCAATAAGCAATCAGTGTGACAACTGCCTTTGCAAGCTGTCAAAGACAATAAACTCCTTTATGAGGAGACTAAACCATACTCTACAAAAATCAGTGGGATTAACATCTGAATTTCCCTGGGCTGCATATATTTAGTGTCAGAGAGCAAAACATTCATCCCATTATTTAAAGATTTACAGAAGACTTAACTACTCCTAAAGGGCCAGTGGGGCACAACTTTGAGTGCCATTTTATCTGCTTTTTATATATGAAAAAAACCGTTTGTATTATCACATCTCTGTCCAGCAGAACCTGAGATCAAGTACCCTCTTGAGAATGCAAGCAACTAAACAATATTCACAAAACAGCCCTAATAAAATGCTAATACATCCTGTGAAAAAAAGAGAGACTATAGCACAATATTTCCTCAGAAAGCTAAACATGGAACATGTAAAGGCAGCAGCACTGAGAACAATAATAAATTACAAGTGCTAAGGGAAAACCTAGCGGGTTATATTGTCTATAATTCAAGTGAGATTTCTTCAGTATTAGTGTCACCAAAAGCCGTTTAGATTAAAGATGGTCTTGTCTTCACAGGCTGGTAGAATGTTGTTAGAAAGGTAGCCAGGGGATGTGAAGACAAGGGAGAAGAAAATGGGGTAAAAGCATCCTTCCTGCCATTTCCTAACTTTCCCACTAGGGCTTTGGTTAGTTCAGGTCATTTGAGCATAAAGGTGTTCTGATCAGGGTTCCAGATAATTCCTACTTCTCTAATTCCTTCTGATTCCTTTGAAGCAGGGGTCTTTGATTTTCAGTGTCTTTCTTCACCTCTGAATAACGGATATTATTTTGAAGTGGCCCTGCATACATAGGACATAATAGTTCTGTGTCTAGAAGAAAATATGAAAAATTGAAGTTCAATACCTTAATGCTGCTGTACTATGACTTTTTATTTTCTGAGTTTTTAAGGCATTTACTTTAAGGACTTATTTCAAATAATTTTCTGTTTTAACTTTTTAATATTCCCTTCTTCTAATCCTTTAGAGTATTTGCTTATTACTCCACTTGGTTTTGACTCCAAACAGAGATGTAAAATATTTGGAAATTTAAAGACATGGAGGAAAAACTTGCTTCCATTCCTTATTACTGCTCTATGTATCTTTTACTGATAGCTGTTTTGGAATGTTTTAAGTCATGGTCCATTTCCCAATATGGGACTAGAGTCACCATATGATAATACAATAAGAAAATGTGCAAAACCGTGTAGGTTTTGTTCTATAGAGTCCTGTATTTCTAGAATTGTTCTTGTTGTATACTATAGGAATCAGGTTACATCATTTTATAGCATTCATTTGTGGGAAACACTGCAGATTAGCTATTCCACTTGTTTTCATTAAAAGATCTTCAGGATTCCAGGGTGGTGGTCATCCTGATTCCCAGAGGCTTCCCACCTCTGGCTCAAAAAAATTTAAGTATGCTTGGTTACCATCACTAATAGATAAGAATTAAATAAATAAATTTTCCTTTAGATTAAATTTCCAAAACCGTATCTCTAACAATTCCTCACAAACAGGTGCTTGCTACCAGTCTTCCTTGATCTTCAGGACTTCTTGCTTCTTCTAAATTTTGCCATGGTTCAGATATTGCAGGGAGTATTTGCTGAATTTCCCCCTGGTCAGATACAAAACAGGAACCTAAAGTGAATTATATTTTTTCTGATAAATTGTTATGTTTGGTTAATAAATTGAAAGGTTAATTTATTCAGACATTTACAAATTTAGTAATAGTTATTGGGTAGTTCAAAAGTACAGTAAATAAAAAAATAAAAGGCTCTACTTTTAAATGTTTTTAATTTTAAAGATAATTTTATGAGTAAATCAATTTCTACACAATACATTTTATGTTCCTAAAGTAATAAAGTGACCGTAGGTCTGTAAAGTATATTAAAAAATGTTACATTTTTTTTCATTATCCCCCCAAATTTGGGGTTTTTTCCCTGAACACCAGTGAAGTTGAGCCTCTCCTTCACTATTCAATCAGTCAATAAGTCTTAAATCTTTCTTTTTAAGGCTGCCTAATTTAATTAACCTGCAAATGGATCAATGCTAAAAAATTACTGTCTCAGTCAACTTTCTTCTGTGGCATGCCTTACCAGAAATATTGTTCTATATACCTTACTATTATTGTAATATACTTCATTTTAAAATACATGGCCTTAAAAATGGCTTTTAATTCTCTATAAATAGGCAGATGCACTCTTCTTCAATGGGGGACCTTTCAGAGGTATTGGACTACAGTTTCTATTGTCTCTAGCAAGCATGATAACCTACACTTAAGGACTGAAATGGATTGCATGTGGGTTGTTGCTGACACATGAGTTATTGTGTTGTCTGAACCCAGCTATGCTAACAAGCTATGGCTCATTAACCATGAATAGCCCATGAATAGAATATAGAGTCTGTTGCTAGGTTACGAACTGTGGGTTGTTCACTATGGTTTGCTAAATTGGTTAGGCTCAGACATATGATAACCCTTGGTTCAACAGAACCTGTACTAAACAGTTGTTTGAAGCCAAAGAAGAAAAAGAGCATCATAGAAACAGAAACAGAGCGAGTCAGAAGGGGACTCCCAGGCCATCTAGTCTGACCCCCGGCTCTAGCCAGCTCCGCTCACGACATGCCTACCATGTGCATGTCTAGCCATCTTCCCTTGACCCCAATATATAAACAAGTAAAAAAACCTGTGCCTCTAGTTTTTCCTGTGCCAGCCTGAGGTAGCAGTCCAGAAGGAAAAATGGTTCCCCTACCTCAGTTCCTTCTCTTTACTCCTACATAGAATTGCTCTCTTAAGTTTTTCATTCTTGTCTTATTTTGACAGGCATTTGGGAATGCAAAGACTGCACACAACAACAACTCGAGTCGTTTTGGCAAGTTTATCCAAGTGAATTATCAAGAGACTGGCACTGTGCGTGGGTAAGTGTCAATAAGCAGTGACTAAAGGGCTTTAAGCATGGATGAGCTGCAGCTGTTAGCATTTGGACATGCATGGGGAGAATGTTAAACATCCCATGTAAATCTGGGCCCTCATTACTTGTCTGGGAAAGATGTGGGCATGCCATGCAGGACAAATAATTGGCTTGACGCATTCTTCTCCCCACAACTTCTCCCCACAATCATAAGAGAGATACAGAAGATAAATTTCTGAAATGTGCATTTTTTCTGTTGATATAATTGTTGGGCAAAATCCATCATTCACTTAGGAATCTTTTGCTGAACTTTGTTCATCTCTGGAGTATGCATGAGCTTCAGAACTTCTTGATTCTGGGGTAAATATTGTTTAATAATTAGCTAAATTTTATGAAAGCAGACGAAGGAACACCAACTGAAGTGGATTACCTTGACACCAGAAACCTAACTGCAATAACTACAATTTAGTTTCTGATTTAAGGATTTTTTAAGTAGAAATAAGATTAATTCCATTATTTATGAACAGCTTAAATCTAGTCCTCTGTATTATACTGTCACATGCCCAGCAAAGACCTTCACGCTGCCTTACCCCTTCTGGAGCTCACTCTGTCTGTCTGTCTGTCTGTCTGTCTGTCTATCTATCAGTTAGTGAATGTTAAACTTGTCAACATTGGAAATGTTCAGCTCAACTCATCCTAATTCGTTATTCTTGAAAGTTTTTTGTGACTGTAGATTTTCAGTTTTTTAATGTCTTTGTCCAATCTGATGGATGTCCTACAGTGGGAACCATTTGGGATTCTCTGATTATATTTAATTATCTAGTAAAAACTCCAGTATCTTGAGCAATGCTATATAGGGATGGAGGCAGAGTTTCCCATATTTTCAATTCTTTCCTTGTTTGGTTTCTTGAATGGATTTTTGTTGCTTTTCTTGACCAACTGCAATTGGCTACCTGTCCAGTAAACAGTCACACCATCTGTTTTATAATGTATGCTCTTCTGTGTTAGTTTCTTTATCATGTTGGCTGAGTAGGGAGGAGTTTCAAAGAATGGTACAGGATGTATTTTATGAATCTTGCGTTACAGTGTTGCAGCTGACAGATAAAGAAAAAAACTTGTTAAGAATTTATTGCTTGAATAAGTCCGTGCTTTCATTCTGCAGTGACCTCTTTAAAAGAAACAGCATACTTTTCATCCCCTTTTGTCTGTTAGTCCTCAAATATCCCTTTATATGTTTCCTATTGGGTGATGAATCTACTGCTTATGAGTAATTGTCACCAAGCTAAAGCAAGGGGAAAAGTCCCCTTTGTTAACAAATATCAGTGATCACCCACAAAGTTACTACATACAGCTTTTTACAAGTTATGTCTTACTAATCTTCTGAATATATAGGAATTCAAATTACATAAAATCTGGCCCATAGAAATCTGATTACAGACCAGAAGCTTGATTTATCCAGTTATTGATCTGCTTGTGTTTAGCAGCAGTCCAAGTTGAAGCTTAGTTTCTTTATAGTTATATTTCTTCTGAAAAAGAGATTAGCAAAGAGCTCAAGCATTGTCGCACTTAAACTGCCTGAAGGGTACAAGTAGTAAATGCAAACACAAACCAGGGTAATTTAAGATTCAGAGCCTCCATTTCTCTATTTACTCTACACATACCTCTCCAACACAGCACAAAAAAGAGGGTTCTGTTCCCTTAAGCTCAGTCTATGATCTTGGTGAAAAGCAGAGTGCTGCATTCCAGTCTTCACTGCATTCCAGTGGCTAATAACATGAGGCATTGACTGATGCAGCCTGGGTAGCTGATACATTTGTGAATCATATATACTAAAGATCATACATATTCCTCAAATATGGATCCTCATATAACAAAATGACATCATCCATGCACTGGAGGGGGGGTGTCAGCCAGCTTGAGAGAATTCCAGAGTTTCTAGAAATGCACAAGCTTTTCAGGGGAGACCCCCTCAGGGGAGAAGAACTGACTGGAGAGGCATGCAGAAGGATAACCAGGGAGGTGGGGAAGTGGAATGGAGTATCAAGAAAGAGGACATGTGTTGGCTGTAATACTGAACAGGAACACTACACTGAGATTTTTTGTTGTACATCCAACTTGTGTTCCTCAAAAGCTCTAAATTTTATAACGGTAAAAAGCCATATGAACCTTCAGTGCCAAGGTAAACCTCTGATAAATTTGAAGTATTGTCAGAAAGGATCTTGTACTTTTCCTAGATAAACATGAATGTATGTTCAGAAAATAGCTCTGTGGGCCTGTTCAGCAGAATTCGTTTGAGTCAGAAGCCAAAAACCTTTCACTGAATTTTGGTAGTTTTTCCTTGTACTGGGTGGAGCCTTACCTCAGGTAGAATCTTGGAAGTCCAGTAACAACGGAGTAGACCTTTCTAAAACTTTGCTGACATTTTCTGAGACTACCGTAAAGTCTTTTCCAACCCGGTACCCTCTAGGTGTGTTGGAATATAACTCCCATCATTCTAGGCAGGTATGGTTGGTACTCAAGAATTCTGGGAACTGTAGGTCAAAACATTTGGAGTCTGTCAATTTTGATAAAGTTGCTGTAATTAGTATTGTGTTTCTTAAAATTACCTGTTCTTCAAATGCACATTTCCCTTTCTGAGCACAAAGGTGCAACAAAAAGTTTGGGACTGTCTTAGTTTAGAAAAAAGATGGCAAAGGCATAAGTATGAGAGATTAGGTCTAAATAATTTTGAACTGTGAAAAAAATGAATGTACCTGTTGGTCTGTTTCTCTCAGGCTGTGAAGTTTAGGCATTTATATTGAATTGCAATCTTAAGATTGTATTAAAGTTGTTTTGCCGAAAACTTTTCAACAATTATCCAATCTTTCCTGTATCCATCTGCCTGCATGCACAGACTTCCCTCATTCCTTGTGAGGATCAGGCTAATAACATTTTAGAAAATAAAGGTAAAAATAAGACTGTTCTTCCTGTGTAATACTGTGCTGAGCTAATATTCACTCTTTCTCTAGAGCTTACGTTGAAAAATATCTGTTGGAAAAGTCCAGGCTAGTCTATCAGGAACATAATGAGAGGTGAGTAATGAAGGAAGTTATGTATATAAAGTAGTAAGAAAAATAAAAAAGGGTATGCCAAAGCAATTATTAGAATGTTGAGCTATACATATATTGGTTTATAAGTTCTTCTTCATGATCTCTGTGCATCACATACAAGGGCTCTGCACCTGCACCTGCTGTTAGGAAGATCTCCACGCTAGACTCATTTTGGCAGGAATCCCTCTCCACCGGTTATCAAAGAGAGGATGCTGCCATTTCCCCCACTTCTCCTCTGACCACTATTGTGGGTGCCTCGGGTTTTCCTCTGCATAGTAGTCTTTGTGTTCCTTCAGTTCTTTCTCCTTCTTTATCACGTTCATCTAAAATTGTTCACTTGCTCTTGCTAATTCCTTCACTTTCCTTTAAGAAAAACCCTACCTTCTCCCCTAAAGAAATTACCTCCCCTCCAATGATGTCTTCTGCAAACTTTTCCTCCCTACTTTCTTTTTCTCCTGATGACACTCAAGGTGCGCTTCTGGAAGTAGGAGTCAGCCTTGTCTAATGTGTACTGGCTACCACATTGACCACAGACGCATCATGCCTGGGATGAGGAGTGTAGTTTGGCAGCAGCAGGACTCATGGCATGTGAATGGATCAGCACATAAACTCTTTCAAGCTCCTTGCAGCCCAGAAAGTGCTGGTCATGTTCCAGTTCCACCTCAGGAGCAAGCATGTTCAGGTTGCCTTGGACAATAGTGCAGTGGTGTTTTACCTGAAGAAGCAGGGCAGCATGATATCCATATCTCTGGCACGCTTCATTGTACAGATATGAGACTGGGGCTTTGAGACAAGCATTACCCTTGTGGCCATCCGTCTTGCTGGGACTGTCAGCATTGTAGCAGATGCCCTGAGCAGGAGGATAAAGGGGAGCCTGGAAGGGGAGCTGCATCCAGAAGTCACTGTGCAGCTCTTCCAGACCTGGGGCCTTCTGTTGGTAGAACCTTTCACCACTCCAACCTATGCAGTGTGCACTGGCTTCTGTTCCCAAGCCATGACTGGCTAGGGCTTGCTAGAAGATGCATTTCTCCTCTGCTGGGAAGGGACCCTATTTTATTTGTTCCTGCTGTTCATGCTGATTACCAGGGTGCTGGTGAAGATCTGGGGGAAAACACTTCATGCATCCTGATCATGCCACAGTGGCCCTGCAGTGGTTTGCCCACCTTTTTTGCCTGTCCAGCCACAACTTCCTGTGGCTCCTGTCGAGATGTGACATGATCTCTCAGGATCTCAGTGGGGTCTGTCCACTGACCCCACATTGGTGTTGACAGTGATGGTACCATAGTTTCCCTTTGGATCCATATCTGGATGGTACCAGTTGGTCATTCACTGGCCTTTCCTCTGGTTCAGAGACTACAATGTTGATCTTTAGAGAACCGTTAATTATTTATTAACTAGGGTTTTTTTTTAAAGCTGAGAATGCACTGGGGGGTGTTATTTATTGTATTATTTATTATACAATTTTAGTATTTATGTGTTGTGAGCCGCCCCGAGTCTTTGTTGCAATGGGGCGGCATAGAAATGTTTTAAATAAATAAATAAATAAATAAACTGGGGAAAATGGTGGAAACATTTCCTAGATAAACTGGGGCAGGGGGAGCTCCCACCAGAATGAGTCTAGGTTGGAAATCTTTCCGACAAGAGGCCCTGTACAGGAACAGAGCCCATATGTGTGAATGCACAGATGACCACTCGAAGAACAATAGTTACAGGTAAGCACCCTAACTTTATATATGCATGTATTTTGAAAAGATCATGTTAGATAATAATCTGCTCTGATGAACAATAACAGTGATTCATGGCCTTGGTCTGAGAACTGGGTTATACAACAGTATTCTTATCTGTGGGTTATTGTTGGGTTAAAACTCTGGGTTGTTTCTCCCTCCTAGTCTGTTTTGCTATCTTGAAGGAAAACCAGAGTGGCAGGCATATGAACAGTAGCACTTGCACAAATGCAGAGAGCCCAGAATGTAAAGCTCTCTAGATTATATCCTGGGAGGTATCTGCTGCCAATGAGCAGCAGGCCACAGTCATGGATGTTGAGACAGAGAGGCTTTTTATTTTTGCTTTGCACTCTCTCGACGGCTATCAAAATGTGGACTGTTATAGAAAAGCAAAGGTGCAAGGGATTTTTGCTTACAAAACGGATTGGTGAGTGTATCATCACCTTGTGGAGAGATTCCCCAGTTTTTTCTAGCTATTCTCAGTGTCCAGCACCTTTTCCTGAGACTCTAGACACACATGACTATGCATGTGTCCCTGTCCAAAAACCCAAATTAGCCTGGTCAAACCCCCTGTTTTAACAGGAAACCTGATTTTTGACAGCAGTCCATGCTCTACTTAATGAGGTGGCTTGCACTTTTCCACCTTCCTTGAGCTTCCTAACAAATATTTGCACAAATTTCTTGGATGGACTTAACAATTAAAATAAAAGGAATGATGGATCAGGGTCACCCCCTCCAATGTGCTGCTTGGGCACAGTGGAGGGCCTGTCATTCACTGTTACCTCAGAGGAAAAAGGTAAAAGAAAGGAGGGGAAAAGCTGCCATGAGCAAAATAGTAATGAGAAGGCAGCTTATCTGCCAAGTCCCCTGGAAGACCAGTTTGAGGGCTAAAGGAGAAGGAGGGGTGAGGACAGCTCATGTTGAACCGAATTATGTATTGGGCACACCATGGGGTGGTCTGAGAACAACCTGCCATTGGTTACTCACAGTATGGCTTACTGTGACACATGAAGCCATCCATTGTATACTCGTACTTCTTGCATGGATGTCTTGAAGGCAGAAAGACAAATTACAACCTAGATACAGAGAGCCCAATGTTTTCAATCTCCAACCTGATTAAGATAACACAGTGCAGCTTTTCATGGGTTATTTAATACTGAGCTCCCTCTTAGGTCATGTCATTCCAAAAAGTGTGTGTTATACAAGAGTTAAGCAAAGTTTGCAAAATTTCTAACGTTATGTGAGGGATGCTTACCATTTACATAATTCATAGTCACTGGTTCACACAACATGAGGGGTGGATATGCACAATGGCAGCTGTGTACATGCTACAGCTATTGTGCTGTGCAAAGCCGTCCGCTGTACTTTTGATTGGTTACAACTATTCTAGTCCTTCCTTGACGTACCAGTTTGTTCATACTTGCAGAATTACAATTACAGATGGTACTATTGATTGTTAACACTTATTTTTATTTGTTACCAGGAACTACCATGTATTTTATTATCTTCTGGCAGGAGCAAGTGAAGAAGAGAAATCTGCTTTTCATCTTAAACAACCTGATGAATATCATTATCTTAATCAGGTGGGGATATGCAAACAGCTTTGTAGTGGTTGTATATGCTTGCTGCTAAAGCAATAAGCCATTATTTCCTGATGTTGCTGTTTTGAAACCATTTTTGTTACCTGCTCATGGACTTAATGGTGTAATACATGTTGGTATAGGTAATCCAACTAAGAAAGAGGCATTATTTTCCCCATGCCGTCAGTGTGCTACAGAAAAGAAATGCATGTTTTGGTTTATCGCTTTCCTTAAGAATATACACTTTTCCAATCAAATAAAAGGTAATACCAGTCTCTTCGAAAATTGTGTTTATGCTAATCTTCAGCTAAGGTCAAAGCTTAAAAATCTTGCATGGTTTTGTAATTCTTCTAACAGCATGCTATTTTTTACTTTAACAAATAAAGCTAACTAAAGTCTATTGATCCCAACTACTTTTGGATAACTGAAACCCACTGTGGAGGTACTGCATCTTATACTAATAGGATGCAAAAATACCCAGTACAATAGAATACAGAAGGAAGGAATGGTTATGGAGAGAAAAGTGCCTTCTCTGTCTGCTGTTCATTAGAATTACCAAACCAGAGTTACTTTGTTTTTCAAAGGCTGATTTATTTTCCATAGAATATGAGGTGGGTGGGCGACACAATGCTTCACAGGTCAAATGTCATACCTCGTTGCCCTGTCACCAAAATACATGGTAGCAGCAAAACAAAGCAGTGGTTTACCACTACAAAGCAATAAACATTTCTCAAACTAAATTGTACTTCCTTCATATTCCAGAGTGGCTTGCCTCTGAATTTTCATAGCAAAATGTCAATTTATTTTTTGCTGCTGCCATTGGTGCCTACAGAATTGTGAGGGTGGCCAGCAGGTGTTTGGCCAATGGAGGGTGGTTCAGGGGACAGAAACTGAACATGGAGCTCTCAAAGTTGCCAACCCCAGATATAATTGCAATAAAACATGAACTTCCAACATTTCCTCCAGTTCAAGATCATGAAGACACATTGCTAAAGGTTCCATTTCTTCTGAGCGTTGATATCTCAAAGTTAAACAGATACACTGTTACGACTGAAAGTGAGGATGAGAGGGGTTTATCCTCCTCTATAACAGTGGCTGGATTACTGCTTCATGAACTGTTTGTGTATGCTCTGTAATATATACTTGAAATACATAGAGATTCTCCTTCTGTTTTCCTTTCCTCTTAAAGAATATGACTGGGTTCAAGTCAACACCATAACCTACACTCAGGAGTCAATAACAGATAGAACATGGATTATCAATGAACTGTGGGTTGTTGTGAAGGGTGGATTATGTTGCCTGAACCAAATTACACTCACAAACTATGATTGAGCTTCTCTTCATGTTCTCTTTGTAGTTAACCAGTCATGGTTTGATAGCACAGCTGGGTTCAAACACAATTATCCACAAGCCATGGTTTATTGATGACCCATGCACAACCCTTGTATATAGGCTATTGTGTGGCCCAAACCCCAGCTGTCTTTGCCCATTGACTTTAGAATGGGAACTATAAGCAGAATAAATAATTGTAAATTGTGGTTTGATTTAAAGAATTTAATTTTTAGGCATATGAAATTGAGGATTTCTAAAAAGAATTTAAAATGCAGAAATCTTATGTTTTCGACTCATTAAATGTTGCAGATGGTTGCCAATATCACAGTGGTTTTTAATATAGAAATTGGTCTTAGCAAAGTTGGTGGTTATGAAGCACTACAGACAGTGTTCAGCTTGGATCTGTATTTATTTGCCTGTTCTCCAGCACTAGTTCATCTGTCGAATTGGAAAGAAATTGGCCTACCTACCCCACATGATTATGCGTAACAAATGAGGTGTTACAAGGTAGTGCATGCTTATGTACTGCAGCATTGTGCATTCTTAATTGTCTTTCCTGAATGTGGTATTTAATAGCATTTTGCCTTTTTGGAATTTGTACTTAGATGTATTGCTAGGCCCAAACTTATTGAGCATAGCTACTGATTGGCAGCCCTCTTGGGTAAGTTTTTAAGTTTAACTGTAAAGTAGATTGGTTTCTCTTGTAGCATAGTGAAGTAGCTTGATGTATTCATTCTTATATCAAATTTCATAACGTAAAGAAAAATAAGTATGAAGAGCCAAGCCATCACTTTCTAAAATGGTAAATCTTGCTGCTTAATGTATTTTTTTTAGATGTTCACACAAATGAAGGAAATCAATAAAAAAGTGGGAAGAAATGGTTGTGTGGGATTTAGAATGCCACTTACTCAATCTGCCTTGCTTTCAGATGACAAAGAAACCCCCTAAACAGAGCTGGGATGACTGTTACTATGACTCTGAGCCGGTCAGTACGAGTGCATCCATCCATTCTGGTAGCTGGTCACAGGCATTTCACTCATTCTGGCTTTGTTCCCAGATGCAAAACAAATATGAAATCAGTTCTATTTGATTAAGAGCCAGGCAAAAGTTTTGTGTTCTCTTAAGAATGGCTTGGTTAGTTCATCTGTGATAATATACGATTTTCTAGTCATTTTTATGTAGTATCTTAATTTGATAGGTTAACAGTAGCTGAAATTTCCCCTTGTTTATATAGTTTTGCTTACTTTTGATGAAGCCCAGTGTTTAGATTATAATAACATGCATTTTCTGCCCAGGAAAATATTTATTTCTGAGAATATAGGCAATGGGCAAATTTGCACATGACACTAACCTTCTGGCAAATAAGCTATGCAGTGTGGGTTCTTCTTGGTGCTCCTGGCAGATGATTTGGCTCACTGTTCCTTTTCTGCTCCTTTCATCTCCAGACAGTATCCTAGTGTCCTTCATGGCAAAACACATCTTGTCTACCCCTCTCCATATCAGTTGCTATTCCTTTTCATTCACCACCATTTTTTGTTTGTTTGTTCCAGAATTTTTATTCGTTTTGGCCCTATTGTGTTCCCTATTTATTTTTATTTTTGTTGGGGGAGGGTTTTCACAAATACACAGGAATGTAGTACAAGAAGCCTTGCCTGATCAAATTTCATGTCTGTTTCAGCTGTTTAAAGGCATGGCAAAGTATAGTAGGAAACAGACTGCAAAGCAAGACTACATACAGGCAAATCTGAGCACAGTTGTCAGGGACTGATTCCCTAGCTGTCAAGTGAAAATACCTTATAAAGGACATAAGGGGCAAAATAAGGCACTCCTGATCTCCCACATAGCAGTGTGATGATACAGTTTTTAAATGTTGAATTGACAGTTCTCAGTGTATTCCACCCTACTTTAGGGGGGCTTCCTTTTGAAGCATTACTGCTGTGCTTACTGCAGCACACTGAAAGTTCCAAAAATCCCTGAAGGAATTATACAGATGTTTAGTGGCTGGGAAATAAATGAAGGGAAAATTTGCATACCTGCAGTAGCAGAACAGTTAATGCAAGTATATAGATTTCTTCTCTATTAACTTTCCAGACCCTTATATTTATGCAAAATTCCCTTCCTTTAACTTTCTACCCCTAAATTTGCATATATTTTCTGCTTTAAAAATACAAATATTCCTGGCAGTTCACACCACTACTACTCCCAGTAGATGTGGTACTTACAAGTTTGTTCCATTCAGCTATCTTCTCAGTCGTTATTTGAGAACTGTTAAGGAACCTCAGTTAACCACACCTGTAAATGCTCTAAAATGGAGCTGCATAAGGGGAGGTAGGAGTTAGTATCTCCCTTTCTGGAGTAACTGAAGATTTGGAGCAGTATTGAAAAGATGGAGGACACTGAGAACTCTCAGTTCAACATTTAAAAGCTAGAATATTATATAGCTAAATGGGATGCCTTAATTTATTTTTAAGAGTGGTGTACCAGGGATGCTTTGTTTAAACTGCCACTTGGACATTAGTGGAGGGACTGTATGTGGCAGTGGCATGGGCAGGATTGCAAGGTATCGCTGCTCTTGCTGAGGATCTCATTGGCCAATCCCCACAACCCATGTTGATGTTTGGACATTCCTAATTATAATGAAGACAACAATCTTCAGAACAAGCCATGGGTTGTTTGATTGGCTACTCACCTCAAAATAAGCCACCCTGTGGAAGTTAGTCTGGGTTTGGAGAACATATCAACTCACCATGACTAGTTACCCATGATGGGTTGTTCTGTTGTATGAACCAGGTTAATGAAATTGTCCAGCATTTCAATTCAAGGGTGCAGAAAGGTTAATATTTCATTTAATACTCCTATAGTATGGTTAGTTTTCATGACTTACACCAGTGAATACAGTGAATGTATGAGAGGTTCACTAATGGAGAGCCTCTGGCTATGGGGCAGCATACAAGTACAATGAATGAATGAATAAATAAAGCAACTGAAAGGAAATGGTTTACCACAATGGCCCAAAGAGGCAAACTTCATCTCATCTGAAGTCATATGGTTAGACTGAAACTGCGTTGTGTGGGGGGGATTGTCAGTATTCATATCATTCATATACCAACTCTTGGTATAGGAAGCATGCTTATTCTAACTGCATGTTAACAATTCTAACTTGGATTCACAATTTCCCACGTAATACAACCCAAAGAAAGTTGTTCCTCATGTTTGTTACACTTGATTGTAAATAAATATTCTGAAATAAGATTTAGCCATATATTTAATAATCTTTACTCAATTTCTGTTTGGAGTCTCATAGCTTCATTTTTTAAAACTGCAAGTAATAAGTGTTACAACACTACACCAAGAATTAATTCTGGAACATTAATTTTCTATCAGCCTATTTGGATCTGTGAAATTAACTTGGATTTATTACAGAAATCTATGGATAAAATAAACTTTCTCTTAACTTGACAGTGCAGTCATGAAAACTCCAATGCAGCCCAGTTAAAAAATGATGTAGGAAACATCCCCATCTTGACCACTTGAAGCATTGCTTAAGAGGACTTTTTCAGTCTTGTAAAGGGATTGAATTTTTAGAGTGCTTAGAGATTAAAATGGCCATATTTTGAGATGTCATTTGTATTAGTATTGTGCTAGTAAATTATCTCCTTATTGCAGCCCCATCCCTCACTGTGCTGTTATAAAGCTGTTCTCTTAAAAGCCTCTTCATGCTTCCTTCATGTCTTCAAACTTTCCACACACCTCTCCTTGTTTACTCCCACTTCCGATCCCCTGCTGCCCCAATCACTCTAAGTTGGGGCTTGGCTCCCACACCTCAGTATATCTTCTTATACCTTTGTATGGTTTCTTTCTGACTCCTGGAGACTGCATCATCTGCTACTCTTCATCTGTCCTAAACTATCAGCTCAGACCTGCATTCTTGCCACGTAGAAAGTAGTTTCATAGACTTTTGACCTTTTGCCTGCTCTGCTCTTGCAGACTGAACAGGAAGCTCAGAGACATCTCTGCAGAACTGTTGAAATGATGCTCTTATGGCATCATGCAGTATCTGGAAAATGTTGAATTAAATAATGCATTTGGGAATAGTGATTGTATAAAACAGATACAGTGATCCTCCATTTTAATTGCATTAATTAACCAATTAATTTAATTGTTTGTATTCTGCTTAAACATAGTTATCTAGGAAACACCAGGACTAATGATTGCTATTGTGAGAGCAGAGGTGCTTGCTTTGGCTTGTATGCTGGGAAACTACTCTTTAACATGATCCTTTGTAAATGTTATAGTGAACAACTTTGTGTTTCCCTAGCATAGTGATACTTTTAATGAGATAATGAAAATGAGCTCTTGTGCTAACAGAACAGAATGTTTGGGTTTTATACTGGTGAACAGGAAACAAATATTTAGGAAAAATCTTCAAGCAATTTTTTACAATTCCAGCATCTAAAATCTTTGTTCTTAGGGAAAACCCACTGATGGAGCTAGCAGATAATAGAGGCTCTTAAGGACGTTTGTCCACCATTTCTAGTGTATCAATCTGTTATTGGGATCTAGTGGACCCCCTAACTGGAAATAAAAAAATATTTCAAAATGACTTCTAACAAATAAAATATAGTGCGTATTGGTATCCCTTCCTTTATACCTGCTAATGCTTGATCTCATGGAAAAAGAAAAGACCCCCCTCCTGCAAATGTACTGCATCTGTTTCTCATATCAAGCTTTAGCTTGAACTATTCAAGGTCCATCCTTAGGCCTATTACCTGTCACTATGATGCATGGTGTAGGAAATGGATGTACATATAGAATGAAGGTTGTTCATGGCATGTAGACCGAAGACTGTCCAATTTTAACTTCTGCTACTTGGGCCTGTATTGTATAGTCCCAAATTTGAACTGTTATGTATCACTTCCCCTTCCTGCCAATGTCTCCCAGTTTTAATAATTGTTCCTTGAATTTCACCTTGATAGGACTGCTTCTCTGTTGAAGGGGAAGACTTGAAGCATGACTTTGAGCGCTTGCAGCTAGCTATGGAGATGGTGGGCTTTCTTCCCAAGACTCGCAAACAGTAAGATGTGATTTCTTGTTAACAGGACGTTGTGTTGTAAATTGGTCTTCTGAGTCTTTCAGCATGCATATTTGGTTGCAGCTCATCATATCCAGCGTCAGCTGATTTTTAAGTTTTATGCTGGTTTGAATTATTTGTTGCCATGTCACTGAGCATTCACTAGTGTTCAGAAGCAAGCTCCATGGAAGTCAAACTTCGCCTGCACTGTACCAAAAATGAAGGTCATTTTAGTTCCAACTAGACTGTCTGTCAGTGACTAAATTAAGGCGTTATAACCAAAGCAATGGTTATGCAATATTTTATATTCTGCATTGAGCCTTTTGGATTGAGTAGGTTAAAAATCCAAGAACAATAGAATTTTATTCAATAGTTCATAGAAAAATACTCTTCCAACAGACATTACATAGGTATTACTCAGTGGTTAATGGAAGATTTCACTAAAATATTCTGAACAGATGTGTTTGATATGTTAAAGAAATAATATCTAGCTTTTTATAAGTAGCAATCAAAACATCATAACAGAGCCTATTAGACATAGCCTTGTAGTATCCTCTCTCTCTCTCTATAAGTGTTGATATATAATTTATATGCAATTTAGGAAGCATTTCTATATATCAAAGTATTAAAGAGTATCAAAGAATCTAATACAAAAATGCTGAACTCATTAATGCATAATAAAATACTCATGAGCTCAATTTAATTTCTTGCATTGTTAGTTCTTAAGCAAAAGAAAGCAATATATTCTTTTATGTCCCTAGGATTTTTTCCCTCTTGTCCGCAATTCTCCACTTGGGTAACATCTGTTACAAAAAGAAAACCTACCGGGATGATTCGATAGATATCTGTAACCCTGAGGTCTTGCCTGTTGTCTCAGAACTTCTGGAGGTGAGCTGTGGAAAGTTATCATAATCAATTCTTTTTTAAAGGGAAACTATAATGTCTTAAGGCTATAAGGATGTCAGTGAAGTGATTAGTTTTGGTAGTCTTTTGGTTTCTTGAGCAGTTCAATACAGTAACGGTGTTTTTGTTATGAATGCCAAATGGTATTCAGAACAGTAATATATTAGGACTTGTAAATCTACTGCAGACCTCTCAGATTCTAGAACCTCACTCAGTTATCCTTTTAAAAGAAATATGGATGTTTAGCAAATATAGTTATCTGTTCTCTCAGATTCAGATGCTCTGCTTAGGTCAAGTCTGTATATCAGACAAGTGGAAAAACGTTCCCCATTTTCCATTCCACCTCATAATTCTTCCTCATGGCTGGTTCAAGTGCATCTAACTATACCATAATAACTTAGCATTTATATAGCACTTGTAAAGGTTGAAGGTGCTTCATATATTTTTGTTTGTTTGTTTGTTTCATTTATGTGCTTTCCCATAGCCAAAGCACTCTGGGCAGTTTACAACAGTGCATAAAACACACATATGTGATCTATAAGGAAATTGATATATCATGCAGAGCGGAACTGAGGCTGAAAGATGGTGGCTTGGGGCTTCCAGTTTATAGCCTCTGTTGTGCATTCTTTTTCCAGCTGCTGCAGGGTAGCGTTTATGGAGCTTGGTCTCATGGACAGTTATCAAGTAGAAGACTGAAGATATTGGAAAACTAGTGTTATGAAGTAGTTTGAGTGTTGCACTAGGACCTGGGAGATGGTCATGAAGCTCACTGAGTGACTTTGAAGTAGTCACTGACTGTCAGCTTAACCTACTTTGGAATGTTGCTTTGATAAAATAGTTATTCTGAGGGTAATAAAAGCTGCCTTGGGCTCTTTGCAAGAAAAAGGGTAGGATTATAACAAAATGTAATATAGCATTTATCAAGCTCCTCAACCAGCAAAGAAATGCTAACTTAAGAGTGTTGATTTCAAAACTTTCTCATTATTTATCTGTGTGCTGACAAAAGAAATCTATTTCATCGACTACCCATCTTATTTGCAACTATAGTATATGCACGATACAGAATCAAAGGATGGAAGAGGCCTTATCTACTAGGTCTTATCATTGAACCCTCTGCACAATGCAGGACTTCAGGTTAAAGCATCCCTAATAGATGGCTGTCCAGCTGCATCTGGAATGCCTCCAGCGTGAGAAAGTCAAAACCCACCCTGCATAATTGGTTCTGTTGTCATATTGCTCTAAAAATCAGGAAGCTTTCCTGATCTTCAGCCAGAATCTGGCTTATTGCAGCTTGGGCTCATTGTTTTGTTTCCTGAACTTGGGGATGATTGAGAGGATATCTTAGTCCTGTTTTCCAAGTACTTGAGTGCTATCATATCTTCTCTCAGGATTCCCAAGGCTGAACATGCCTACTTCTTTCGGTCTCTCCCTGAAAGGGCTTTGTTTCTAATCTCATGATCATCTCTGTTGCCCTCCTCCAAATCTTTTCTAGTTTGTTTTCATCTTTCTTTAATTATGGTGACCAAAACTGGACACAGTACTGAAGATGAGGCCTAACCAGTGCTGAATAGCAAAGAACTAGTACTCCACATGGTTTGGAAGTAATACTTCTGTTAATACAGCTGAAATTGCATTTGTCTTTTTTGCAGCTGGATAACATATTTGGCTTGCATTCTACAGCAATTCCAAGAATCAGTGCATGAATGACAAATAGATGTGATACAGTGGGAACTGAACACTGGAAAGTGCTCAAGATGAGTCCTTAAGGAGAACTGCAGTTTGTGCTTGGGTCAGTCCAAGACACACAGGGCTGAGATTTTAAGCAGTAGTAGAATAGCAGGGGTCAACTTCAAGGCCAGGAGGCTGGCAGTAATCACAAAATGGACACAAAGACCAATAAATTACATGTGACGTTAGAACAAGGATTTGACTGGAGAACAAGGCAAGCATGTGAAAGAAAACTATGGGAACTTTGCAATATTGTCTTGTGAAAATGCATTGAGAACAAAATATTGCTGTACTGTACATAGCTGTCTTGAATGCCATTTTTGGTAGAAAGGCAGGGTATAAGTTAAATACATAAATATATATTTTACCATGAATGTTTTACAGGTGATAAGTAAAGTTTTGAATCATTTAGGTCTAGTATATTGTTCTCCTGCATTCTCTTTTAAAAATCTGATTAACAATTATATTGTTGACAATCAGATAGAATAGAATTCTGGTGTTAGATGAAGGGGTACATTCAGTAATTTTAGTTTGGTAGAAACCTCCACATTCTTACACTTGTTTGGTTGTGATTTTACTCTGCGCGAAAGAAATCAGTCTCTGAGTAAAAGCTGTTCAGTGTGAGAAATTACTATTACTGGTGCAGCAACATGTTACAGAACGCTGACAGACCATATAAAATTTCTATTTAAGAAGTTGACTCCAAAGACTAGGTAAAGTCTCTCTTTTTTTCCAAATGAGAAAGTTTGTTTAAAAAAAAATATCAGTTCCTGTATAAGTTTCCAGTAGTAAATACAAATGTCTTTCTCAGTGAAGTACCTGGAGAAGGTCGTTTGATAACTGTTTTTATTTTGGGGCAAGAAGAGTGATCTGTTCTCAGCTCCCATGTTAAGATGGATTTTTTTCTTTCTTTCCTGCATTTTGTCTCTAACAGCTTTGTCAGTTCTGGAGAAGTAATCTTTAGTCTGCCTTGGCTTTCAACCAATCTTTTGTAAGAGTCTGGCTGCCTGATCTCTGCCCTTCTGTCTGTGAACTGTTTGACTTTTATAGATATGTAGGAGGTGCCTGTCTTCTTTTACTTGTCTTTAAAAACCAACTGTCCTTAGCACTTCATTGCTAGTTAACTTATATGTGGCAAATAGTTCATGTCTATATCAGGACCTGCTTCCTAAAAGACTACTTTTTTTCAGAAAAATGAATTAAAAACAAAGCCAAATAATAAAGAGACTGATTTAAGTCAGCTTACCTATTTTGAAAATCATCTTCTTGAAACTTGAATGCTTTGTTTGCATATTTCCTGAAGGCACAGTTGGTGGGGGCATTAGAGGAATCTTTCTAATTATAGCACCTTGATTAGGTGACAGCCTTCCCAAAGAGACTTTGGTTCCCTTCCATTATATTCAGACCTGCTGTGAAATACCCTTTATTTTTTCAGACTACCTCCACTGCATGTCTTCCCTTGCAGTGTTTAAGTGTGGTTTTGTGCACTTGGATTGTCATTGTATTAATTAGTTGTACTTTTACTGCCTTGAGGCCCCTTGGTGAGTGTGAAAATCAAGGGGTTTTTTAAATATAATTATTCTGAATAAGCCTACATAGTATTATTAGTATTATTACATTGTATTTATGTCCTACCGCTTGTGAGTAATAACTGGCTGCTGTAACCAGGTAGTGCCTCTGTACAACATAGGTCTATGAAACAGAATCTTTGGTCCTGCAGTGTAATGGCTTTTGTGCCACAGAATGACATCTTCCTAGAGACCAGAGACAAGCTTTTGTGTGGAGCTTTCTGCCCACATTAAGCAAGATGGGTTACTTGAAGGCTAAGAATGCAACCCTACACGTGCACTTATTTGGAATAAAATCCAGTTGATCAGAGTGGGATTTTTTTCTGAGTGAACATGGACTGTAAAGCTTAGGCATCTGGCATACATAAAATAGGAATTACAAGATTACCCATATGGGTTTCAGCATATAATGCTGGCTTGAAACAAAATAGCTTCTTCTGGATGTTTCAACATCTGCTTGGCTAGATCTTGGTTCCAGTAGAAAGCCCACCATTATAAATGCCTGATATGTCATTTATAATGATTAAGCTCAGAGGTCAGACATCTTTCCATCATGGTATTCTCTCTTAGAAAAGCAATTGTTGAGTGTGCAATAGATTATGATAATTCAGCATTAAAAGATTGTTCGCATTACATTCAGAATGCCTTTCAGTCAAGTCACTTTTTAAAAGATGATTACCATCACTGGGATTTTAGAAATTTTAAATGATCCTTTAAATCTTTGTTCACCTCCAAAGGACTGCAGGATTTTATTTTTTTTTTTAATTGTACTTCCATCCCAAAATAAAATAACTGGTAATGAGCCAGTGACAGTCACTCTAAAAGTACTGTCATTGGCTGACAGAATTGGGATCGTGAAAGCCAACCATCAATTTTCACCATTTCAAAATAAATAAATAAACTGCTAAAAGGCATGGGCAACCCCAAACAATGCTCAAACATTGGCAAGGAAGGCAGCAAGCCAGTGCCAGCCACTCCTAAGTGCTACTTGGGCATTTGCAGGGCAGCTGGCACTAGCTATGGCTTGGGTGAGCTGGAAAAGTGGCAAGGGTATTTTTGCCACTCTTGCAGAATTCCTCACCAGCTGCTGGACTATATCCACAATGGATTTGGTCATCTAGATGACACAGTTAACCCAAATGGGTAGAACAACCCCCATCATGGTCCATGGGTTCTCAGGGTGGCTTGCTTGGAAAAAAGCAAACCACTCTAGGCTAGGCTCAGACAGTGCAACAATCCACCATGGCTTCTTGGAAATCATGCATGATCAGTGTTAATGGATTTTCTGAATCTTTTTGACAGTTAAAAGACAGGTATTACCGGAGAGATTAGGGCTCATCGATAACGCAGTGGATTGAAGAATTTGCAATACTTTCAGTATTGCAATGGGTATCATATAGATGCCAACTTTGAATGGGTATTTATTTGGCCATCTGATCTACTTTTGTTGAAGCTTGATTGCTAGAAAGTTGTACTTTCATAAATATGGATTTCACATGTACATGTTTACATTTGCTAAGCACCATCAAGTCATCCCTAAATTAGGGCAAGCCTTTTCATGAGTGCAGCCTCATATGTTTCCTTCTTCATTGTCTGTCGCATTTCTCAAGCAACCATGAACAGATTGATCAGTGGTTCTTGCCTGCATAAGTGAGAACTGAATAAGGATGCCACACAGCTTCTTTCTACATACCATGTATCATACCATGCATTGTCAACCTTAAACATACTCTGAGGAAACACAGTACATGAACACTTAAGATAAGTGTTGAGAACCATTATTTGAACTGGCAAAGGTTTAAAGCACTTAGATTTGAAAAGCTGAGCACGCAAAGGATGCATCTGTCGAATTGTCTTTTAAAAATAACCAAGTCTTACCCAGCAAAGAGACCATCTTAACAAATGTCGCCAGGCTAGACTTGTTTATTCTTTACAATATTAAATGTTGGCAATCATGCACTGTTTCTACAGACCTGAGATTTTATCTGCATATCATCACTTTGGGTCTTTTTTTTCTTTGCTGTTTCATCTGTTCTAGGAAAATTTCATTTAAGCGATTGGAATGTTATTTTCTGGTAAAATATTTTGCATGTTTGATAGGCTATTGCAGTCTATTGCAGAGAAATGCTGAGAACATTTATTTTTGAGTGTTTTGAGATCTGACTTGGGGTGTGTGAGTTGCAATTAGTTTTGGAGCTGGTTCAAGTGGGAATGGCAACTAGAAGCTGGGCAAGCATGGGAAAAATCCCCGAGAACTCTATCTTCCCCCACAATGTTTTACAGTACAGTTGTCATACCAGCTAAATAGGAAAAGCTGGCTGCCAAACAGGTGAGGGTAATGCTTGGGGCCATCTTCCTATAGACATGGCATTAGCACTTGCTGGATATCTCCCTCTTTCCCACCTGTGCAAGTGCTAATCCAGTTTACAGGTTTGGCGGGAACAACATTCCAGGCAAGTAAAGTTAGGCATGTAGGGAGCTGCCTCACGCCAGATTTGTCCATCTTGCCTTCTAAATTGTGGTGCACACCATAAGGAATGTTCTCTTTATGAGACCGGATGGGTCCCTAATGTGGAGGGTTTCCACCAACAGCTTAAAAGACACATCTGTTTGCTCAGGCATTTCCTGACCCCTTTCACTGCCAGCTATGCCTGATTATTTTAATGCTAATTGTACTGAGATTTTATTGCTTTATCACCATGTTATTGCTTTATTGGTTGTTTTATGGTTTTTTATTATGTTTTATCTTGTTTCTATCTTTGGGAGTCCTTTTTAATTGAAAGCAATATAGCAATATAGGCATTTTCTGAAATAAACAGAAGCCTAATATTGACTGCCCTGTCCATTGTTCTGCAGGGTCTCAGGCAGAGGTCTTTTCCAGTCACTTGTTAGCAGATGTTCTCTTAGTTGGAGATGTCAGTGAGTGAACTTAAAACAACCTCCATGCAAAGCATATGCTCTTTTGTCAAGCTATTATCCTACACTGCTTACATTATATCATATGTGAAATGGTTTTGATTAAAGAGATACAGAGTAGGTACAGGAACTCTGTATGATTTTTAGGAACTTTTTCTGCAAAGAGCAATATCTATATTTATTGGACCTGGACGCGCAGGCTAGAACCATTCTTGCTGTGAAATGTGCAGTCATTTAACATAGAGTGTGTTCATATGTGTCTTTTTGTAAGGAATCTGAGGTTAAAGGTTCAAGAAATCTTCTAGTTTGAGCCAGTTTTGAAGTTGGAATGAACTTAGGATCATGAAGGGGAGGCTAACCATTCTTTGCTACGATATTGTTCTTTTTATTTTACTAGCCTGAAAGTGTTATGAAGGCAAGGTTTATAAATGGTGTCTCTTTCAGATACTGTGCTAGAGGAATGTGAACTTATGTCCAAGTGGAATGAAATATTTTGAGTGAATCATAACATACAGAGTTCAACCCCTCTAAACGTACAGTCACACTCACAGACATTTAATGTAGTTTCCTTTCTAGTTCAGTGGCTTTATCTCTGCGCATGAAGCCTACCCCCTTGTCTTATTTGTGACACTTTCATTTTCCTTCCCTTCCTCAGGTTAGCTTTTGGTTTCCTTAGCATCAAGAAGTCTCATAGGGGCCACTTCAAAACAATATGAACACCTTTATGTGGAAAGCACACCTCTTGTGGATTCACTTGAGACGAGCCATGGAGGTTATTACCCTGTTTGATAGGAAGGTACTGGGTCATGTTCCTCATCCTGGGGAACTATAAGATGCCAGTGGACATGAAAGCCACAATACAAGCAGAATAGCCTTGCATGAAAACTATCTTTATTCCGGTCAGAAGAAAAGGCACTCAGGGTGACCATGTGTTGCTACCCACCAAAGCAGTAATCAGGCCAGAGGCCCATCTAATCTAGCATTACTTCCAACAATGACCAGTCAGCTTGCAAACAGGTCTGAAGTTAGTTGCCACCTCCTGCTGGTCTCCAGCATCTTTTAAGCAAAGGTATACTGTTTCTGCACATGGAGGTTCAATTTAGAGCCATAGCTATTAGCTATAATAGCTGTTTTGCATAGTTTTGTCTATGCCTTTTTAAATGGCATCTGTTAAAGGCATTTGCCACATCTTGAGGTAATAAAGCCTATAAATTGCTTATGTGCTGTGTGAGGCCCTTTCTACTGTCTGTCCTGAGCCTATTGCAAAACTGCTTTCCTCGGCAAATCATTGGGGGGGGGTATCAGTGAACTTGTGCTGGGTAGACTTAGACCTCGAACACTGGCTAATCCAGACTTAGCAATAGAAACATTGGGTAGCCATTGCCATATTTGGTTAGTTTTTCTCCATGATGTATGTGTTGTGCAGATGAACAAAGCTAAAAAGTACCAAATCTCCTTAAGGTTTGTAAATGAATAATGACTTGTGTTCTGTAGTGCCCATCTTTAGAATGCCCTCCAGATTGAAGCTTGACTTGCATTGGTACTGATGTCATTTCAGTACCAGATTAAAATGTACTTATCTGGTCAGGCATTTTAAAGGGTGATGTTTGCTTGAGCTGCTATTCATGTTATACATACTCTGTTCTTTTCTTGTAACGTTGTAAGTTACAGTGTATTGGTAGTCTGTGTTGGTTCTTGAATGTTTTTGCTTACCACTCCCTCTTAGGGTGAAGGGTGGCTTAAAAATGTCTTTAATAATTGTGGTAAGTTTTCCTGTAGAAAGTTTCTATCATTTTTCAGAGAAGATTTCAACTGTTAGCATTTTTCCTGGCCTCTGGGCAAGGTTACCAAGGGCCACTATTTTTGCCTTTCTGGTTCACTGCGACAAAGAGAAGGGAAGGCGTTTAATGATCAGCGTGTTCATTTGTACTCTCAGTGCTACTGTTAGTTTTCTGTGCTTCCTTTCCTGAGATGAGGTGTGCTGTACAAGAAAACTGTTTAAGTTAAAAACAGTTTTAGTGCCTGCTTGAATGCAGTGAGACTGTCTATGGGTTCCAGGTAGCAGAAATAGTCGGTCACATAGAGAACTGTAAACTTGTATCACTCAGCCTTCAGATGCTATATACAGGAAAATAATACAGCAATTTGAAAACTGAATGTAACTAAGACTGGGTTTGTTTGCATTATAATAAGTTTATTTGGGTTACTTTGGCATTTTAAACACACAAGTCTTGCTCTCTCCTAACACTTAAGCTTTTATGTGTCTAGAATTCTGATTAATGGTGGATTTTGTTTTCTTTTTTGCTAGGTCAAAGAGGAAATGTTGTTTGAAGCACTGGTTACAAGGAAGACCGTTACTGTTGGGGAGAAACTTGTGTTACCATACAAACTGGCAGAGGTCTGTTTACCAAATTTCTTACATCTGGAAATTTGCAAGGGGCAGACTAGGAAAAAAACTTTTATGTTCCTATAAAATTTGGGGAGGGGGTTTTGCAGTTGGCAGGTAATGCTGCCTAATTTTTCAAGAGCTTCTAAGTGTGTAAGCAAAGATAGCACCAGAGTGAAGTTTACGTATCAGACCGTACAACTTCCTATTTTAAGTGTTTCGTGAATAAGTTTTATTGTCAAATCATACTGGGAGTGAAAACAAGCATTATTTATGGCATTTACCTACAGACTTCACTCCTGGCAATGGCATGTGTGTGTGTGAGAGAGAGAGAGAGAGACAGAGACAGAGACAGAGACTTTCCTTCCTTCCGGAAGGAAGTCTTTTTGCCATAGTTTTTCTTTAGCAAAGTATTGCAGTTACCTCTCCAGTCTGAACAGCATGCATTACTCCATATTTCGGCACGCTTTATCCTTAGTTTTCAGGTAATGACCAAAATAAGATAATTTCATAATCATTTTAGGTATATAAAAAGTGGATGCAGATTGAAGCTTTAAATGTGGATCTCTTGATCATTTCTCTTCCTAAAATTATTAATACTCTTTTCAGTTGAGTTGAACATTCAAGGAAAAGTTAAGTTTAATTTAAAATTACAGCCTCAAAATTTACTCTTAAGTGTGTCCACAAAACACTAACCCTCTGTGCTTAGAATTCCAGTGATTTGGGGAACTTTGACTTCTCAAATGAATCCTTCAGTAATGTTTAGCTTTCAGCAGAGCCAACATACTATTTGGTTAGTTCTCATTAACTATATAAGTTACACGTTTTTCTGCCTATTATGTTTAGTCATATATTTTTAAGGGTGGGATATACCAAGTAGTACTTGGAACAAACTGTTCCCCCACAAAATGCAAGTTGTTTAAAAGTGTCATATATTATCATATTCTCTGATAATCTGTAATGTAACATGCATCATCATGTATCAACATATAATCATATTTATCAACATATGAGTAAGAACAAGCAACAGGCATTACGCAAGCAGGGAAGTCAACGCATTACTTCATTATTTGTTTTTAGTTTAGATGTTTTTCCAGATTATTTCCTGTTCAATCTAATGAAGTTTCAGTAATCAGTTTGGCACATCTAGAACAACCAGTTTGGGTACTTGAGCTCATGGTTCTGTATGATTTCTGAATTTGCATGTGATAAAGTGATTGATGTTATTCTGCTATGATTCCCTTGAATTCCCATGAAGGCCAGTTGATATGCACTCAAAATTTATTTATTTTATTTATTAAAACATTTTTATGCTGCCCCATTCGCCGAAGCCTCAGGGCGGCTTACAACAATAAATAAAAGTAATTATAATATAAATTACAATAAAAATAAACATTAAAAATCCAAAAAATACAATATAAAATAAGCCGCCCTGGCCAGATAAGATCAAATAATACTAACAGTTAAAATGCCGCTTAAATAAGAAGGTCTTCGCCGGGCGCCGAAAAGCAAATAACGACGGCCCCAGGCGGACCTCTCTGGGGAGCGCATTCCATAACTTAGGCGCCACCGCAGAGAAAGCCCTCCTCTGAGTACCCACCCTCCTAATTTCTTTCACGGAGGGTTCCCGGGGAAGGGCCTCTCCCGCCGATCTCAAGGGGCGGGCAGGCATATATGGATGTAAGCGCTCCTTCAGGTAACCAGGACCCAAGCCGTTTAGGGCTTTATAGGTCATTACCAACACCTTGAATTGGGCCTGGACTTCAATGGGAAGCCAGTGAAGCTGACGGAGAACTGGAGTCATGTGACCATAACGCCCAGTCCCCGTCAGCAAAATGGAACAATTAACACTTAGGAAGGCAATATTCCTAGGCTTGGGGGAACTCCTTGGTTTTCAGAAGTACAAATTCCTTACCAGAGGTGGGAAGATACACCAAACATCCCCAAAGAAGGAGAATGGAATGGCGTATCCTGGAAAGGAGCATAAGTGCCTGGCATAATGAAGCAGTCAGCACTGTAGCAGCAGCTTTATGTTGGGCAAGTCATGGATTCAGATCTTCCGTTAGCAGGGTGCTGCCCAGCTGCTATCCTTTTAAGACCTCTCAGACAAGTCTTCAATGAGAAGCTTTACCCAGTAGTCACTTCCTGGGACCATACGAAATAGACATACTAAACTGCACTTGTGACTTTACATAACACAGCTTTGCCTTAGAATTTACCACATATTTTCTGTCTTTTTCTTCCCTTAGCTGCTTTGTGATATCCCTCAAAGCAGTGCATTTTAGTTTTGAAATCTCCACAGTTTCCTGTATACTTTTGTAAATTCTAGGATGACAAAATGAATAAGCCAGTATTCCCTAATAGATTGCAAGAATACATATAGAAGATCTGCCAGAGATGGTAGATCTCTATTCTGAGGATGCTGTTGTTGTGAAAGGCATTTGGATAACAATGCTGCCCTTTGAAATGGTACTTGAGGGGGAGAACTGAATCAGCAGAATGTGAAGTACATGCTCTGTCCTCTTAGACTGAGGGTGTACCTCATGTGTGCACAAGCAAATCATTTTTCAAGAGGCCATATTTGAAAACAAGTCTCTGTTAAGAAGCATTTGAGATCCAAAATTGGTCTTGAATATAACTACAAGCGTGCAGTTCATTTACATTTCCTTTGCTTTGGTCATCATATTAGTGGCATATGTAAGAAACATCGGTATAGGAAATTGAAGAGAGAGGGATGAAGAAACAGGAGGGAAGAGGGAAGCAGTATACTAACAACCTGTCCTTTAAAAAGAAAGAAAACTGTTCATGCTCATTATTCAAGAGTCTAATTAAGATGTTCTGTAGGGATTAAAGCTGACCTAGGTTCTTTTGATATATTAAAAATGGGCTACATGAAGAGGCTATGCTTGCATAAGTTGGAGCATGATAAATAGAATGCAAGCATCTCATTCTAACTGACACATCAGCAGTATGGAGCAATTATTCTCCAGACTTGTTAACATTCTTTTAAAATACCATTCTATTCCTGTTTTTATTTTGTTCTCTGATAATATCATGTGAGGATGGATGGATAGAGTGATAATAGGTTGTTCTGAATCCAAGGATTCCAAATATGAGACAAGCTTCCCTACTGAAATGCAGCTGATTTTTAGGGAACCTAGTAAATTACTCCTGACACATACAAGCCAAAGTAGTTCTTATGTGTTTGTCTCAGGGCCCAGTTTGTGCCAGGTCAGAGAATCAAGTTTGGTTGCAGCAAGGCAGAGGAAAAGTGAGATAAGCCTAAGAAGCTGACTTATATTTTGTCTGTCAGCAGTGGCTCTCCATGGTTTTAGAGGTCTTTTTCAGCCCTACTTGAAGATGCTGTGGATTGAATCTGGGGCCCTTTAGATGCAAAGCATGTGCTTTCCTGCTGAACAACGGCAGGGAAGAGCCACAGAGTTGCATTGTTGCAAGCCTGACCTGGTAATTTTTATAGGAGGAGGTGGGGAACCTCTTTCAGCTTGTGGGCCAAAAAGTGGATGATATTCAAAAAATATTCAAAAAGTGAATATTGTGATTGTTTATATGCTGGCTACACTAGTCTATTTTCTCAAAAAAAAATCCTTTGCAGGAATTTAAAAGTTTACCCCGTATTCTTTGCTGTGCTACTAAATAGCACTAGCTAGCTGCCTCATATTAACTCCACACTTGTCAGTGGGTAAACAATTTAAGTGACTAGGACTCAGAATGAAATACAAAGTAAAAATGCTTCCAGTAAATCATGAAACATGCTTACAAAGACAGCTTCAGCAGGCTGCAACATCCCCTGCGCCTCCCAGTGTGAAATACCAGTTCCTTTTATTTCAGAACCTTTCCTGCACCCCATCTCCACCCCCAGGTGAGCTTTAGGTTTATGAAAGCCATTGTTTTGACCCTTATATTTTAAATGTTGGCAAATTGGATTTGGTCAGTCTCTCCTCTTCTCTCTTGTCTGGTGGAATAAGCATCAGGACTTAGAGGATATTGCTAATGAAGCATTATCCTTGTTCAAGCCGTTTGAAAAAATATTCAACACATGAAAGGAGGATTTGCTCTATACATTTGAGTAAATGCACCACATTTCAAATAATTACCCTCAAAATGTAATTATTATATTAGGCAAGAAAACAAACTATTTAAAACCATTTTAGTTCATGTGGCAGTAACGCATGCTCATGCTGTCAGGTTTCTTCTTCCTGAGATGAGATCAAGAATGGACTTTCAGCCAGAAGTGATAGAAAGTAACTGAGAATGCATGATCTCATACAGTTTATGCTTGATGCGGAGTAGGATGGGAGTGTGTTAACCCAGGTTCATACACAGTGTCACACTGAGTATGAAATCTTGGTTTCAAAACTTTACTGTGAAAACCTGTGGGTGAGTTTGCATGTTATGCCAAGCCACCTGAGAATAAACCACAATGGGCTGCTGTTTTATCCTGACAGGCAGTCAGGCACTCTGGCTTTCCATGTATTATTTCTCCAAATCATTCTCCCATTTCCAGCATGTATTCTTTCTACCATTGTGTTCGATTTTTTAATTTTATTATTTGGGGACTTGTGAAGGGCACAGGAGCTCAAGACTGCTTGCCCACTATTTAGTACAACGCAGTGGTGTACCTCTCTTGACAATGTACTTAGCTTCACCTTCCACTTTTGCCTTGCTATTTTACACCTTCAAAAAAAGTTGCTTCATGAATCGCCATCGTAATTGGAGCTGCCCTAAGAGAAGGAGGAACTGCTATTCCTCCTCCTCCCGTAGCTGCCAACTTCTTCTGACTTAGTTCCACCTTTGTGCTTGTCACTTCCCTTTACTGTGAAAGGATGAGGAAGGAGAGTGGTGACATGAGCAAGACGAGGAGGAGTGGCAAGGATTTTTGCTGCTCTTGCTGAGAAGTACTCTGGCTGTTCTGGCTAACCCATGAGGAATTTGCCATGCCAGTTTCAGACACCCCAACAGGGCACTCTGAAGACAAGCCATCCAGAACAATCCAACAGCAGCCTGTGGGCTCTTAGAGTGGGTTTTTTTTTTTCATGAAAGAGATGCATAAAGAGAAAGCTGTCCTATGAATGGACATCATGAGAAGCTACCCTGAAACAACCCATGACTTACCATATCATGCAAACCAAATTGGTGTGGTGTAGTAGTTATTGCTGGATTAAAAGTAGGGAGGCGCAGGTTCAGATCTCCACTAGCTGTGTATCTCACTGGGTGACTTTGGGCCAGTCAAACTTGCATAAAATGGAGCCTGAAATACTGAAAATAATGCAAATAGTTGGAAATAACATATTTGCAGGTAAACCAATTATAATATTTGGCTTTATTTCTAATTATCCAATTTGCTTTTCTAGGCTGTTACTGTACGAAATTCCATGGCTAAATCGTTGTACAGTGCCCTCTTCGATTGGATAGTTTTTAGAATTAACCATGCACTTTTGAATACCAAGGACTTGGAAGAAAGCACCAAGGTAATGGTCTGCCTGAATGTAATTTGCATGCTTTTATCAAGAGCTTTGTTTAAATAGCTAGTGAGATGTTGGCTTGGCACCAAAATCAAAACAGGGAGAAATGCAAAAGCAAATGAAGCTAGTCTTGCTGTGTCAGAGGTATATTTGCTGAATCGGATTTTCTGAGAGGTAGAAATAGACCTGTAAGGTTCCCATGCTCAGTCAGATGGTTGAGTTGCCAGACAGCATGGAGGAAAACATCCTGTCTGCCCTAATATATGAATTAATTTCATCTAAGGAAAAACCCTTCTGTCTCCAGGAATAGCATTCAAATCAAATTAAGCAAAATTCTTCCTCAGTGGACCAGACTGGAAGGATAGTCACATGGACCCACCATATAATGGGGGGGATTACACCTTCTGCGTCTACCTGTCCTGCCTTTGGCATCACTCTCTCCATGAGGATATGATATTCTTGGGCAAGCAGGCATAAATCCTGATCATGCAGTTAGGATTCCGATAAAATCCAGGCCTTTTCATGGGAGATATGCATGTAGACCATCAGGAGCATTGGTGGTAGAATAAGCAAGGGGTGGGAAAATGTGCTGTTAGTGATTCCAGCAGAAGACATCGTGCAGCCCAGTTCAGTGTCTCCCTGAGAGTGAGTGTGGGTGTTGAATTACACAGGTGTGAGCTGTGCCTCAGTGATCACCATTTTCTAAACATAGATTGAATTACTGCAGTCTATCACTGATGCACAGTTTAATTCCGCAGTTTTATCTATTTTCATTGAAAGATGAAAGTAATTGCTCTCAGAGGTCATAGGACACAATGTTCTGTATTCTGAATGTTTATGAATAACCTTTCTGACTACACCAGTCAAGTCAGGGTTATAGGCACCCCAGTTATAATGTTCAGCATTTAGCGGATTGCAGGTAAATCCCAATTGTTCAGGTTCACTATGGGTCATTGTTTCATACTTGGTATGGGGCTTATGCATATAATACTGTTGACGTAATCTGTTGCAAAACCTGCTGTTTGTGGGAGTTAATTCTATATGGTATGTTCCAGTCTGGTTTCCTTGTAATATTGTGTGCTTTTATATTATTGCAGAACATCTAGCACTTCCACCCACCCACCCATCTTGCTTTTCTTTTCTTAAAAGGTTTAACTTCCCGTGTAACTCTGGTGCACAGTGACCAGCATGCTTTATGACTCTGTTGTTTTATCTTTATTTGGTGTGTGAAGTACATGCATGCAGAATTTAAATAATGTTATTTTAATGCTGACAAGTACATGCCAGTACTTTCATGCCCATTCAATACTTCTTCCCAGTTGGGGTTTTTTTTAATGACATCTTTTTGTGGCTGAATATACAGCAAATGGTCTTTGTGAAAAAGCTCATGTATCCTACTGAAGAGAACCTCACAAGACACAACCATTTTATAACAGAGTTTAAAATTTGATGTGGTCAATCAAGAAAAAGGCAATGCTAAAACTGTGTATAGTTTCTTGTGTTCAATCATGAACAAATATATTTTCTTCTGGTTCATCCTGGTTCCAGAGTACACAGGTCTAGTCCCATAAGTCTATTTATTAGCCATTGGAAACATAAATTAGGCATCTGATTCAGATTCCTTCAGATTCCATTGATGAAAATGCAAAAATACATTACTGCAATAAGAATCTGGGATGTTTTTTGATGGAGGGCACTGTGCATATATAAATAAATCCGAAGAATGCCTGCTTCACAGTATCTCACAGGATCACAGTATTTCAAAGTACATAAAAAAACCCTAAAAGGCCAGCATTAAAATCTGGGAATGTATCAGCCATGCCAAATAGCAGATGGACATATTTAAATGTAGTAGTGAATTTCTGCATTAATTTGCTCTGGAGGAAAACCTTAGTAAGCTTGATGCTGTAGAATTGATCATATTTACTCCATTTACAGCTTGTATTTCACATACAGCTGGGAGGAGAGATGCAGCTGTAACCAGTAGGCCCCTTATCCTCTAGTGTTAACAATCAGTACAGAAAATGTGCGCGTGTGTGTGCCCCTGTAATGATTGCAGTTGTCACAATGTTTTGAAAGCAGAATGAGAGACACAGTATTAGAAACAGATGGAAGGGAAACGGTACTGATAATTAGCAATGCACTTAATATTGCACTTTTTCAGGGTGAAGTTAACATGTTATATACCACAGTGACTCATATCATTATTATTATTTATTAGATTTTTATCTTGCCCCATTAACTATGAGGTTCAGATAGTTTCATGAGACCTTTATCTGATGGTTGTGGAAGTGCCTCTAACTACAGCTTCCTACTTCATTTAGCAATTTTATTTTAACTATTCATTTCCTGTTAATGGTTTCCATCATGACTATAGGTGAATGTGGGTTTTTAAACATTGGTTAAAGGTTAAAATTAGGACTAAAGCTGCTCCTTAGCAGGGATGTCAGCTGTAAAAGCTTTTTTTTTTTTTAATGGGGGGTTAGCAGTTCTACAGATATACTTAAATGCAAGACAGAAAATAGTCCACTACTTTATTTTTTACGGAACATTTCTTATTCTAGGAAAATAAATTTTATAACAAATATAATAACAAGCATATTTGCCAATTAAATCAATACAGTTTAAACAAAAATTGTAACTATCTTTCAGGCAACTCCCTTGATGTAAGTGCATTTATGCATAGATCTCTTGCTAAAATTAGTACATCAACAGTTTACAGTGTCTTCATGCTTTCTTAAAATCTAAACAATATAAGTACAATATTTCTTATTGAATTGTTTGTTCTTAAAATAGTTACAAGTGTTCTAGGAGAAATAATGTTCAAGTAGAGCTTTGAGTTTGAATATAACATTTATATAAGTTAATGTAGTTTATTTTGTTTCTCCTCCCTCTAATCAAATATTCAGTTCAGTTGGTTTTGGTTATTAGAGGAGGGGTAACTTTTGAGATGTTTATATAGTATGCCAAGCTAGCATGGCATTTTTTAAATTTTGCTTACTAAATAAAAATCAAATACACTAAAACAAATCTCAAACAATTTTAGAATAGCAGACCATTTTCAGATTCACACTTTTTTTCAGAATACAACCTCACATTTGGATAGACTTAATAATACTTTGCTGTTAGGAATAGAAGAAATATTTTTAAAACAACAGGCACATCACATTATTGGCCCATATTCAGCATGTCATCTACCACAATTCCAAGATCCTTCTTGCTTGTTGTATTGTTGAATTTTGTAATTGTACATTTGCTTACCTTTTCCAGGGTTGGAATTTTTAATGCCGGATGTTAACTAAACATGCTTAAATGTTGTACATAGCCATTGGTAAAATGAAAACTCAAATTGTAGTGATGATTTGAGCTCAAGGGGAAATCTTCAGTCTCCTGTGATTAGCGGGACAGCAAAGGGCTTTAACATTTGAGATCTTACGCAGTCTTGCAAATTCAGGTATTCAGTGCAATATTGCTAACTTCTTTTGCAGACCTTGTCCATTGGAGTACTTGACATATTTGGGTTTGAAGATTATGAAAGTAATAGCTTTGAACAATTCTGCATTAATTTTGCAAATGAACGTTTACAACACTATTTTAACCAACACATCTTTAAACTGGAGCAAGTAAGTCTGGAAAACTGCATAGCTGTTATATTTTTAACTGGACATTGATATATATCTCACTTGAATAAAACTTCAGTAGATTATATTCACCCCCAGGTGAATAAATTTATAAATGTAAATGTCTAAATCTTAATCTCTTGGATACTGTGTAGACCATGCCTGCTAGCCTAGAGTCTTAGCTTCCGACTAAGTGCCATCTCACTTTAGGCCACTTCGCATGCAGTGCCTATGGAACCACTAATATTCATTTTTATAGCATAGGTACATAGACTGGTTCTGGACTGCATTTGCAAAGGATATTTCTGTAGTTCGCACAATTTTCTATTTTGCCACTACTCTCAATACTCAATTATTTTTATTCTGGCCAGGATTTACTCTGCTTGTTTTTGACTGTTTATATTGATAGCTTTATTGTATTTTATTGCAGGCTTGTGATTTTAGAGTCATGATTTCAATGTTTACACGACATGCTGTGCTTTATATAGCTTGTTTGTGAGATAGGGCATGATACAAATCAAGTGCATAACAGTTTGTCAGGTAGCTAAAGCATCATTTTTGCCATCCATCAAACTGAGCCCTAGACATACCTCAGGCATGCATCCCTAACTCCCCTGAAGGCGTTTATTTACCACCACGGCTTCGTTCAAGATGTGGCTGAGTACACAGTCAACCTTTGGCACTAGAATGAGCTGCAGAGCTTTGGGATAGCAAAGCGGGGTAAAATGAATGGTGCTTCCTTTCCCATAATTGGTTTTTCTGGAAGACTTCAGGAAACTGTCACTTCCTTAAGGCATCATTTGACTCCCCCTCAAAAAGAGACCTGCCCAACCCCCTTCCAAGTGCACCTGCGCCACACAAGGTGCAGAGAGATGGCGTATAAATGTATCGATAATAAAGTTTTGTTGGTGTAGCCCAAAATAATACTGCTGCTTCCCACATGTCACCTGTTGGCCATCCATTTATGTAAATTGTGTGCCTGCTTTTGCTGTTGCTATACCCACTGTTGCTTGGTCTGTTAGCTTGAGATGACTTCCCTGTTGAGTATCATGAAGAAATAGATTCAGTTTCCTTTAGTGTTGGATGGGTTTTTGCATTAATGTAATCTCCTCCCTATCCAGGAAGAGTATAGACTTGAAGGCATCAGCTGGCATAACATAGACTATATAGACAACTCTGGCTGCATAAATCTTATCAGTAAAAAGCCAACAGGGCTACTCCATCTGCTGGATGAGGAAAGCAAGTGAGTATACTTTCTCCCAACCCAATCGAGATTTGTATTATCAAAGTGCTGCCTTTATTGCACTACAGTAACAACCTAAAGGTAGAAATCAAAATGAAAAACTTCTTCTGTTACCATCCTAGTATCCAAGGAGTCATGAATGTCATCTGTATTGAACAACTGGGCATTGCCACAAGACTTTCTGTGTGATGTGCTCCTGTTCAGGTTTTATTCCAGCTGTCCTTATTTTAGAATACTGTTATATTCTGTTCATGCTATGGCCTTATCAGGTCTTCAGAAAATGCATGGCCATAGTCTGCACACACCTCCCCCTCTAGGGTGTCCAGGTCTTCACATACCTGGATGACTGGCTGATCATCATGTCATCCAAACAAGCCATGACACAGGCCCCTGTGACCACATGCATACTGCTTTCCCATCTAGGACACTACATAAACCTGGAGAAAACTTTTCTCTCTCCCTCCTAGTCAATCCTTTTCATTGGACCTTGCCTAGACTCTTGTCATGGTAAGGGCATTCCTGCTGGAGACCAGAGCCTCCACATTGGTGGAGGAAACATCCAGTCCACAAACCACCACCACCTCTTGAGTCCAGAGGGTGCTTGGCCTAATGGCAACCTTGATCGCCGTTGTCCACTGGCCCTCATTCAACCTTTCCCTTGACCTACAGAGAACCAAGCTGAGAATCCCCAGGCACATTCAGGGAAGCTTCCAAAAGTGGGTCAAGCACCACAACCTTGTCAGAGGGACCACCTTTATTTCCCCAGACCCAAGTCTGACAATCACCACAGATGTCTCTTTTTCTGGTTGGAGAGTGCAGTGCAGGCCCTCTGCAATTTGAGGCAGGTGGAATGCCCACAACACTACTAGACATATCAATAATTTAGAGATGTTCACTGTACAGAAGGCCCTGAATGCATTCTTGAACCTCATCTTGGGCCAGCTTGTCCAGATAATCTCCAACAATACAGTGGTGGTCTGTTACATCAACGGGCAAGGTGGCACCAGGTTGATCCCGCAGCACTTCTGGTAGCCAATATCTGGAGCTGATGCATCAACCATCCTTACAGTGATCCATGTTGTAGGTACCAGCAGTGTCCTAGGTGATGCCCTTAGCTGTGCCTCCATGGACCTTCACGAGTGGGTGCTGAACCACTGTATCTGGAGAGAGCTGCAGTCAAGATGGGGTTGTCCTCATGTAGACATTTTCACAAATCAGGACAATGCTGCATACAGACACTTCTGCTCCCAAGCAGGCACAGATCCAAGCTCCATGGAAGATGTCTTCCTTCAAACATGTTCCAGGACGCTGCATTACCTCTTCTCCCCATCCCTGCTGATTATGAAGTTCCTGGCAAAAAATCACTAGGACCAGATCAATTGCATCTACATTGTGCTGTGACAGCCCTTCAGCTCTCCAGCCAGATCTTCCTCCACCTCCCACTTGAGCTTGACGTCATTCCCCGGATCAGGGAGCCATCCTCTGTCCAGAGATCCACACACTTCAACTCATGACCTGGAGAATCTGTCCCTACTCCCCAATATAGATGATGCACACGCAGGCCTCTGGGCAATGCTGTCAGTGAACTTAAGGCCAGCCACAAGACACTTAGACCGTGCAAAGTGGAGAGCCTTTACCAACTTGCCACAAAGGCACGGTTCTCAAGCCCTCAATTGCTCCATTCAGGAAGTACTCTTACTCCTTATTCCATACAGGGGCATGGCCCAGAAAGGGGTTCCCACCAAGTAAAAACGTAGCTATAGCATCTTCCCAAACAGGCTCCACACATGCACATGGAGCCCATGTGTGTGAATACACAGATAACCACTCAAAGAACAATAGTTAGAGGTAAGCAAGCTTACTTTTTTGCCTCTCCACTAAGCAGCACTTAGATGCGCACCATCTGTGCACTGAGGAAGAAGAATGGCAGTCTAAGCATTTTTAGTCCTAAAGTCATGTTATCCATAATAAGAATATTGCTTAGCATGTTACTGACAATCATGTTTTAATATTAATTGATAGCTGTGATTAGAAGTTCCTCGCATAATTGTATCAATACCTAAGAAAAGTGTTCATGTTCCCCCCTCTCACATATAGTTTTCCGCAAGCCACGAATCAAACGTTGTTAGACAAGTTTAAACGTCAGCATGAAGGGAACCTCTACATTGAATTTCCTACTGTGATGGAACCAGCCTTCATCATAAAACACTACGCTGGGAAAGTTAAATATGGTGTGAAGGTCTGTACATTGTTCACTGCTACCAGTTTTTTAAAAATAAATGTAACTTTTTTATTTAATGCTAGAAAATCAAAATTTGTTGCATAAATTATGTAAATAACATGCACACAAATGGCATACTGTGGAATGGATGTAATTGCATTGAGTATTGTAGACATTTTAGGAATGTAGGAACCTGCCTTCTATCCAGCCTGACCTTGTGTCCATGTAGCTCAGTATTGTCTGCATCAGGAATGAGTGTCCATTTCCCTTCTGGTGAAGTGGCTGCATGCTGGTGGTCAGCAGGGACAAAACACATGTGCGCACACAGCGTTCTTTCTTCCCCTTGCACCCTTTCTGACCGCACAGCGTGGAAATGCAACAAGCTGCCGATGGAGGAAAAAAGGGTCAGTTTCTTCTTGGGCCAGGTAATTTTATTTCCACGCTGCAGTATAGTCATTAGAGTGTTGGACTGAGAAGACCTGGATTCCAGTCTCCATTTGATCATGCAGCTCATTGGTTGACTTTGAACCAGTCACTGACTCTAATTTCTCAGGGTTTTTTGAGGATGAAACGGAGAGGAGGAGGAGGAGGAGGAGGAGGCGAATCGTGTGTGCTGCCTTGGCCTCTTTGGAGGAAAGGCACAATATAAATGTAAGAAACAGGTACATAAAATAAGGTGAATGGAGAGCAGGACAGTAGACTTTCCCTTCTTTTTCTCTTCCTCTCCTCATCAGGTCCTTAGCTAATAAAAGATAACAGGTAAGGTGGACCTGCAAGAAGTAGGTGCATCTCAGGAGAGGATGGCCGGCCAGAGGTTCCTCACCCCTGGGCTAAACTAACTGGCAGTGACTCTCCAGGGTTTCATACAGGAACATTTCTGAAGCTTACCTACTGCTTCCAAAAATTGAACCTAGGCATATCTGCATGCCAAGCATGAATTCTGCCACCGAGCTATGACACTCCAATTGAAAATAGAGTTTAGCATTTCTGAAGGATTATTGGTACTGCTCAGAGTTTTCTAGCATAGGTAGCTGAGTGTACTTCATTGTAATAAAAATGGTGTTCTAAATATGTTCTTCTAACGAGATATCATTGTTAAATCAGCCAAGTAGTTTTAAGTGTTGAATGAGTGTCCTTCAGTTTCACTGATACAAGAGAACATGGAATAAAGCACCAATCAGAAGGACAGAGGGAATAAATAATAAGGCCATGCTGAACACTCATTTCCTTTCTCGGTCTTTAGGATTTTCGAGAGAAAAATACAGATCACATGCGACCAGACATTGTGGCCCTCCTAAGAAGCAGCAAGAGTGCCTTTATCTGTGGGATGATAGGGATTGATCCTGTAGCTGTGTTCCGATGGGCCGTCCTTAGAGCTTTCTTCAGAGCTGTGGTTGCATTTAGGGAGGCTGGAAAGAGGTACACTGAGAAGAAAACTGGTAGGTGTTAAATTTAACTCTGGCTTCATGTGTAATTGGCTTTTCCTCTTTGAATTTCTCATGGGTATCTCAGTGTGCATTTTTATGAATAGTTTCCTAATTTCAGATATTCCATTGTAAGGAATACTCAAGAGGTCTGATGCATTACATAAGCATTTTGGATGACTTTTCCAAAGATTGTGGCTTATTAAAATGGTTATTATGAAACAGTGAATCAGAAAGACTTGTCACAGTTTAGGATGAATTATATGGTGGTGTGTTAATACTCTTTTCTGCAGGATTAATTCATTTGGGAGTTTGTGAATTGTGCATAGATTGTCAGCATTTATTAAGCATACATAATAGAAATACTTCTCTCTTTTTATTAAGTCTTTGTTTTCTCTTTAAGTCTTCATCCTCTTTCTGATGCTCCCTGCCCTTTCCAATATTGGTGTTTGGTTTGGCCTGGCATTTGGGTCATTTACACAAGACACATGTAAACCACAATCAGCAGTCTATTAGAAATGTGGAAAGGATTGCTCTTTGAAAGGTACACTCCGAAAGATCCTATTGTTTTTTGCTCACCCCCAAGAAGATTCAGCATACCAGCATAATTCACAGTGGCCCCTGCTGACATAGGAAGACATGGGACTGCCATTATGCTTGCGGAGAGACACTATTAGTATTGATTCATTTTCATAGAGCGATCTATATAAGCCCCTATATAGAGTCTGTTCACTAGTGTGAACAAGGTCAAACACTTTAAAGTTTTTCCAGAAAATAATTTTTAGGTTGCTTTAGCCCATTTCATAGCCCCAAAGGGTAGCTACATACTTAGATGTGCGGCAGTGCTCTGAAACTATCCTTGTCCTTAAATATGTTTTCATTAAGTCACATTTATGGGGCTAATTTCTTCTCCTCTTTTAGTATTTTTGACGTCTGACTTCTTTCAAAGCTGCTTTTAAACTGCTTTTAAACAAATGTGCATTAAATTGTCTTTGCACAAGTTCATACAGGACATACACAGATGCTGTTATATAGCAGAGTTACTGCTCTACAAGCATATATATGAAAAAAGAATGTGCATGCAAAAAGTCTGACATTTAATCACAAATCACTCAAGGTATTAGTTTTGCAAGTACACTGGCAAGAGAGTACAGTGAATTCTGACAGCTGCTGTTTTAGAAATAGCATAACTGCACTTGAATGTCATGCTAGTAGTTTTTGCTATTTTTTCATGGGCTTAACCTTCCAAGCATACATTAACTAATGTTCAAGAAATCACAGTTGAAGAAAAGAAAGTTTTATGGTATAGGTTTTACTTGCTCCATGAATGACAATAGTTAGCAGAGTGAGGATTAAGGATGTTGGATAGGTATTGCTTCCATATCGGGTTAAACATGCATATTGCAACTACATGTGGAGCATATATTTGTCTGTTTTGCTGGCCGTATGGTGGAAAATCACAGTAGCTAGCTTTCTAGAGGGTACACAGATGGCAAGATGGACAAGTTTGTTTTTCATATATAATAGTATACATACTTCGAATGTTTACTCATATTTGGAATTTGTGTTCAAAAAATAAGGTGCAAAATGTAGTTTGTTTATATGCAAGCTCTTTTAGTCTGTGATATAATATAGGAAGTGGGCATTTGAAATTCAGACTTCTAAATGGGGACCGTCTAGCCTGCCTGTGCCTGATATGGTAGGTTTGGGTTCCCTATCAAGCTTGCAAGCTTCTTCCCCGGGCTAAGTTCCTTCTTCTGACAGGGAAAAGCTCTTCTCACCATTAAGCAGCTGTTCTTTTTTCCTGCTCTGCAAAGGGAGGCTTTGTCACTGTGCAGCAGGGAAAGATTCTTATCTCAAATCAACTACTGATTGGAAATTTGGGTTTTTCTCTGCAGGGGAGTGGAAGTGGGACCTGGAGAGGAAGCTGCTGAGTGATTAAATTCTGCTTATTTCTGAGCAGAAATACAGAAGCTTACTATTTGGATGCTGATTGCAAGGTTTTATTTCTGCCTGCTTGTGACTTAAACATGCAGAAAACATGTTCAGTGCTTCTGAGTAGGCTTAAGATTGGTAGTAATCACATTCTGGTCCTGTACCTGTGTTGCCTTTGCCTATAGCTGCAGATGGGAATGCAACCCTAGGATTTTTATCGCATTGGAATTCCACCCTTGGGCTGAAAAGTTTTCCCACTCTCATTCCAGCGAATACATATAATGTTTTGTCAGCAGACACAGCCTTTAAAATGCTTCTTTGGCTTTGGCTCTTCACATGGACTGTCACCCTTCCTGAAAAACAGCAGAGTTTAGTATTTCTAAGAAAATGAATTATTATTATTATTTTATTTATTTATTTAGTAAACTTCTATGTCGCCCCATTCGCCGAAGCCTCGGGGCGTCTCACAACAATAAATAAATACATATAATCATATAAAAACAATATGATTGGACAATATCTGAGCACATGTATGATTGTATTTCTAAGAAGGGAAAACTAGGAGAGGTGGGGTAAAGGGAAGCAGGGTTTGGGTGGCTAACAAGGTGACTTTGCAGATGCAAAACATTGTTTTTGCTTTGGGACCAACCTATGTGGCACATCAGTGTATTTAAACCTGGAAGATTGCTTCTAGGAAAAAATAGCCTTGGGAAAGGGGTATTTCTCAGTGAAGTGGTGGAGAAGAGGTGCTTAATCCTACCTCTTCCTGTCACTACTTCTCTGTAACTTCCCCTTTCTGTGGAGATCCACTCATGCATTTTCAAGAGTGTACAGTATGTCTAGAACTCCATGTGGAAAGGCAGCTCTGTGGAGTTGCAGTAGAAAAGTGAGGGCAGAATGCTGTGTGACCATGGCTTATATTTTGGCCCAAATACAACCTCTATCTTTTTGCATGTAAACTAGCAGGACTTATATCCAAAAACATCAGTACCAATGTATGACACTTAGTTGATGGGCAAACGATTTCTCAGAGAAATTGCAAGATATTCCCAGAGATGACAATTTCTTGCAGAAATTGGTTAGTAATCTAACTCTAAGCCAGTTGGTGGCAACAATTCTGTGAAAAAATTAAGTCTTAGAATCCTGTAGTTAATCCTGTTTTAATAGTGGCTGCTGAAAGATGGAGCTTATCTAAGGACTTTAAATGGAATTGCGGTGGCTTTGTATTTAGTGTCTTGCATTTGATATAGCTCAGTTGTTTGCTCTGAGCATTCCACATCCACACATACATTCCCAATTATTGTTAGTTTAACTTTATTTTTTTTACTCCAAAGGTATGAAACTTTTTCACTCTAGGAATGTAGAACATCAATACATGACCAGTTAGAAAGCAGTATGAAAGATGATCCTATGCCTTTTCAAGTTTTGCTCTAGAAAACTAGCTGAGTAACTTTCATGAATCAAGTGGGAAGTATATCATGCCTGTGTCTGGTTTGATTTCCTGTCACTATTGTTTGTTCTTTTTGTGCCACTGGTGTTGAACAGTTGTGAAAATACCTCTTTGCTTAAATAGCTTTGACTTGAAATTAATATTTAGTTGCCATGTTGTCTTTTGAAGCTTTTTTGTATTTATTTTACTATAAATTTTAATATACATTTGAGAGCTTTCTAAAGTCAAACAGATGCAACTGTCTGCATTTTCTTGTGCCTTTCTTCTGCTGACTCAGTAAGTGACCTTTCTTTATGTTGACTGATTATTCTGATAGCTGAAAATATAGTTTTCATATTTTCCCCTTTTAGTGCAGAAAAACCATCAATCTGTACTAAAATCTGACTAGACTTTCCCTCTTCAAATGAAGAAGATTCAAAGAGGAGTGTAAAAAATAAAAGGATGTAAATCCTGACTAAGATTTGTGATGTTTAGATTATTAAGAAAACCTTGTGTCTATACATTATCTGCACTATTGCAATAGCTGTGCACCTTTGGTCCAACATTATGTTTTGGTATAATTCTTAATATAACATCTGGCTCTCTTAAGCATTTTTGTTAGGATCACACTACAAGCCTATAGTCCTTTACACAAAACCCTATTTTAGCTATAAGGCATATATTTATGTTTTAGGCTATGTTTATGTTTATTTAGCTATGTACTGTTACTACCAGTATAATCCCTGTTCCTTATTATATAACCATTTGTATTGACAAGGGACAGTGAAGTAAACAAGAGAAATGGTGCAAAGTGGAGTCATAGCCATTTTGAAGACTGACTCCACAGACAAGCATAGAGGATAAATATACAACAATTAGTGAGGAGGAGGAGGAGGCTGTTCTTGTTGTTGCATCTGTTCAGATCTAGATTGGAGCTATTCTGAGATTTATTTAGTCAAATCTAGCACTTTCATTAGTCTTTTCTTCTATTCAACCACCCAGTATAAAACCTGTCGCCTGTCTAGAGCCCTAGGTATCTAGAACTGAGATCTCCAGGTGTCCAAGATTAAAAAGGCACCATGTCCTATTGGGTACCTTCCATACTCTGATCTCTAGATAAGAATAGTTTGGCTGGCATACTGCAGCTTGCCATGGGTTATTTAATCCATAATGAGCCATGACACCCATGGGTGTCGAATTATATATGCAACTCCTCCTCAGGCCTTGCATGTGCAGACCTGGTGCATGTGGGTTACACAAGGGTTAAACCCTCTCAGAACCCTAAAATGAATGCAAGGCTTGTTTAACAAAATAGTGGCCACACACTCTCTGCAGGTATTGCAGCTTCACCCTGGGCCCACTGTTGTGTAAACAGCTCCATTATGTTGTAATAATTGTTCTGAATGGGGCTTCAACTTTTTGTTTTCCTTGCTGTAGAATTACTGCCATTTAGTTAGTATATGTCTTCCAAATTCCATTGTGCCCTCAGCAAGCTCAGTCACCTCAGGCTAATAATTGTGGCATTCTACAGGAACTATGTAAAAATGGGCACTCAGAATAATTTCAACAAGATTAATAAACTCCTAATAGAAAAGGTATACTGGTGCATAATAGTAACATTTATCCAATCTGGAAGTATGTACTACCACATATCAATTCTTCTTCAAGCTTTAGCAGTAAGAATAATATTTTCTTAAGGACATTTCCTAATACTGCAATTGAAATGTATTGCTGGAGTTATGTTCAGATTGTGTGTGTGTGTGTGTATGTGTGCTAGTCAGTTCTATTAAGCATCAATATGCATGGTGTCTGATAATTTATGGAAACAGAGGCCCGCATCACAACTCTGTATTATAATTTACAGTGCTATTCCAGTGCTGATTTCTGTTTATAAAAATCAGTGGGCCTGATAAAAACTGTTTTAGCTGCCCTCTAAGACCCACAGATTTGCCATGCAATGCTTCAATAAAAGATGGACCCTTCTTGTCTTGTGTACTGATCAGAATTGCTAGAAATATTGAAGCTCTTCTCCACAGATAAAAAGAGAACATGACTTCTGTATACTTTGTGTCAATATGGCGGTTGTCCTCGCTGTTCTTGACTCTTCCCTGGTTTCTGCTTATGTAATCTTTCTCTTCTCTCCATGTTTTTGTTTTGTTTTGCTTCCCAAGGGCATGATGATGCGGTTTTGAAAAGTGTGGATAGTTTTAGCTTTCTCCATCACCCAGTTCATCAGAGGAGCTTAGAGATCCTGCAGAGATGCAAGGAGGAGAAGTACAGTAAGGCGCCATATCCCACCATCTCTCTGACATGACACTCACACACAGCAGGAAATGGAAACCAGGAGCATACTGAGTAGCAAGGGTGGGCACCCACAAATAGGAATCTCTAAGCAGAACCTGAAGTCATCTTGAATAACAGTCCACTTAGAATACAGGGAATATTTGAGTGCTTTCCTACTGGGAATTTCAAGGCAGGCTGGGAGCTAGAGGTTTGAAATGGATGCTCTGATTAACTTAATCACAAGGGCATCTCCAGTATTTGAGTCTAAGGCATGGAATCATTTTTACAAAAACAATTACAGATTGAAGGCCTAGGTATCCTATGTAAGAGTTTAATGGTTAAAAACTTTTCAGTAGCTATGACTTTTAGATACTTGGCAGAATAGCTAGCTAGAGGAACTGGCCAAATGTTGGCTCCTTTTTTATATAATAGCACCTACATACAGATTTTTTTAAAATCCTTTTGAAGCCACCTGCAATTTCCCAAGACTGTAGTGTATATTGTAAGAACTGCTATGCCCTCAAGGACTGCCTTCATATAAGAGAATAGAAGAGATGCCCTTGGTCTCCATTTCCTTCTCCTCACTTCTGTTTGTTACATAATGAACTAGTCCTGCATGAAAATCAGGCCCGTTTGCCTTTGTTACTAATGATAGCTGGATCCCTGTTGTGGGAGGAGAAGGGGTCCAGCAGCATGAAACATAACACCCTCTGCCATAAAGAGAAGCACATGGTTTTTCACTTGTTATAACTACATTAAGAGCCTTCTCAAGGGTGCCATGATGCTAGCTTGCTCATTAAACAGCTTTGCATATAGAATAATTAGTTCACCTTAATAATCAAATGCATCACTGTTACAAACTCTTCAGATAGGAATATAAATGTTTGCTTAACTACTTGTAGAGCAAATGATCCAGCTTTTCAAGAAGTTCCTCTGGTTTTGAGGGGCTTTGTAGACCTCCATTGAACATTTTATCATACTATAAAGGTTTATAGAGATGCCATATTTTCATTAATCTCCATAAAGGAAATCTCTCTCTCTCTCTCATGTATATGTTGAGTATTACCAGGAGTACCTATCCAAGAAATTTGGTGCTCCCTCTAAATTGAGATGGATGGTAAGTGTTCATTGATAAGGAGTTGTTTGATTTTGAAGGTTAAACAAATGGTTTGAATTGAGGGAGGAGCTGCATGGGCCTAAGGTAGTACTGGTTTTCCTATACGATTCATAGTTTTGTTTAGTGTAACAGAATATATAATATAGAATGAACTAAAGAGCTTTGTAACAGCCTCTTTTAAAATAAGTTCTGTATGCAGCAAGAACCTCTGTGAAGTTGGGCAAAGGTCTGTCTAATCCAGCATTTCTTTGCAGCAGCATCCAGTCAGATGCTTATGGGAAGTTTGAAGCCAACAACGCTCTAGTTTTCTTCAGCATTTTTTATTTAGATGCTACCTCAGAATATGGCATCTAGCCACTATTGCTAATAACTCGATTGGGTATATTCTTCATGAATGTCTGTAATCCTTTTTGAAAACAGAAACAGGTATCAAACCTGGTGGCTATCACAATATCTTGTAGTTAGGATGTAGCTGGGATGTAGGAATCTGTGCCTCAAAGGATTGTGAGCATCCTCTTGTGCTCCAAGTGGTCTTCCAAAGCCAGGTTGAGAGGAAGTCCTTGAATGTTCGCAGACCCTCTGTTGTGCAACCAGCAACCTTCTTCTGCTTCAGGTGCAGCAGCTAAAAAGGTGGCTGCAGCTGACACAGAAGAGGGATGCTGCTTGTGCAGTAGTCATGGGGAGCAGCTTTTCTAGGGAGCCCCTCGCAGCCAGCCTTCTTCAGTACAATGCGAGAGGGGCACTGCTTTCCTAGTGAGTATTCTGCAAACACTGGTCTCGCAAGTACTGGGAATGCTTTCCAGGAACTCAGATTCTGGGCCACTGCAGCTGAGCCCAAAGAATCCAGTGCATTCCCACCTCTGGACAGATTCCTCATACATCTCTACTTGTAGTAAATAAACTCATAAGCTATTTTATGCTTTCTGTAAAAAACAACAACATTTTTTTGGCTGTCTTGAATCTATTGCTGATCAATTTAAATTTCAGTACTAGTGCTGAGGGGGGCAGAAAAAAATCTTAGTCCACTTCGTCTATTTCTCATATTTTGAAAGCCTTTACCATGAGTCCCCACCACCATTTTTGCTGAATTAAAAAGTCTTTCCTCATTAGGGAAGCTGCTTCATTCCTCAAGTACTTTCACTGTTCTTTTTTCTGTCTTTTTCTGGCTCTACAGTATCTTTGAACTGAGGTAATCAGAACTACAGACAGTATTTTCAAATGTATCATGGATTTTATATAAGGGATTATACTGATTCTCCTATGCCATCTCGTTGCCCATTTTTCCAGTTTTAATCTGTTCATAGATTACCATTATCAAGTTGTCACTTTAGCAATTTGGGGAAGGGGAAGCCACTTATTCTTCTAAGTGGTGTGAAACATAGGACTCCTTGAGTTCTGATCAGGTGAGTAATGCAGGGAACCCTGACATAGCACCCACAGGCATTTCTAATGCATTCCAGGAAGGGATCCCTGTGGGCACCCAATTATCTATTTATTTTTTGTGTTTTAACATACATACATAGATGATTACATGTATGAAATCCTTACAACATTCTAGCAATTATATATAGGCTTCAACAGAAGTATACCATATATTCAAACAGTTACCTATTTGAAGTTGGCATGTATATACCAACTGTTCATATATCAAAAGCACTGTAAGGTGCATTGCCTTATAAGAGGTGACTGCTTAGCCTTCCAGTTTTGTAATATCAGCCTTTAGCTATCAGAGGGATGGAAAGAATCAATTTCCTCTTCCATTTGTTAATTTCCATGAGTCAGGTAAACAGTTTAAAGGAGCATGAATATTAAAGATGATTCTATGTGATAACCTCCTCTTAAAAAGAATAAAGTACTGGACATTGCTCAAACCAATGTTTAAAAGAAGTATCGCAGTGTCGGCAGTTATCTAAATTAGACTATCTCTTATTAAAGAGAGATTTCACACATGTTTTTACTGAATAAGGCACAACCTAATATCTGTAAATGCCAAAGTTAGACTAGGCATTTTATGTTGGTACCCACATCAGTTTCCCAAATTGGCAGATAGACCCATGGATTGAAAAAGTTTGGAGCTCCCTGTTGAAAGGCATGTTATGATTTTCTTCCCTGCTTGGCAGAAGAATATAAGCAGCTGGTTTTTCAAGTGCTTGTATACAATTTGCTTAGAGTTCCTATTTGACAAGTGCTCTTCTGTTTTTACTGGCAATCTGCCTTGAATAGATATGATGTCCTCTGTAAACTTGGCTGTCTGTCTGCTCACCACTAACTTCAACTCATTTATTAATAAGTAGCACTAGTCCCAGGAAGATCTTTGAGCGGGTTTTTGTTCGCTTCCCTCCAAGTGATTCCTTCCCTATGTTCTGTTTATCAACTAGTTATTGTTCCATAAGAGGCTGTCTGTAGAAGACGCTCAGGAGCAGCCTTGCTTAAAGCCCTAGTCAACTCCTGATTCCATTTTGTGACTAGGGACATGACAGAATCACTAGTAGAACTGTCCAAAGAACCCCCTTGGACTGACTGGAAACTTATTGAATTGATAAGTCTTTAGGTAGGCCATTCTAATAGGTCCATCATTTCTACAGGGGCACAAAAAAGGGGATGTGCTCGTAGCCTTGACCAGGTAATGGTCTGACCAAGCCTAGACAGGAACCTCAGTCTTCAAAACCAGCTGTTCAGAGCAGAATATAACATCAAGTGTGCACCCACCAGTACGCATGAGTGCAGAGACCAACTGGGACAGACCCGTGGCTGCCATGGTTTGGTGGGAAGCACCAGACAAACTGGACTTGAATACATTGAAATTGCTCAGATGAAACATCTGGAGGAATCCAAGACCAGTTTAATGAGTTTGGCCAGAGATTCTACTGGGCAATGAGGTGGTCTGTGTATCAGCAGGGTCGCCAGACTGTCTCCAGAGCCCAGCTTTGAACACACACGCATGATCAGGAATGATTGTAGTTTTATTACAGGCTAGTCCGACATTACAAAGGAGCAGTGAAAGGAATTGCGGATGGCTCAGACTACTCTCCAGTTTACCCTGATTGGTGGGATGACAAGAAGGGAGAGAGAGTCATAAGACAATGTTCTTTCCTTCTCCTACAAAAGTATTTTGCCCTGTCAGCACCATATCATATGTTGCCATGCAGCACCTGCATGGTTGTCCCCCTAAATATAATTAACAAACTACAATTCCCAAACAGCAACTGTTGGAGGACCAAAGCAGGTGCTTCCTCTCTGCACCATTGGTCTTTGGTGAGGCCATGGAGGTGGTTGGAATGCAGGGAGGGTGGTCAGCTGGCTGTAAATATGTTAGAGGGCCAGGAGGCCTCTCCCCCACCATCCCCAAGCTGCTCAGCAGCCCTGGGTGCAGGGTGCCAGGCAGAGTCTTCACCCTAGGCAGTAGACCTGCCTGTAAGCCCAGGAGGAGGTTGCTAGAGAGCCAAGCCAGGTGCTTCTTCTTTGCACTGATGATCTTCTGGTGAGGCAGTCAGAGTTGAAGTTACAAGCTTATATTAGGAGCATCCAGACATTGGTTTTTGCAGGAATTTTTGCTGTTTGTATAATCAGCATTTAATTATTTTATAGTCATCTTCCCAGAGGTATATATTTTAATAATTTTATTTTGTCTTGATTGTGAAGGCAGGCATCAAGCTTGACTGACTTTTTTCCCTGTTTTATTTGCTGAAAATAGAGATTTGTATCTGATTTGAATTATTTTAAACTAGGGCCGGTATGCGGGATTACAGGTAGATTCTGTGGTGATCCAAGTGACAAGATCATAGCTTCCCTTTTTTTCCAAGTGTGTCAAGTATATTGCATCATATTACCAGCCATGGCTCCTCCTCTACAATCTTTCTCCCCTGCTCCTATTCCCAGCATGTACCATTTCCAGCACATGTTGCAGTTTGGTCCTTTTTTCATTCTACACTGTGCATTTCTTTCAATTCCAACTTTTTTGTTGATATACTGCTGCAGGTATTGCCCGGAAACATCCAAGAACACCCCTTTCAGATCTGCAAGGAGTTAATACTATCAATGAGAAAACCCAACGGTAAGCTAAAGTGCATAAGTGAAGCAGTGGAAGAAAGAGCTCTTATATGAAATTGCTACTGTTTTTTACTGGTATTTTTTTTACTGGTATTATCTTTTTCATTTTTGTGGCACTAAAAAAGTAGCATGTACTTTTTCCCATTTTGCAGTGATACATATGGAGTTGGCTGGAATAGTAGGATGGCGATGCGACAGAACCGACTCTCCAGCCATAGCAGTTTCCTTGACAAAGACGGGATATTTGTGAATTCAACTAACAGCAAGCTCTTGGAGAGAGCCCATGGCATTCTCATGTTAGTGCATGTTTGTCCTTTGTTCCAAGGAAGCGTTATCCTGTTGGTAGAGCAATTATATGGGACAAGCCAAAGTAAAAGAGGTCCCTGTTGGTCTTCACTGTCCATCATCTGAGGGACACAGATTTGCCATTCAAAGAGTCTTAGTCATGGTTTATCTTAGTTTATTCCAGTTTCCTGGGATTGTTCTGTAACACAGAAGTCAGAATTTGTGAACAGGTAAAGTTGCGATAGTCCTTCACCCTTCAGAAAAGAATCTTAGATGCCTTCCAAATAGTAGAAAAGTACCCTAGATATTTTAAACTGGATACAGAGACAACCTGCAAATTACATTGGGCAAAAAGCATTGATCTTTCTTGCCTTTGGGATTTTACTTTGATGACCCCTGATAGGTGGTGGCAAAGATTTTATTATGGATATGATCTCTTAAGATTTAAATTAAAAGATTACTTTTTTGCACAGTTCTCATTTTAGACCTTTGTGAAAATATTGTAATAAACTGCAACATTTACATAATGTTCACATAGTAAGCTTTAAAAAATGCAAGTGAAATAGTTCAGTATCTGGGTTTGATGAATTACTCATCAAGGAATATAGTGTTGTATAGTGTATATATTCATGAAATATTTCACAAGGTGTTGATTGGGTTTGAAAAAAGATTTAAGAAATGTAGTTATCTTGAAAGTTTGATATCTCTTCAAGCATGTGTTCCCACTTGCATTCACAAATTAAAATGCATATAAAAACAATAAGAGAAAGGAGCATATAAGCCTAAGGCTTGTTTCAAACTTGTAAATGCAGTACCAGAACATGGTTTAGTGTTACATCTGAAGCAAGCCTTTGTCTCATGAAAAATCTACAAATTAACAGCATGTCTCTGCTGCATTAATGCAGATCTGATTATATTTTTTAGGCGAAACAAGAACGTCAAAGCCAAGCCTAACCTTCCAAAGGTGAGAGGATTCAAATATTCTGTGCCAGAGCCTTGATAATGCATATAAAGTGTTGCTTCATGCATGTTCTGCTTTTGCGCAAATATTGCTATCTGCGTTTAAACATGTTCAAAGAAGCAGCCCTTAATTAGCATTAATTTGTGCCAGAATTTTGGGGTTGATTTGACATGAATTTCTAAACTGCCAGTTTAAAAACATTGATGAACAAGCTTCAAACATAAAATATAGCTGTGAATTGTTAGTAGCTTCATCTGGAGACACATTACAGTTAGTTTACTAACCTGACGTTCAACTAGTCCTGTAAATTTTCCTATTTCAGTGAATAAAACAAAAAAGGATACTTAATTGCCTAGTGTCTTGAAGTCTCTTCTGGAAAAAAAAGATCTTGTTGGATTAATTCATGCCTTGATGATATTTGTTTAGGCACGTGCAAAATACTAAATATGAAGCTGTCTCTGAAAAGCTTTCAGAAATTGCTGGTAACTGCTGACCAGATTGTTATATAGTGCTAGCACACTTAACATGTTCATAGAAGAGTGGTTAGCTGGATTGATGTTTGTGCCTGCTCAGTATTCTTATAACAAAAAAATAGCTTCTGCTTTTTATTTTCTCAGCATTTACTGGAGGTGAAGTCACTGAAGCATCTGACAAATCTGACTCTCCATGACCGTATCACAAAGTCTCTTCTCCATCTTCACAAGAAGAAAAAGCCCCCAAGCATCAGTGCACAGTTCCAGGTAATTTGTAGTTTTTAATTTCAAGAAGTTAAATCCCAGGAAAAACATGTGAATATTTGGCTCTGGGAGGCTCTGCTTTCAACAGAAAGGAAGGCAAAATAGAACCTTGAGCTCCCAATTTTCCTGTGTGCCCTGAATATCCCATTAACTAATTATATATCACTTGATTTAAAAAAAAACCTTCATCCTTTTTGAGTCCCTTATTACATTTTTAGGACAGGATGGTTTTGCCTTGAGTTACTAAGCAGCCAGATTGCAGCTGAATAAAAAATAGTTACATGGGACTAACCAGCACATTGCATGTACTAAAAGGAAACTAGGAACAAATATTGAACGACCTAATGAAAATATTGGTGGAAGAAAAAATCACTGGAAGGAGAACAGGAGCCACCCTGATAGTAATAGAAGATAAAGTTTGTGCATACCAACAAACTCTGCTATGTGGTTAAAAGGTTTGGTTTGGTTTGGTTTGGTTTGGTTAGGTTAGGTTTTGGAAGTTGACACCACATTCAATACCTATAAATGGGCCAAGAGTGTGAGGCAAACAGTAAATTCCCAAGCTCTCTGCGAGCTTTTCTACCCCTACATATCTGACCTGCATTAAAGAAAGAACTCTTGCGAGCCAGGGTTAGAATGCCTTTAGAATTGCTTAGACATGGTAATATTTGATCAGTGGAGAAATATTTTGCTACTTTACAAACATACAAGACAGGAAACGTTTTCTTGTATGATGTAGAGTTAGATGTAAGAGGACATTTGCCACATATTTCAGACTCATTCCTTGCGCCTTTATGGAATTCACTGGGGTTGACATGCAGCTACTCTGCGGAATGTGCCTGGAATCATGGCCCACCATTCAGCAAAGCTATTTTTCTTGTATTTGCATCCTAATATTCTCTGGATGATTTACAACAGTCCATAAACAGATGATTAAAAAGCAATAGACTATCCTAAAATCAGGAAAAAAGTTTGAAGCACCTAAAACGAACAATAGCAAAGAATGACTCTGCAGAACACCAGGGATGCGTAATCCCCTCAAGTCCCTGGATGGCCAAGTGAGTCTTTAAATGCCTCCGAAAAGATGGCTGTCCTAACCTGGCTCTGAATCCATGACAAATTTGGCACCAGCTGGGCGGTGGATGGGAAGCCATCCCATAGCCAGGGGGCCCCCGCAGAGAAAGTGCCCCCTTGTTGCCCCCCTCCACACTTCCCTCAGAGTTGGCACTTGGAGGGAGGCCCTCCAGAGGTTGAACGTAGTGTCTAAGATAGCAATTGGGAGAGACTCTCTGACAGGTATTGTGGTCCTATAATAAAAGACAACATTATCACAGCTCCTTTTTCATGTTTGTTGTAAATTCCAGTTTAAAAGCAAGATTAGGGGAGGCATGGAAAGTAATTCTCACAGAAGCCAATTTTGTAATAATCTCTATTTTAGGCATCACTTACCAAACTGATGGAGACCCTTGGCCAGTCAGAACCCTATTTTGTCAAGTGCATTCGTTCCAATGCTGAAAAGGTAAGCACTCCCCAAACGCCAAGCAATCTGCAACTAAAATTAAAGTTTAGCTGGACTGTTACGGGGGAGACCTCATTAGAAGGGTTTGTAAGCGTGTAAGCTTCATTAACAAAAGAGAGCAAGAAAAAGCAGCTTTTTCCTTTGATTAGTACATCTTGTTCTTTGAAATCAACACAACAACACCAACCTGATTTATTTCAACTAAATCCGGCTAATTTAAGTCCTTTCTGTTGCACAATGAAAAGTAAAATTCTGTTCCACAGAATTTAGCGTTTGACATTTTAAGCATATTTAGACAACTGTCTTGATTTTATTCAGATAATTTAATACAGAGCAGATTCATCAGGGATTATATTTGTGCCTTAGTAAATATATCAGTCTCTTATGACTTAACACTACGGGCAAAGATGGTATTTAGTAAATCATCTTAATTACTTTGCTTTCTCCTGATAGATTTACACTTTTGTCAAAGTAATGGCCTCTGGTTTCCAAAGCCTGCACAATCCAGTGATCGCCTGTGTAGTTAATTTATAGTTAACATAATTTAAAATAAGTTTTAATTTAATTGTGAATTATTGCCAAAACCATCTTGTGTTTGTGTTTCAACTTGTTGAAAGATGCCACCCCTAACATGGACTATATGTAAAAATGTAACCAATGTCAAATATACTTTCACAATTGTTCTTCACAAAAACAAGTTTAAAATTTTGTATGTAGTGAATCAGTTTGCTAATGAATATTGCTGATGGTTATTAAATGGCTTTTTATCTAAATGAAAGCATGACAAATTCTTCATATAATTTCAGTTGTAAATATGCATTTATTCTGCTCACCTTTTGTTTTAATGGCATGGTTCAGTTTCCAGGATTCTGAACAAGATTGTTTGTCAAGCACTGAAATATTATACACTGTGTAACTGAGTCTTGTTGTCTAAAACTATCATGCTTCGATACAAAGAGAAGCAGTCTTGCTTCCTATTGCTGTCTGATCTTCACAGACATAACTTTCCTGATATCATGAACCATAGCTAGAAAATCAAAAGCAGGCCACAAGTCCCCTGCTCCTTTCTCTTTCTCCCCTTCATAGAGCTAAATATAGTGTAGCATTATGTCTGCACAGATATTAATGCTCAACATAGCAAGCCATAATCAGAGTTTGATGCTAACCATGGTTACTATTAACAGTGATTTACATTAATGCAGAATTGTTGGGCTTGAAATGTGGGGTCAAATTTGCATGTTGAGAGGAGGTTGCAAGCTCAAGATTCAAGCTTGAGGATTGACATTTTTCATTTCATATCTATTAGTTTGAATCATTCATCCAAGCTTGCTTTCCTAGATGGTTCTGCAGTCAGTATTCAAGTGCTTGGTGGTTGTATGTTTCACTTTTTCAGCTTCCCCTGAGGTTCAGTGACAACCTGGTGCTTAGGCAGCTACGGTACACTGGGATGCTAGAGACGGTGCGCATTCGGCAGTCAGGATACAGCTGCAAATATTTATTCCAGGTCAGAATATGTTAATTCGGTTTTCTTGAAGATTACTAACAGAGTAGGCCTCAAGGCAACTTCATCATTTGGGCTATGCCTTGATTTAAGTGTAGGTGAATTCACAGTCTAAAGAAGTGTATGGCAGTGCTTTTGGTGAAACTAGTCATGAAATTGCATTGAGAGCAAATAACTATCATGAATCGGGGCCTGAAAGCACAAAAAGCTGTGAATAGGAATGTTTCTTGTGCGCTACATCTTCCCATTTGGCATGTTTGCTTACAGTAAGTTGAAAGGTTATACAGTTTAAAAAGGCTAAAAAAAGACAATGTATGGATTGAACGGATAATGTGGAAACATGATGCCAGAAAATATCGATAGGATTTTGTTTTTGCTTGTGGGAAATCTGTGTAAATAAGAAAACTAAGTACACAGAAGGAATCAAATCAACATGTTATTCAAAGAATGCATTTCCATGGTTCTACTACAGTACACTTGCGCACTGAGCCACTTGGAGTGAGCTACCCAGAGGGCTTTGCAAATGCAATCAATGCAAAGTGCAGAAATAATTGAATCTTCTTCGTGGTCTCTGTGCATCACACATATGGGCTCTGTACCTGCATGGAACATCCATCAGGAACCTTCCGTAACTGAGGAATTTTTGGCAGGCGCCCTCCTCCACTCTGCAAGTGGTAATGTTCCTGTTAGATTCACACTTACTCCTTCGGTTCCCTTTATGGCAGCCTTGTAGGGAACTTGGTCTGTTCATCCACTGTTTCCCTGAAGCAAAATCTGCCAGTTTTCTATTTCTCTTCTTACTATTTTCACATTTTTGATCTTTATTGTAATAGCTTTATTTTATTTGAATTGGTTTTTACAATGTCCAGTATCACTGGACATTGTATAGCAATGCCTTAGAGAGGCAAAATTGGGGCATGCTCCTGTTCCCAGGACTTTAAAGGTAAAGGTTTCCCCTTGACGTTAAGTCCAGTCATGCCTGACTCTCGGGGGCGGTGCTCATCTCCGTTTCCTAGCCGAGGGAGCCAGCTTTTGTCCGCAGACAGTCTCCGTGGTCATGTGGCCGGCATGACTAAACACTGAGGTGCACGGAACGCTGTTACCTGCCCACCGAAGTGGTGCCTTTTTATCTACTTGCATTTGCATGCTTTCGAACTGCAAGATTGGCAGGAGCTGGGACAGAGCAATGGGAACTCACTCCATTGTACAGATTCGAACTGGTGACCTTTCGATCAACCAGCCCAGCAGCACAGCAGTTTAAACCACTGCACCACCTGCAGTCCCTTCCCAGGACTTTACCAAACCACAAAGCTTTAAATTAGCTTGTTTTCTGAGACCTTTTTATTTGGAAGAGAGCCTTGGTGGCAGCCGAGCCTAAAGACTAAATGCCACTCTTCTTGTCCAAGGTGTCAAGGGACATCCCTCACTTATGCATCAGAGATCTTTCTCCAGCTCCTAAAGGAGTCAGTGGAGACCTTGGGACCGAAGTCTCTTTCACTTCTTCTTTCCGAGATGGTTTGTGCTGGCTTGGCAATTTCAATCAGCATTTATTGCCCCCTTTGGCATTGGGCCACAGGTGGCTACACATTTGGATGTGCTGTTCTTTCTGTGATTTTGCAATAGGACACAGACTTCACTGAACCGGGTTGCTGCTCACTGATATGTCTGATGCATAAAGGCCACAAAGAAGACAGATTACTGTGTTTCCCCGAAAATAAGACCTAGTACTATTTTTGGTACCTGCTTAAAATATAAGACCTACCTCGAAAATAAGACTTAGCTGTGTTTATTCCCAGGGCCAGTGGGGAACATAAAGAGCCTTTTTCAACTTCATTTTTCAACTTAACTTGAACTTAATGCACTGTGTGGAGGAAACATGCTTATGCAGTTCAGCTCCTGTCACAGGCAGAGTGATACCAAATGTACCAAATGTACATGTATTCATGCTGTTGTACATGAATAAGTGTGGATTGTTGTACACATTAAAAAATAAAATAAAAAAAAGACCTACCCCGAAAATAAGACCTAGTGTGTTTTTGTGAGCCAATATATATATATATAAGACAGTGTCTTAGTTTCGGGGATACATGGTACCTACCTGTAACTGGAGCTTTTGAAGTTATCTGTATGTCCACCCAACCCATCCCCTGTCTCCACTTTGACATCAACATGAATGTTGATAGCACGGTTCTCTTCAACTCCAGGGCTGCAAGTGGCAGTCTTAGAGCTGTGGAAATTGGCAAGCCCTACTCTGGACTGTACTCTAGATGGTTGGGGAGTGTTGCCTCTCAAAAAAGTTCGACTGTGGAAGAATTTTGATTGAGACTTCATGCAGGCATATGTGTGAAAGCACATATGACCACTTAAAGAAATACAGTTACAAGCAAGCTGCCTGTTTTAGAGAGGAGTCCTATTCTTTCCATAGCATATTTCCAAAGCTACAAATCACCTGGAGCAAGTGTCAGCTCCCACTCATAGCATGGATCATTCATTGTTTTTGCAGTGTGCTTCACTTTTCCATTTTATACTTCGGCAAGAATATTAGTCCGATGAGAATAATGTTTGAGTGTCTTTTTACATAATTCTGCCATGTAAACTAGGGAGCCATGAAAATATTAGGTAACGAAATGGTTAATTCTTTGGTATTTCAAGTGACAGTCCTTTTAAGGTTTGCATTCTTAAATGTGCTTCTGTGGATACAGTTGACTACTGTGAATTCATACAAAATGACTAAATGTGCATTTACAACTTAATGATGGTGGTGGGATATCTTAATTTTCCAGGACTTCATAGACCATTTTCATGTTCTTCTCCCACGAGCTACTATCCCTTCTAAGCAAAATATCCAAGATTTCTTCAGGAAAACAAAGATGTGCACAGAGAGTTATCAAGTGGGGCGAACAATGGTAAGTTCCAAGTGTTATCTCATTGTTCCCTGATGCAACATGACAAGGGGTCTTCTGAGCATACACAGATAGTCCTACTTATGTGTGTTGCATGTTGTCATAGCCTAAGTCATTTTTAAAGGAACACAATGTTTGTTGGAGCTTAAAAGATAGACACTCAATATCTGTCTTAGTTTGGACAGGAGTTCAGTTTTTTTCCTAGTGGACAATTATTGTCCTGAAATGAAAGTAATCCATAATTTCCCTTTAAAAGGTTTCTGTGTTTTTCCTACTAAGTTTCATCTTTATTTAACTTTTCATCTTCAATTTTGTGATCTCTCCCCATCCTTTCCAGTAATACTTTTCTGAATTTTCTCTCGGAACCTAGACTGATTTGACCTCCACAATGCAAATTGAAAGATTCCATACCTATGAGCTATGACCTGAGGATAGGATTCAAACTAACCTCTCTATGAACATCAAAAGAGGCAGGGAGAATCAAATCTTTTAAATACCATTTTCTATGTGCACAGTTGCAGATTATTTTAGCAAAACTAATGTATTGCTGCTTAGTCATTAAGACTGCCTACAATGAATTTTTTTAGAAATCCGATCATGATAGTATATGCATGCTATTGCCTCATGCTTCTCATATTGTGCATTAGGTTTTTATGAAGGAGCAAGGGCGGCAGCTTTTACAAGGTCTGCTGCATGAGGAGGTGCTGCGAAGGATCACTCTGTTGCAGAGCTGGTTCCGCACTATGCTCTACAGAAGGCAGTTTCTGAACTTGAGGCAGGCAGCTATTGTCATACAGGTGAGTGTCAGTAGCTTTTTCATTCATTTAGGTTCTGCTGCATGTCTGACTTGCTCTCAAGACCCAAGCTGTTCTTATGTGACAGTTGAAGATTCATGCTTTAAACAGTGATGAGTTGGGAAGTTTAACATATACCAACAGTGGTATCTGTCCTCAAATGTATTTATAACCGTTGAGAAAATTACTTATCTTGACCACTTCATCTTCAAGTCTTAATCCTGTGTGGATTAGCCAACTGTTCTCTCTTTGATTTTGTCCAGTGTTGCTGCACTTCCTTATTCACACAGAGTTGCAACTCGTTATGCACATATAAGAACAAACACAAATATAAGAAGGCCTCCAACCGGAGGTGTCTGCTGCGCAAACAGAAGATTTATGCTGTGTGCTTATGCAAAGTGCGATACATACTTTTAAAATTGGGAAATTAACTCAAAGTACATGCAGTTGCTGGGGGAAATTGATAGATCAGGGAGGGCAATACCAGAAGAGAAGCGAAGGGAAGGAGGGAAAAATGCTACTTGTGCTTTAAACCCTCAAATTTACCAGCTTTAGTACCAATTTCAAAAATGGGATGGTAGCCTCAAGCAGTCACAGACAGGGTGGTAACAGGCTGCACCACTTTGTCTGCAGACATGCAGAAGAGGTACTTTTGGATAACTGGTAATGTGGAAATGGAGTAGAGGCTAAACCCAGTATTAGGCATCCTGAAAGAACTGCAATTTCTTTAAGAATAGCTTTTGATGAAGGACTCCCCCTCTTACAGTTCCTTGGAAAGGTAATCCATCAAGGAAACGAAAGCAATCTCAGTCCCGTATCACATGAGTTCAAACAATCTATTGTTCAGATGCATTTCTGGAGTTGCTCTTTTAGGGAAACTGAGGTGAGATATCTAGGGAGTCTGTTCCTGGAAACACCCTGGGTATGAGCCAGAGGAGAGTGGAGAAGCATGCTAAGAAAGAGTCACAAGGAACTATATTAGAGTCTTTCGAACCTCAAGTTATTCTCAAAGCTGAGCCATACCAGTGTGAGACGTGTTTCAGCAAAAACAAAACAAAACATTGCCACACAGTCTCCAAGCCATCTTTAGAGTTTAAACCAAAGAAAAACAAAGAGCTCACTGGCCCAAAGACTAGGCTCAGAAGGGGCTGGAGCAAAGGGAACCTTCATTTGCTTCTAGCATACTTATGTCTTAGACTTACCTCTTGAATGATTTCCACCTAGTTGGCTAAACATAGCAGTGCTGTACAATATTCAGAACAAAGGTGCTCTGGGTAGCGCTTGATCTGACCGGGCTGTGTGGACACCGTGGGATTTGGCATTTTTCTTTCCAGGCCTTTTGCCAATTCAAAGATACTCATTGTTTAATTCATTGGATGATAGCATGCAGTTATGCAGGCATTTGTACGTTTTCTGTGGTTACTTAATGGGGGAATGAGCAAGTACACCTTCTACACTTTGGTGGTGCTTCTAGTACTTAGCCACATTCCTGGAAGCTTTTAAAGCTGTTCATTATGGAACTGAAGTGAATGCCTAAGCCAAGGTGCCAGGACAATGCCATATGCTGTAAGCTACATTATGCATATAATACAGGTGTAAGAGAGTCGGGATTATTGTAGCTCCTCTGTAGCACCACTGTCCTCTTACAATAGCAGTAAAATACTGGCTTTGGTCTCATCTGTGACTTATGTCTTATGAGTATCCGTCAGTAGATTTATAGCTGAGTACCTGTGGACAGATTCCCCACAGGAAGGCCTTTTTGCACCGTCATCTTTGCTTCAATGCACTTTATTGTACTGTGGTGATGCTAACAGATTTGTCAAAAAGAAGTACTGGAAAGTGTTTTCTCTAACTTTTTAATTCTCCATGTAGCGATACTGGCGTAGCTTTCAGAGAAGAAAGCAAGGTGAAGCGGAAGAATCCTTGTACAATTCAGTCTTTTTAGGAAAGGCAGCAGTCGTCCTTCAGGCCTTCTGGCGAGGCTTTGTTGCGAGGCGAAGATTCCAGCAGATGCGAATGGCAGGTTTCATTATCCAAAGCTATTGGCGAGAATGCCTAAGGAGGAGGCATGCTGCGGCCACATTCATCCAGGCAAAATGGCGAAGCTACCGTGCCAGGACTGTGTACAGAACTAAGAGGAACAAAGTGATTGTGTTGCAAGCAGCATATAGAGGCTACAAAGCACGACAGAGGTAATACTTGTAACCTTCATCAGAGGGCCAATGTGTGAATGCGGGAGCACTTTGGGAACCGTGGAGACTGGACTGCTGATAGAGGGAATAGGTCCAGGCATTGTCCACACCACAGAAGCATAAAGACAGCCATTTGTGACAGCTGTGGTACAGATACCGCTGCGCAAACTAGTTTGTGTAGATATCATGGGCCTAGGTGAAGATCACAGTATAACAAAAGGCCTGAGTGCTAAATGGCATTTATTGCCACGGGTAGTGCCTCTTGTTGCTTCTGCGGTTACTAATGCTCTGCTCTTTAATGAGGGCTTCCAGTCCACTCACATTATCTCACAGATTCTGAGATTGGAGGAAGGACATACAGCAAACTCTGGACTCAACCTCTGGCATCTCTAGTTTAAGAGTCAGGTAGCAATTGCTTGCAGGCTACTGACACATCACATCTCACCTCATACTCAACCCAAATGGCCATTTGCCAGGGGTCTGAAGATGATGGACATTGTACTATAACACTTCCAAAGGGTGCAGTACTGAGGTATACAAGCTAATATTTTCATCTGCTATACCACAGCTTTCTAAATTCTTATGAGAGCCAATTCAGATGCAGTTACATCAGTTCAGCTGAATGCTTTCATTTTAACTACAGTGTAACGTTAATAGCATGACCTTTCTGTAACACATGTAGTACTGGTTATTTCATCAGTGGTGGGATGTACTGACTGGAGAGCAAGTGGGTCTGCTTGAGTCAGTGGAATCATAGGTAATGCCCAAAAATCCCCATTCATATTTGATGTTTTTATCCTAGAAAAACTTGCTTTTAAGTGAGAAGGTAGTTGTATTGAAGTAAACATAATGAATGTTGACAAATGTACAATAAATTCAACTTCCCTCCCTCCCCCTTTCTCTCAATAGGTTTAGAACTTTAAAAGAGCAGAGGTTGAAAGAATTGTCTCTACGGAATGGACTAATGGCGAAAGAAGAGGACGGACTGGTGCAAGGGGATAGCTTGGATATTAAGGGTTCAGATCCTTCTGAATGGGAAGATCGTTCATTTGAAGAGAGAGTGAAAGCTGTTGAGGAGCATAAGTCAGTGATGGATAGGGCAGGTCAGATCGACAGTTCTGAAACTTCATTATACAAGCACCATGAGAGAGCCAACAGCCAGAGTAGAGTGAACACAGAAGAGCAAGTTGTTGTGAGAGAGAGACCCAAATCTCTGGAGGACCTCAACCAAAAAAAAGGAGTGCGCGCAAAACGAGAGAGTCGGCGGATGCGTGAATTGGAACAAGCCATATTTAGTTTAGAGTTGCTTAAAGTCCGGTCCACTGGTGGGGCATCTCCATCAGAGGAACATCAGTGGTCCTCGGAGTTGCCTTCTGAAGGGATGCACTCTCCCCATGGAACTCCAGAAAGTGAAAGTTCTCAGGGAAGTCTAGAGATGCTGAGCCATGAAGAGACTCAGAAGGGCAAGTGGGACCCGATGGTGCTACAGGAGCACAATATGCAACCTGTTCCCAGAGATTCGTTGCCCAATAGCCCTAAATTGGAGGATGATCAAGGCATTTCCATCTTTGCTACTGATGTAAATAGAAATGTGTCTGATAGGAAAAGGTCAATCTCAAGTTCTGAATTACCAGAGTGCCTTGCTGCAAAAGAGCAGTTGGCCTGTGATTCCCATGGTATTCACCATAACATGCATACAAGAGAGCCATTAATTTCAAGCAGTCTGCCTACATTTTACCTGCCACCCCAGGACCATGTGAGAGCTGGCCATTCAGTGATAGAAAATAACCTAAAGAATAAACAAATGGAAATGGGCACATTTTTGATCCCAGAAGCCAAGAAAAATGTCGAACGCAAAAGGCCAGGGCAAAGCATGACCTTTCAAGGGGATAATCAGTCTTCCTTCACCGGAGAAGAGGTCCCAGTTGTTACTGATTCAGAAATGTCATCTTCCGATTCAATTATCAAGAAACTTGAAAAGTTAAATGTAGAGAAGGAAGAGCGTCGTAAACAAAAGCAACTGCAGAATGAGAAGGAAATGATGGAGCAGATACGACAGCAGAAGGAAATTTTAGGGAAGCAGCGTAAAGCTTTTGAAGAGCTCGAGAGGCAAGAGAATGAACAGAACAGGATTAAAGAGTCATTCCAGGGAACCCCTCTCAGGTCACCAAAGAGAACATACAGGCCTCAGTCTCTCCTCATTGTGGATCCCCAGAACAAAGGGCAGCAGGACCCCACAACAAGTACAGAGCCAACCTCCTTGTGGGATGCTAAACTGCTCACTGATGCAAAAAAAGGAAGCCCACCTCCTTGCCAGGTGACCCAAAAAGAAAGGGCTGTCATCCAGAAGTTTGCTGGAACAGATCGATTAAACTCACAAACAGTTTCTGAATCTGAGGAAGGTTTGAGCAATCCACCTGCACGAGAAAAACGATTCAGATTGCCTCGAATTCCTAGTCAAGGCTCTGATAGCTCTTCTACTGAAACCAGAATTGGTTCCATTTTCTTTACCCCAAAGGACAATCAAATGGGCATTAAGTGAGTACAACACTGGGGAGCTTTTATATTTGTTAGTTTGTTTGTTTCCATTTCTCTGCAGGCCCATAACCCAAAGGTTCTCTGTACAGCTTACAGTGCTAGAGCATAAAAACACACAAATTACCATAAAACAGTTATTAGTCAGATAACAAGATAAAACAAGAAAATAATAGATAGCACCTCAAATAAGGTATATTTGCCTAAAGATATTACTTGTCCTTCTAAAAGCACTAAGCGCTTGTTTAGAAAACCAAAAAGAAGTTACCTTCATTTCAAGAAAAAACAGAGGAACATACAATTATGCATACAATTGAAGTGTTAAAATAAGTGTACTATGTTAATACTTACTAGAAAAAGGTGATATGCAGGAGACTGTATTTGGTTTTTAGGTTCCAAGGAGTTTGGTTGTGGCGGTACTTGTGTTGATGTGCCATAAAATCATCTTCATCTTCAATATATAAATGAATGCCCCCACGCCGGCCCCATAATGTCCTATCCATGACAGCCCTGCTCAGCTCTTGTAAATTCCAGGCTGTGGCTTCCTTTATGTTCATCTCGTATTTGATCTTCCTCCTCTACTTCTGCCTTCAGCTTTCCATGGCATAATGGTCTCCTCCAGTGAGTCTTGCCTTCTCATGATGTGCCCATAGCATGAGTGCTTCAGTTTTGCCACTGTTGGTTACAGGGAAAGTTCCAGCTTGATTGGATCTAGGAGCCATTTGATTGTCCTTCTGTCAGTCAGGGTATTGTCAAAATTCTCCTCCGGCAGCATGTTTCAATTGCATCCATTTCCCTCCTGTCAGCTTTCCTCACTGTCTAGCTTTTCCACCTATACATAGTGATTTATTGTTTCATATGTTTATTGTTTAGCATGTCTCTTTCTTATAATTGTATTTATTTTGCAAGTTTAAGAGGCGTGTATTTTTATGTGCAAAGTTTATACTCCCCCCACCCCGTTTTCTCCTTTTCCTGTGTTGCACCAGAGTGTGTGTGTGGTTCGCCTCCTGTCCTTGACAAAGTTAATGGATCAGAGACCTGTGATATATAACTCTGTGTCGTGCTCCACGGTCAAGAAATCATTCTGTCCTAACATCTTCAACATGTATAAAGGGTGGAAAATAAGTAGTTTTGCATATTTTCCAATAATTCATGTCTTTCTCAAAGTTGTAGAGTTCCTGGTTGCAGTTCTTTAATTCTTACTGATGTCTCTCTTGTTTCTGAAATTTCACTGAGGTGCCACCCATATATTTGATACCATAGTATCCAGCCGTTCAAAGAACTGGCTGGGAATGTTAGGCGTTTTTCCTGTTTAACCATACAGAAGCTTACTTGGCAAGGACACAGTCGTGTGGATAAAGCCTTTGATGCTGGTACGCTCCTGAACTCAAAACCTTATGAGCATCTAGTACAGAGTGAGCGGAAGGTGGAAGTGATTCGGATCTCCCACTCCCACTAGACAGCCGAGATGCTTCAGAGGGAGAGGATAGGTTGCTGGAGTTCCGTCAGGATTCACCATACCCTGGTGGCTCCAGTCTCCTGCCTGTTCACTGAACTGCCTCTTTACCTCTTCTCTAAGATCCATTACCTGACCTTGGAGAAGCAGCTCATGCAGCTGTTTGGATTCTAGACTGTGTTGTCCAGGGTCATGATTACTGATTTCACATGCTTCTCCCATTTTATGCAACTTTGAGTATGTATGGATCCTGGTTGTCAATCAATTTGCAAGAATTTTGTTTTCTAGTTTCAGCAAAGAATCTTCAGCACAGCAGTTTCCTCCAAAAGAAGAATATAAAAAGCCATTGAAGATTCCTGGACCAGGCAGAGGAGAGGTAAGAAATAGGTTTTTTTATTGCTAGCTCTTCTGTTTTTGCTGGACACCTTTGTAAATTTTAAGAAGACAGAACTGGTAAAGTGAGATCACATGGACTGGGAAAAACACAAATGTTTACCAGCAGGAAAGCAGGTGCAAAATTTAAGATACAAATCATACTGTACAAAAATGGTATTTTATATATGGGAGCATTGAAATATGGGAGCCCTCAGCTACAGTTTGATGAGCAGCCTAGCCTCAGGAATGTGACTTCATTGAGAACTAAGTCTGTATCCTGCCCTGAACATGTCATTTAAGCTGTTGCCTTTTTCTGTTGTTTCCATTATTTTTATCCACTGCCATGGCAATATATTTTTGTGGTACTGTCCTTCATTTTTGCTATTAAGTTATTGTTTCATTTGAAAGTGAACATTTTTAATCCTTATGTTTGCATGTTCTCAGTCCTTTGAACATCAGCAGAATCACCTTGTGTTGTTATTTTTTGTTTGTTCATTTAAAACATTTTCATGTTATCTGTTTTATCATTTGGTATCAAGCAGGTTGCCAGACCAGCCCATAAAAAGAAAGCCCGCATGGCACGGACACGCTCCAATTTCTTGACTAGAGGTGCTTTTGCTGATTGGGAGGGGGATACGGAGGAAGAAGATTGCGATGACAGTTTTGAATTCCTTCCATCCCTTGACCAACCTCCTCACCCTGAGCCCGGCTGTGCAGCCAGACTTGGGCAGCCCTGTCACAGTGACTCTGAAATGGTAATTTATCCAATAAGCAGCGTAATGGGAGCATTTCTTGGCTAACCCATGGCTGTACTGACACCTTCCACTTCTATTTTTCCCTTCTTGTAATGGTATTGGCAATGGGTAACCTCTAAGAACACAGTCACAAAGTACGTTGAAACCTGATTATGTGAAAAAGTGCTTCTGGCATCTCAGGATGGACTTTGCCATTATTAGTGTGGTTAAGAAATAGATGAAGGCACAGCCTGTACATTCTTAAATAAATCAGAAAATACAATAGAAAAAGAGGAACAGGGTTGTGCATGTGAAGTGGCAGCGTTATGCAGGTATCTGCAAGCTTGATGATCAATGGCTGGAGTCACCAGGCGAAGGCTAAGGTTAGCAGCCACACCAGTCAATGGCTGCCACTTGTAACTGTCCCTTACACAGGGCAACCAGTTCCTCAGTGACAGGAATTCACAGCCAGGCTAAAAGGTAACATGTCACTTTGTATACATAGATTTTGCACCCTGGCAATATACATTTATGTCCTGGTAATACAAGACCTCTCTTTGCACAAAAATACACATGCTACTTGTCACAATAATAGACGTGTTCCTAGGTGTTTGTTAAATGAACACGTTGATCTTTAACCACACCATCAATCCTGAATTGATGGAATTCTCTAATGTCTTAAATTGTCCAGTACTTAACCCAGGGGTTAAATCATCTCCAGCTAAAGGACAGAGAGACTCTGGAGACATATTCCTATTCAGAAAAGGTAATATGGTCTGGATTAAACCTGGGACTTCTATATATGCAAAACTCACACTTTAAGCTTCAGCCACTCCCAAAAGTATATTAGTATTTCTAAGTCTAAATAAAGTCCATAGTATGTTTCTTCCTTTCAGTGAGTTACATCATCAGGTCAAAAGCGCAAAACACTTGCAAATCTTTCTGTTTAGATATGAATGCTTCTCTTACTGTACAGTTTCACTAAGAGCCATTTTGCACATTCATTAAAAGTGGGGTGTTCAGTCATTTGCCTTAGTAAATGGATAACTTCATTCACATCTAGCATGGGTCCATGATTGCATTAAGAGATATTGAGGCTGAAAGAGAGTAAATATATAAACCATCTCATACTACATTTTTAAGCATCTTGGTTTGTGTCAAAGCTATAGAATTATCAAGTTGAAAGGGACCTAGTTGGTCATCTAATTCAATCGTCAGCTTGTTACAAGTTATTGCGCATAATACTTGCAGCTTACTAAAACAAAACAGCTCATAAATGAAGATGAACAACATAAATGTAAATGATCCCATTTAGATGCAATTGTTCTGCATAACTCTGAAAACAAACAACATTTTTGCTAATAATCTGAGCAAATAGGACAGCAGTAAATCCCTGGTATTCAACAGGAGCTCTATCTTCTCTAAAATGGGTGCAGATAATTCTTGCCTCCCTTTCACATGGAAGTGTGAGCCAAGTTCTCCATCATGCCCACATCTCAGAAGGGGAATGTGGAACTGAGTGGGCCTTGGCACAGTATTTCCTAAAACTGTCAATGCCTATATGCCACCGAATGGCCTTCTTGATTTTCTGCAACTCATGCCAATTAACTAGCCTTCAAGTACATTAGTGCTCTTAAGTGCTTTTAAAGTTTTTGGGACACTCTAAAGCTTTGGTCTGTATCCAGCTGTAGCTCAAATATCTCTGCAGTAGAGCCTATTTATATGAGCTTTCATGGTCAACATTTGGTTTGTTGCAACTCCCAACCAAAATCTGTAATGCTGTATGCAGTTAAATATGTTTGTCTGAACCCATAACCCTTAGAAATTGCAGATGGAATCCAAGGGAGAATGTTGATACGAAGATTGCCTATAAAATAAATATAAGGAAGATTGAGTTAATACAAATCATCAGTTTATGCAAAATGTAGGGATTGAATGCCTGTTTCTAAAATGTATACTCAAGTACTGTACAGACAACTAGTGATTTGGAACTGTTATGCAGCTGTGGTTGCTCCTTAGTTACTGATTTCTGTTGCTACGTAGGTTTTTCTTGTGCCTCTTCCTCTACACATTGCTCCAGTGTTTTTTCACTACTTCTATTTTTGTTCAGGTGTCCTAAAAGCTTACCCTTACTGATGATGATGTTCTAGATAATATCCACAATGTTTTCAAAAAGATTTTTTTAAGGTGCTTTTTTAAAGCATGTGTGCTTCATTTCGGTGCACACATTTAGACGATGCTTTCAAGATAACTATATGGAGGATAAACTCTCCCCTCCCAATTCCATGTGCTCTAATCCTGCAACACACAAACTAAAATGGCATAAGAGGTACAATGGTGATTCCTTTGTAAATTCTCAAATGGAGCAAAATAGACATTTTTAAAACCTTGTGAATGGTAAGTATTTAAAAAAGCAGAAAAGACTCCCTTGCATGGGCAGGAAATGTGCTGTGTTCTTAGAAATGTACCCTGTTACAAAGTACTATTTCTGTTAGCGGTAAAGCCTTTCTTACTGGGAATCACTGCTGAGAGGTAAAGGGTGCTGGGTTCACTGTTTGCTTGAAGAAATTCATCTTTGGAAGGAGCCTTGCTTGCGCCACTTTTCAAAACACTCCTCTGATTGTGCTGTCATTTTATAACAGATACCATTTACATGCAAGTACTTCTAGAGCTCATCTCGCTTGGCATGCTTTCTCTTCCTCTGTTCCCTTTGGCACTCCACCAATTTTTTCACTGGTGGTTTGGCACTCTACTTTGCACAAGGAGCTGTGCCAGTCAAACCTTGCCTTTGGCTTATACTCAGTTTCTGACACATTCTTATATAGGAATACTGTATAAATGTGCATACCTGAACATATGAATGCTTCCCATTTTTACTTTTGCATCTCAGAATAATTTTGTCTTTCTAGCCTGGCCATTGGCGTAGGATATTCACTGTGTTGGATGGATGCAATTTCCAGCAGGTCTTTAGTGTTAAAGGCTAATCTTTGCAGAGACTCATTTTTAATCAGGTGAAAAAGCAAACTGCAGAACAACAGTGGTGGCATCACTGCATATTGTTCAGTCCATGAGCATATAGGATATTTATCTTGAGCTTTCAGTACAAGAGGCAGGCCAGTCACTCACCCCTCTTTGCATACAGAGTTGATTAATTTCATGGAAGAAACAAATTAGGCTATCGCTTCCACACCAGTTGTTGGTGAACAAAAGCCCTGAAAGTCAACATTCTTCCTGTTTTTCACATCACTCATTGGCTTTTGAGTACATTAAAGTAATGGCGTAGCACTGAATTAAAAAGAAATTCTGATGAAACGGCAGCCGCCTTGTTGGTTAGCTTGACCAGCTGGCCATGTCAGAGCAGCACAGAATGGACCAGCACAGTCCCAGTCCCCTTCTGTGCAGAGAGAGTGAACATCCATGTCCAGGCAGTGATGAACCTTGCAGGCAAAATGGACTGCCTCAGTCTTTCTCAGCCTGGTTCCCTCTAGATGTTTTGAATCACAACTTTCAACATTCTGGCTTGTACTGTTGGCAGTGTGTCCAGAATTGGACGGCACCAAGTTTAGAAAGGCTGGAATATATATAGGCTCAGTTTAAAAAAAATGTAATACTGTTTTCCATTCCACAACTCTGGGAGGCTTATAGACTTGAGGGGTTTGTTATCCTTTTTCAGTAATACAGTTTTGTACAAGTAGGCAAACCTACAAGTCAGAAGGAACATCCAACATTTTACAAGGCAGGAAACTTGAGTGTCAGTAATACGTAGAGGAATGCTTGCAGGTACTCTCTTTCGTCCTCACACTGATTAAGCTTTGGAATCATCTTCACAATATATAAAAGCTGGGAGATTAAACAGGCCATTGCTTATTAAAATGTCTGTTGGATGCAGTTAGAGATGTATATGCCAAGGCTGCAATCTATCTTCTTGCTAAGCCTGGAAACTGATTGGATTTCACTAAGCTATTATTCCCCAGAAGGGAGTCAGCAGAACAAAAATAGCCGTACTGAAGCCATTCTTTCTTCCTTGCTGGGAATTAGAGAAATTGTGCAGATTTATATTCCAGGATGAATTACTGATGTTCAGGCATAACAACAAAAGTTGATTGGGAAATAACCATGAGTGACTGCTTCCAGAAATGCTATTCTGGAACCTTGTCATCTGTCAAACAAGCATTTTCTTGTGTAAGCAGCTCCCCTACAGCCCTCAAGGCAGTTAATGGAGCATGTTCCATATGGTATACAAATGTCTTTCATCTGAATTGTAAGTAAAAGTAAAAATGAAACGTGCCAGAAATCATGTTAAGACAGCAGTGTCTCATCCATGGGAATATTGCATCCTATAAGGGTAACAACATCACTTCTTAGACTGAAATATTAAACCAGATTTAGATAATCATTGCCCAATTTGCTACCTTTTAAAAAATTGTGAGGTTTCTCATGCTCTCTAACAATTTGCTGGTTGTATTAATGAAAGAAGTTTGGCATGGTATCTTCATAGGAGGTACTTCCTTGAGAGTACATGAATGCTGCTTCTGAAACTTAGAGCCAGATCCTTGAATTCAAAACATTTCCCTTTCATAGAAATTATACGTGTTGGAGGGCAATTGCTCTGTCCCCCATTTTAGTTTCTGCATGCTCAGCATACCTTTTCCATTAAATTTGCTAGGTGAATTCCCTTCAGTATTGCCCTTGTATAAGCTTAAGTATAATAATATACTTAGTATTGAAGCAGGAAATACATAGCACCTTGGTTTCACTAGGCATTTGCCCCAGTACTTTTTCACATTTTCTGCACTCCAAACCTTACTCAGTCCCAAAAGAATATAATTGCCCCTTAGACCTCTTTGTATGTGTTTCTCATGGTTGAATGTATATTTATTTTTCATACCTGCATTTCCAATAAACTGCTGGACACCCCCACTTCTATTTGGCCGAAAACATAGTTTTAACAAGTCCTTCTCTTGTGACAGCAACTTATGAACAGAGAGTAAGGCATTTTCAGTAATAGTAAAAGACAGGAGTCCAGAGGCACTAGATAGCAGCTTCTAAGAATATACCAAAGGGGTACAAAATGAATATATAAAGTGTCTTACTGGTCTCTCCAATATTGACTTTCTGAGCTAAAAGTGACAAGAAAATGTGCTAATAGCCCTTCCATGTAACAAAGTACCTGCAAATACCATTTTAATTTAGGGTTCTTTAATAAACAGGCTGATATTAAGGCAAGCCATTCATACCTGAACGCACTTTTTCATACAAGGTCTTTTTCTCTGTAGCAGCTTAAAATATCTAATCAATTGTAAGATGATTGTATCTCCTTACAGTATCAAATGAGTGTGTAGATATTGACGTATTTATTGTGTTTGTAATTGTTGCAGATGTTGCAGCGGTTCATGTCAAGTGAAGGCCAAGCAAAACTTCACAAAACAATGTCTCAAGGAGAGATTGGAAACTTGGGAACAGCACAGAAAGTTGTAGCTACAGATAGAAGGTATAAAATGTCTAGTACAAAGGAAGGGAAAGAACCCAAGTTAAACCTGCTTCTGGGTTTTTTTCCCTCCAGATTGTTTGTTTCTTACTTGTGGGCCTATTTCATGAAGTATTTCTGGCCATTTACATACCATGTCTCCTTGCTTTGCATAAAAGTATATCTGCATTTGCATAAAAGTATATGCATTTCTGTCCCCACTTCAATGAGATGTGTGTTCTGGAGGTGTGTAGAGTCTCATCAGGAGGGAGGGCTAAGTCAAGTCATGCAAAAGTGTGAAAAGTCTCTAGTGCAAATTGCTCACACTACTTCTTTAAGTACTTCCAGCATTTTCATAGGAATGTTCTATGGGAATTGAGGGGCTGGGCTAACAAGGGTGCCGCCTGGCCTAACCAAAGCATAGAGAAAATGTGATAACTTCTCCTTTTCTGTATAGAGAGGCCTGCATCACACCTTGCGTACGCTGGCATTAAATGATACCCTATAGCCAGAATAGTGTTCAGCCACCTAAGGGAATACTAGACAAATTCCTGCAGCAGTTGCCTATATGTAATGTTGAAAGTTTAAGACACACTTGAGCAGAGCAAACATGCCAAAAGGAAGGGTTCCAGCCCTGCAAATCTCCAATATGGCATTTGCCACCCTCTGCCACCCTCTGCCACCCACCTTCCTATTCCTATTTGAATAGGAAGTCTCTTCACACATTCCAGAGTGCTGATGAACATGATAATGGGGATGGACAGTGGATTCTTCTCACATGTTTTCTCTATTTAGGTTCAGAATACTTACAAGAGGGCTGCACTGGCATGAACTGGCTTAGTTGCTTGAAAAATATTCCTGAGGGCTATTGCTTTTATCTTATTGGGCATTTTGCATGCATATAGTCAAGATGAGGAGAATGTAGTTAACTGCAAACAAATGATTACCATATTTAAAATTCACCAGACTATTTAGTTGATATGCATCTTCTCCACCATGACATTTGAGATGGTGAGGTCCCTGTGTGATGCTGTACACTCCTAACTATGCATGTTGGAATCAGAACTTAATTTACCCAACTGAAACAGAATGAAGTGCTCTGGCCCAAAATGAATTGAGTAGAAAACTAGTCCTTTTTAGCTGTCATTTTCCTACCACTTTCCAAGTAAGATTGGGAAAGGTTTGTCAAGGTGCAGGAAAGAAAGTTCAAACAGCAGTATAAAAACACAGAATAAAATGTTAACTCAAGGTGTCTTTTTTTAAATGTCATTCAACAGACCTCAAAAAGCCAAGATGAGGTTTTGGGGGAAAGGGAGGCAGGCAGAGAAGAAAGCAAGCAGAGAGAAACTTGCTACCCAATCAGAGCTGTTGGAGTTGTATCCAGATCAAGATGCCTCAGGAAGGGAGATCATTACAGGTCGACATCTTGAAGAAGGTAAAATTGGGGAAGTGGCATCCTGACAATTTCAAATAGGAGCTGAAAAGGGCTCTGCATATACATCAAGCATAGAGAAAATTCAGTAGTGAGTCAAGCCTGCAAAGGTTTGTGTGCTGGTTTGATGCTAAAACAGTTTTGTAATAAGCTGTTTCTAGGAAAGAAGTCTTAGCTGGTGACTTAACAGAGTGAATGCAGCAGCCCTTTATCACCTTGCAAGGCTGGTTGTCTCTATTCACCTGTCAAGTGGTGAGGAGAATCTTGCCACTCTTTTACACCTGAAAAGAAATCTAGGAAGTAAAAGGGCAACAAACCTCATTGCTTAGCAAAATGGTTCAGGCCAATTAGCACAATGTGATAGGTTACCACTTGGTAGCTGATTGCCCTGTCAGCTAATTTACCCTGTCTAATTTACCCTGCATCCTGACTTTCCTAGATATCCTTGATAGTGTACTGGACGAAGAAGTCTTTGTGCATTCCAGTGATGTTTCTGCACACAGAAAACCACCTTACACTGAGACAGACCCTGGGCAGTATTGACAGCACTGACTGGCAACAAGTGTCCTAGCTTTTAGATAGGGTTCTTTTCCAACCTTACCTAGAAATGCTGGCAAGTGAAACGGCGAGCTTCTGCATGCCAGGTGTGTCCTCTGCCACTGAGCTGTAGTTCCACATCAGAGCCCCAGGCACATAAGGAAGCTCTGGATTTGAGGCATTAGTGTTTGCAATGTATGTCCGAGCTGGAAAAGTGTGGTGTTTGGTATCTGATGAGGCATTCATTTATTTGCATTTCTAGAACTGACTCCCCCAAGGAGTCCTGAATTGTCTGGCAGCTATCAAAGAGAATGTAAAGAAAACAAAGAGCCATCTCCCAAGGTGAAGCGAAAGCGCAGCCTGAAAATCAGCAATGTGACTATGGAGCCTGCACAGTGGCAAAATGATGCTCTTCAGATCATAACCAGCGCCAGTGACTTAAAAAGCATGGATGAGTTCCTCTTGAAGAAAGTAGGTTTTATTTAAGCATGCGTTTTGTACCTCATATCACACATAGCCAAGTTTACAAAGGATCTTTCTCAGTGGCAACTAGTCATTACACCTAAATCAAATCTCCATGTTCAGAGGTAGTGTGCCAGTTGGGCAACAAAAGCAGGCTAGAGGTGAGATATTATTCTCATATGCATGAGAATAATGGGCGTCAAAGAAGTATCTGGCTGCTCACAGAATACAGGATAATACGGATCTCATGAGTGGATCAAGCAGAGCTCTCCTTGGTTATAAAAAGTGCAGTACATGAACTGATTTCTACTGCTCTCAAATGATGTTACAAGGACTGCAGTGCAACTGGGGATGCATTGTATTTTTGTGTCCTCATGGAACATAAATGCACTATTATTTATTTTCTATACAGCCTTGTAGCCAAAGCTCTCTGGGGAGTTTACAGCAATATATAAAACCAAACAATAAAATACAGTACAAATAACATAAAATAACATAGAATAACCATGTTAAAAGAATGTAAAATTAATTACAACTAGCTTAAAATACAGTAAGAAGCACAATTGAAGACTCAGCAAGAAGTAGAATCACCAGGATGATCCCCTCAGGTTCTTGAATAACCAAGGAGATCTTTAAAGGCCTCTACACTGTCTTGACCTGGTGCCGAAAAGATGGCAGGATGTCTGTTAATGCACTGCAGGCTGCTATTTCAGGGGTGCTGCCCCTACACTACAAGAATGTCACCAAGTACAGTTCCTTATTCTCTCCGTCAGAATGGTGGGCATAATTCTTTACCAAAAGCAAGAGTACTCTCACAGTCTCCTTTCCATGTTAGGCTAAACCTGCTCCCTGCCCTAGAGAGTTCAAATTTTGCTCCATTTCTATCACACCCAGGTAGTGTTGAATTGGCTCATACAAGAATATGTTGGAATTAAGCTCATCCAAACTCTTCCCAATGATTTTTTGAATATAATCACATGTAACTTATGTTGTGTTTCCTAGATGAATGATCTGGATAGTGAAGACTGTAAGAAGGATACTCTGGTGGATGTTGTATTTAAAAAGGCTTTGAAAGAATTCCGGCAAAATATTTTCAGTTTCTACTCTTCTGCTTTGGCAGTAAGTTATAGGACTGCTGTGTTTCAAAGTTACGAACTGCAGATTTGGATACACCTAGTACTGCCAAACCGCAGTACCGCTGAATGTTGCTTTTAGTGATGATTGAGGAGCATGATAATATACTGGCTGTGCCAGAAGGGAGAAGATCACCTGTAACTGCTTCAGTAGAGTCATTCCTTTCTATAATTCCTCATCTGTAATTTCTCGTGCTAGAGATAGGACTTCTTTCTTCAATTTTGTCATAGAAATTTAAATCTAAAAACAACAACAGAGGAATGTATGTCTAGAAGGGTCAACTCTCTGCAGAGATATGATTTTTCATGCTGTCTTCACAAATTAGCTTCATCTCCACCCGATTTATAGTATGTGGTATGTATAGAAAAGGAGCATGGGAAGCAAAAGTTCATTGCATAAACTGGAATTGTTGGAGCAAGTATAAGTGTAAGAACAGCAAGTAATACTTGGAGCATGTGCACTTGTGTAGTTCATAGAATCCGTTTTTAACTGAAACATTACCATACAATGAAAGGTTTCTCAAACCAATGTATTCCTAGGAAATTACAGCCCATATCCCAGGTTGAAATTCCAAGAACAGAATTTTAATGGTTTCATACAAAATGCACCATTAAAGCTCTCAAGCAGCAGAAATCAGGAAATGATTTTCTTTTGCTGTTTTGGGGAGTTAGTGCTTATTATTAGCATCTTTTACTACACTCTGGTTTAATCATGTGTTTATATTTTTCATTTGATTCTGATTAGTCAATATGTTTTGTATACTGCTTTAGGAAAAGCAGTATAAAATACTTAAATAGACATTTTCCTTTCTTTTCCATGTTTTTTAATAGATGGGTGATGGAAAGAGCATCCGATACAAAGACCTGTATGCCCTTTTTGAACAGATTCTGGAAAAAACTATGAAGTGTGAACAAAGGAACTGGAGAGAATCACCTGTCCGGGTCTGGGTCAATACCTTCAAGGTGTTTTTGGATGAATATATGACAGAATATATGCCTTTGGATTATACTGCTGCGAAGGTAACCCAATATCACAGGCTAGCAAATGAATAATCATTAAATTCCCCTGGAATTGGGGGTAGAATCACATTCTTAAAGAACTCTCTCTTGTTCTCTTGGAAGCTTTATTATTCAGAAAGGGCATTTGCTGCTGAAGTATTAAGCACAAACCACTTAATCTTATTTCCTAACATAATTTCCCTGATTGCAATGTCAAATAGGAGATGCATTTTGGGAGGGCCAGCTAATGAAACGTGTTAGATCACAAAGCATAGTCCTCTACTTAATTGGAGATGGGCATCTCTATAGTCTGATATTCTCGTATGCATGAGGACCTACCAGCTCTGAAAAGGTACATGGATGAAGATATGTCTGTCCTCATGTTATAGCTTCCATTCTATAAGACAGAAAAAGATGGAAGTTAGTGGACAGATCAGGAAGAAATACAGAGAGGGAAATCTGTCCCTCACAATGCACAATTCAAGGGACTATTACAGTTAGAGTTCTACTATCCTCTAGAGTGTTTCTTAACCCTCACCAAGATTTCCTTCTGTCATTTCATCTCAAGCCCATCAGTCTGAGACATGGCTGAATTAAGCTCTGGGGTAATGGGTGGAATCCAGAATCCCGATGACATGGCAAATGATGGCAGCAGTGGTTGTAAGAAAATGCCTACCAGTGTGACTACAGCAAAAAGACTGGCAAATTTAAGAACAAACGTGATCTCCATGCTTTGGTACTAGTAGTTACTCAAAGAGGCAGAATGAAGCATGGATGGGGGAAGCATTCAAAAGATTCTAAATTGTTAATCTCTGATTTAGTTCCTTACTCGTTTAGGTGACCAAAACAGAAAGAAAGAAGAGAAGAAAGAAGGAACCAGATGTTGTAAGTTGAATCATTTTTCTCTTTCTATGCTTAAATGAACCTTACTCTTCACTGAGGAAATTATTAGGGATATGGAAGGAAGGTCTATTCCAATGAAGTGTACCCAGAACGCTACAACTGTCCCAAAGGTAACACATATAACTAACAGGTTTTGTTTTGTTTGTATGTTTGTTGCATTTTTTTGGCTTTTAGTTTTGGGATGTAATTGTTTCATACTGGTTGTAAAGCTTAAGTAATCATAAGATTGCTGTTTATCTGTGTGATCCATGGCTAAAACTAGGAATTGCTTAAACATGGGTCTGAAACAAAAAGTTTATTCTGTTGCTGTTGTGACATCTGGTATGTCATAAAGACATAACATGTTTTTATAACTGGTGCACCACCTAGTGGACTAACTGAAAACTACAGGTCAGGAACAGATCTTTGTGTATGATTTTATCCCCCTGCTAAGCATCAGTTAATTGCTCTGCGTTCTCTACTTTGAAGCATGCTGGCCAACATCCAGAGAAAGTCTTGGGTGCATTTGTCCTTCTGTTCAATGGGATTCATAATCCAGTTTACTTCAGTTCATTTCTGATGTTTACACAAGTAACACTGACTCTTCTTTCTTTCTATGCACTAATATGGCTGTGTTTGGATTTATTGAGATAGCTGGCATATCTAAATGATGTAGTCATTATTCCTCTAATTAGTTCATAACCGTGACTAACCTGGTTTATTTGAATGATTATTCACAAATGTTTTCATAAGGAATTACCAGGATCTGGATAGTAGATATGTTAGCATCATTACTAATGATAGAACACTGGGACTCCACTGTCCAGGAGCACACTAGTCTCTTGTGGATAATATAAATTCACTTGTGGATGTACATGATGCAGCTTGATTGCATTGCTTTATAGATATATAGCAAGTACTGATCCCTGCATCTCCTGTAAAAGCACTTTGAGTACCATGTATCGGTCAAACAATGACCTTGTTCACAGAACAGTCCAGAGTACAGGTTGAACATTTTTTGTCATTGAATCAATGACAGCTCTTGCATCATGGGTCACCATTATTTGTAAACCCTGTGCTCTGGTTTCGGCATGGATTGTTAACTACAAACAACATAGAAAGAGCACCCATGGGTGGTTGTTCGGTTTAACAATGTATAACTCTGGGTTGTTTGTGAACTCTGGGTTGTTCAGGTGTAACAATTTATAGTTAAACCATAGTGTACTGCTCGCATATAATGACAAATTACAGTTCAGCCACAATGCATACTCAGCCTGCACGCTGGATCGCTGTTACATGCAAACCCAGACAAAGAGGCATAAAGATGCTTGATGGACACTGAGCGTTGCTTGCTCCATGAAATTCTCACAGAAGCTCAATTTTCTTATAAACTCATTGTGAGTTTAAAGTCACACTTTGAAAAACAAAACAAAGGAGGAGGAGAAGACGACGATGACGACACAGTAACAGAAACCTCAGCCTTTTGCATTTGGACAATCTATACTTTTTGTCAGCAACAAAATGAGGGCACTCCATTTAGAAGCCTGTGTGTCTACCCTTCCTCCATTAATCTATTCTCCCAAGACTTAGTAAGGTCTTGATTGCAGGGAAGCAGCTATCACTAACTGCTTGATTAATCCAATATGTTTATTGCTCTTTGTGCTTTATGAGCTAGTATAAACTGCACTAGAACTTTGTATTTGAAATATGATATAGAAAAGAGGAAAAAAGCTCCTACCTGGATCAAAAGTCATACCTTGGATATACGTCCAGATAACACTACCAAACAGGACAATCCATGAGTGCCAAAAATTAACTCATAAGGCAACAGAAATATCAGTTATTGGCTTAGGCATTCTCATGGGATATTGGCCTAGTTAGACCATCTTTTAATGAAGATTGAGGGCATAAATCTTTATGTTTTCTGATATAGCCATACATTTTTGAGAGTTTGGGTGAGAGCAGCAGGGATTACAATTCTTTGCTGGTATTCCAGGCACTTGTTAACTTCCCGGGGCTTTTAAGGCGTGCCATTTTTCCTGAGCAGGCTACAGGTTAGGATGGACAGTGGGTCTGATCAAGATTTTTATATGTTGTTGCAAGTGTTCAGCATATTAAAATGCAGCTTAGGAACTGGGGAGGGTTAAGAATATACCTTGGTTATACCTGAAAAAATGTATTAGCAGCCGTCTGATTTTTTTGATATTGTTTAGTTTAGCTTTTTTTGTAGGAGTAGCTATTCAAACTGGTCTTCAGCTGTCATTGAATGTCCAACTGCTTTTTGTTTTTGTCTGTGTGTGTATAGGTAGAAGAATATAATGGTCACATTTTTAAGGCCACTCAGTACAGCATCCCCACCTACTGTGAATTCTGTTCCTCTCTGATATGGATCATGGACAGGGCCTCTGTGTGTAAACGTGAGCATGAAATATTATTCTTAATTGCTCTATTCTGTCATCTTCACATCTGTTCTCCTTTTAAAGGATATTTTCTTTCATGAGGCTATCGTCTGCTCCATCTGATTGGATCCAAATGACATATTAAATAGAAAATTGCCATTTCCATGTTGAGATTTTCACTGCTGCCCAACTGATGGCCAAGAAAATTAGTAGAAAGCTTTACTCATTAAATGAACTGTATCAATATAGGACTACTTCCAGAGATTAGTCATATTGTGTTTCCAGTTCCTAAAGTCTAGCCTGTTTCATTTCTCTGCTTATTTCTGCACTCTCACCCCATCTACATTAATGACATGAAGTAATTTGGAATTGACACAGTAGTTTGCCATCAGTGAACATTAGAAAATGGAATTGCCCATATGGAGGCACGTAGGAGTTTTTAATCCAAGTGTGGCTCATAATACTAATGCAAGGGAGGGCTGGAAGACAGAAAGGTGCACTTAAACTGTTTTCTTCCCCACCAGTCCTCCCTTTAAAAATACTGCCCCTTTTGCTTCCCCACTACCTCAGCAAAAGCAGGGTCGTGGACTGTCAAGTCGAGAATGTTAGTGCCAAGTGCTTATGACCTGACCACCAGGACCATGGGTGATGGAGGTCTTGACTTGATGCAGTGGGGTCAAAGGTGAAGGTGAAGTCTTTGCAGGTGCAAGCAAGGGTCAGATACCAGCCAGGAATAGCAGAATCCAGGACAGGTAAGGGCCAGATGCCAGTTACGTAGGGCCAGAGGTGAGAGTGAAGTCAAGAGCAAGCAAAGGCCAGATGGTGAGGCAGAACTAGGAAAAGGCCAAGAGCAGATACCTAGTAATGGAATGGTAGGACCAGAGGCAAAGGCCCAATCAGGAACAGGCAGGAGCCATGGCACAGACAAAAGAACTGAAGTTAGGGTCTGGAACATGAAGGTGCATGTAGCTGAGCAGTCTTGTGTAGCCCCTCCTGGGCTTCCGGCGGTTTCATGATTTCGACAGTTCTAAATCCTGCAAACACCAACAGACTTGACATCAGTCCTGCGAGTACTTGCAAGGTGACCAAGATTTTATCAAGTCACCAGGGGGAGACATGTGTTTGCCAAGGTGTCATATAAGTCTGCCTGACAGGTCTCTGTCACCCAGACACAGCCTAGAGTCCAGCTGCATGCTTCAAAATCCAGCAGAGAGTCTGGGAAACTGCTTTCTCAAATAGCCCTCAGGAAAGCTACAATTGAACAATATTAGAATGTGTGAAGTGCTAAGTGTTTTTCCTCCTAATTTCAGTGTGCAAATATGCTTGCCACAGAAAATGCTGTCTGAAGACCACAACAAAGTGCTCCAAAAAGGTACAGTATCTTCATCTCTAAGCCTTTTAATCAACTCTGATATAACTCTCATTGCAGGATTGTGAAGGAACTCCTTTTTAGATTGGCAGTATGAGAAATCCACATATCTATGGCAAAGTTTACTGCCAAGTAAATTCTCCTCTTCAGTTTTTCCCCAGTATAGGCTTGTGTCAGCGGTGCTTATCACACGGAGAAGACTAGATCCCTTGGGTGTCTAACTTCATGCCATGTGCAGTATAGTTATAATTTCTGAAGAGGGCAGAACCTGTGTTGCGGTGCATCTGTACAGGAGAGGGTGGGCCTTGCAGTGTGCTTGTCTCACTCATGTAGATTTCTTGTGGCCCTAGTGGCAGTACAGGGGGCCTAGTATTACTCATTTGGTTTCCTGTGCATCCAGTAACTTTACTGATTAATAAAATTTCTTTTCAGTTCCCAATACATTAGGTAGTTGGGGAGTAAATAAGAAAGAAAGGAAAGAAAGAAAGTGAACCCATTAACTGGTCAATCTCTAAACTTTTCTCTTTTCAGTTCCTCCTATGTTCAGTTTATTCAGTATCTAGTGTGCTCCTGGATAGGATATTAGGATGTAATATGTTATGTAATTAGGGTGGGCAAAAGCTTTATCATCCTTTGAAATATTCTCAGGGTTTACATTACTATAGGGCAGCATGAATAATGCTCTCCCTATACAAACTGCCATCCTTTTTCTGTTTTAAGCCTGAAAATATTTTTGAATGTATTTTTGAAGCTATTTAGACTTGGCTGTATACCTCTTACAGTGTGTTGTGAATCAAGCAGATTTGCACAGATGGCATGCATTTTTGCTGTAACCATGTGTGCTAAATATTTGATGCTGAAAGAAGCAAGCATAAAAAACTTGTGATTCCTCATTGACTGTATATACTGGCGAATATACAGTCAACTCTTGAAACCAGAAATAGCGAGGCAAAATTCAGGGGGTTGTCTTATACACCAGGTGAAAAGTTTTCATCATACAGAAGGACCCCCATATCCATGGGGGATAGGTTCCAAGCCCCCCAGCAGATGTCTAAAAACACAGGACCCCTGCAAAAGTGGAAAAACTGCAAACATCTCTAGGAACACTGGGGGTGCTCCACTCTTTGCCTCAGCATTTTGCCAGCCTCACATGGTTTGTCTCTCAATGGATGCAAAGACTTTAAAGATTTTGTGTGTGTTTTTTTAAGCAATGTACTTCACTAATCTTTGCTTCTGTTTCCATAATCATTTCTAAAAATTTCGTTGGTTCATATCTGCAGGCAGCATTCCTTCTGTGCCTCTTAAGACAGTGATAACCCCAACTTTGTTCCTCTAGTATGATCCTGAGCTTTCTTCTCGACAATTTGGAGTTGAACTCTCCCGTCTGACCAGTGAAGAACAAACAGTGCCATTAGTGTTTGAGAAGCTCACCAGCTATATAGAAATGCATGCACTGTACACAGAAGGCATTTACCGGAAATCTGGATCAACCAATAAAATCAAAGAGTTGCGGCAGGGGCTTGACACAGGTGAGGAGGCATTCTACAGAAGTGGGGGAGGGGGGAGTGTGCGAATGTGAGAGCATAAATCCAGATGATTTGCCAGGTACCTGTTCTGACACAAGTCATTTTAAAGTAGTAACCTCAGTTCAGACATTACTGCTAGTGATGATTGAAGAAACTTGCCTGTGGTTTGACATGACGTCTGAATTGGCCAACCATGCTTTGCAGTCAGCACAAGCCATGGTTTGTGGCTAACACTTGGATGCAGTGTTTGAATTGACAAACTATAATGGCCCCTGCTTTGCCTCCTGTGCACCATAAATAAGGTGAACTGAACAGTTAGAAATGAAAGCAGACAAGCAGCTTCCAGCTTTGGGTGCCTGGGTTTGGCAGCTTGGAAACTCAAGCTGTAGTTTGGAGTCTAGTGTAAATCAGCTATTATGCCTTATGTGATTCTTAATTAAACTTTGTTTAGAGCTGACCAGTAAGGTCAGCAATAGCAATGCTGATCACAACAGGGGCCACAAAGAGCTTGCTAGTTCCTAAACCATTCCCACAGAGGCATTCTTGATTAGCCGTGCCATGTCCCTGCATCATTTTGTAATCTAGTCTTAGGATGGGGGTTCTGATCTGTGTTAGTTGTTATGTCGGCATGGAAGAGCTGACTTGCCTTTTGATAATGAAAAAACAGTTTTTCTATTCAAACCTTTCTTCTGCTCTGCTGTCCCCATTCTTCCTGCTAATCAGAAATTGAGAATGTGAATCTTGATGACTACAACATCCATGTCATTGCCAGCGTTTTCAAACAATGGTTGAGAGATTTGCCTAATCCTCTCATGACATTTGAACTCTATGAAGAATTCCTGCGTGCTATGGGTAAGAAGCTGCCATGTGCATCAAATAATGCCTTTCACTGAATTTTTCGGAAGGGCTAGTGATAAAATTGCACAGTTGAATCTAAGGGAGTTCTGTCTTTTTAAAATAATGAACTGAACATATTAATTTCCCACTCTGAGAAGGAAAAATTGTGCTCTCCATCAAGCAGATCATCTCTGCTACTTGCTCTTCAGCTGCAACATCTCCTGGACAGGGAAAGTTTGGCCGCAGTGATACAGGCAAAAGTAACCTCAGGACTGCACTTTATGGCAACAACCCTTGTGACTGGCCTGGAAGTTGAAGCTAGCACAGAATACAGCAGTTCAGTGGTTGTTGGGAATTGTCCCTTTTCTGCATGTTATTTCTTGCTGAGTGAGCCTCTGGGGTTGCCTATTCACTGCTAAGCCAAATTTAAGGTTTTGGTACACACATAGATCCCTAAACAGCTTGCGACCAAGACTGAATTGAGTGCCTTCTCCCTTATCAACCTGCATAGTAACTAAGGTCATCAAATAGCATTTTCCTGATGGTTCCACATGGCCTGTCCTATTTGGACCCTTGCCAGAGGAGAGCATTCAGCATGGCAGCTCCATTTCTGTGGAACTCCCTGCCTCTGGAATCAGGCAGTCATCAACATGTTGCTTTCTCTGGTGCCTCTTAAAAGCATGTTTATTACAAGAGGCCTTCCTTGAGTGACCGGCCACTGCTTTTACTGATATTCTGGTTTAATATATTGTTTTATTCTTTATTCTTTTTAATAATTTTATTGATTTTTAATCATAGTATACCAATTCAATTGCTTTTAGCAAATAAGGTAGAGTTTATAGAGTGATAATAAATAAATAGTTTTCAGAAGTCCAAGGTTCTGTAGTATAATCTCTCTGAAATAAGAATACAGCAGTAACTTTTTCGTGGGGCTAATAGATGACTCTCTGGAACATCCAACTGGTACTTAATATACCCTCTTAGTAGGTATGAGATGCCAGCGAGATGTTGGAAGGATGGCATCCTCCTTAGCATTTCAGACACAAATGATAGCGTTGCTTTTTAACCTTAATGTCTTGGGGCCACTCCCACCCAAAAGATTTAAGAAATAATGTCCATCTTCACATTTCACTGTGACTGCGCTGGACACTGTTGTTACTAACACCATCCGCGTGCCACTTTTGGATGTCAAGAGCATTTAAGGAAACTATGTCACAACCCTGCCTCCTTGGAGGCTCATCAATACTTGAGCATTTGGGTGCGTGTGAAACATTTGTGTACCAATGTTTGGAGGGCTAGGGTGAATCGTGCGGGTGAAGAAGGTGTAATGCCTTTTCCTGCTTAGTTGGATCTTCAAATGTTACTTTAAAGGGCACTTGTTATTAAAAAACTCTGAACAATTAGTTATAGGGTTGATCAAATTTCCAATTAATTAAATGAAATGAATTCTGTGCAGGCTTGCAGGAGAGGAAGGAGGCCATCCGTGGGGTGTACTCAGTCATTGACCAGCTTTCTCGCACTCATCTCAATACCTTGGAACGCTTGATCTTTCATCTTGTCAGGTACCAGTCATCAAGGATGTTCTCCAATAGTGCACTTATAATTTTTCTGTTGCCTTAATGAATGCTACCTCACATTGTAGGTAGGTCCCTTACCTTCAGTGCAACTTCCTTTAAGGGGCATTGCACCTCAGAGACCAGTGCACAAATTCTGTGGGCACAGGGCTTGACAAGCTAGCAGCCAGTCTTTGCAGACTGCTCTGGAGGGCAAGCTCCATGCATCAGCAGCATCTTGTTTAAAATCAGACTGATTAAGCTCGTCCAAGGACACTCTAGGCAAACACTGTGCTAATGGCTTTGATCAGTAGGATGCTTCTCTTAAATTCTCAAGGCTCATGTTAGAATCTGAGTCCTTGCCTGCATCTTACCCTAATGCTAGTGGAAAAATATTGTAACTTTTCCCCCAGTAGCTTGGTTCCTTACTGCTGCTGCAGCTGCTGAATATAACTCAGAGATGTTCCCCTTATGACATGCCTAGCAGATTACAGAAATTGACAGCTGTTATGTCATCAGTTCTGTGAACACTTATAGAAAAGTATGTAGAAAAGTGAATTGGTCTCTTAATTTTATGGAAGAACTCTTCCTGCAGACTTTGAGAATGTTCCCTACATTCCTTCCCGCAGAACCTGGCATATAGTGTGCCTTCTGTTTAGCCTGAGTCCAAACACTTTCATATATCATGTATAGTTTTATGCATTCTCTCAAAGCTGTTATATCTTGATATGCTCTAGGATTGCCCTGCAAGAGGAGACAAACCGAATGTCAGCTAATGCCCTGGCAATTGTATTTGCTCCCTGTATTCTCCGTTGTCCAAACACCACTGACCCTCTGCAGAGTGCTCAGGATGTCAGTAAAACCATCAGGTAAAAAACAAAATGGTATCATTACCCTTGAAGCATGAGATTCAGAATTCAGTATCTAACATTATGTGTCTGCCAGTCTTTTTCTGTGGAAGTATTTTGCTGGCCCAGGAAGGGGAAGTACATTCCAAAACACCAGAGAGAAGGAAAGGTAAAGGCTGCATTTACAAAACCATCTACTTTTCACATGGGAGTGAATTTCCTCACCCTTACATGCCTCCTCCCCTGAAGTACCGAGTAGGCAAATAGCATTGCTTTTCACATTTTCCAAGAGGCCTCTGTAATTTTGTGTGTCACTTTGCAGCCATTATATTAATTCTTGCTCCTTTCAGACAGAGGTGCATGCCTAGCAAACATCACACCAAGGAAAGACAAAAGCTGCCGTGAGTACTAGGTCTAGAAACAAAGGTTCAAGTAGAAATACAGACATCACAGGTGTTGTTTGGAAAGACAGCTAAATACAGTGACAGTGCAAGGTACAGATGCAGGGAAGAGGTAAAGATCCCAAGGGATGGAGAGGGGAAGAATGCACAGGATTTAAGAGTGGTAAAGTGGGGCAAAACCAATTTGGAAAGGAAAATTAGGTCTCCCACTTGTTCACTAATTCTCCAAGGTAGTACCCAGCTCCAGACCTTCTCACACACAGTCTGAATGTGTTGAGGAGGGAGCAAAAGCCCTGCATTCAAGCAAAAATGTGAAGGGAGCTTCCACATGCACCCAGCTATGCTTGGTAAAATGTTTATGTTCTGCACTAGTATGACCAGTCATTGTTTGCCCCCTCGACCACAGCAGATGTGCTCCGTGTCTCTGAAACACCTCGAATAATCTGCCTGCTGCCACCATGCATGCATTTTTGCTGATATTCAGGTCACTCATAGTATCTGTATGTAATACATGATGGGATTGAGGAAAATGTTTCTAGGAAATACAGATACCAATTCTCCCAGGATGACTCACGCTGAGACTGTTCCAGTCTATCATGTGGATGGGGCAGAAATGAGCCATTTGGATGGGACTGACTCTTCCAGTTTCCCTGTTATTATACTCAAAATAAGAAAGATCTCTAAAATAACAATTCTTGGTGTATAAATGTTCTTGCTAGATCTAGCGAAACTAGCAGCCCTCAAACATCCATTTTCCCTCTTAATAATTTTCTCTTTCAGCTGTGTAGAACTGATTGTTGTAGAACAGATGAATAAATATCGGGCTCGCCTCAAGGACATCAGCAGCCTCGAGTTTGCAGAAAGTAAAGCCAAGAGCCGTCTGTCACTCATTCGCAGGTCCATGGTAAGGGGCAGGACCAAAAGAATACCAAGCTGACTAGAACCCCTACACCACGAAGAGATGTGCACAGGGATCCCTTGTCTTCCCCACCTCTGCACTCCACTTTACTGGATATAACTTTCTTCTTTAGGAGAGAGAATTTGGAGGATAATAGCTTGTGTGTGTCTATCCCAACCATGGTTATTTAATTTAAACTAGAATGTATATGAGTGGGTTAATTTATTTGGGATTGGGTAGAAAGCCATTGGCCCTCCCCTATCCTGACACTTTCCTTCCCTCTATTCTTTTCCTTGTCTTACTTTCCAAACCTTTAACCAAACCTTTCCTTGTCCTATCTGTCTTTCTCAAATCCTTTCACATGTGATCAGGTTCATCACAGAAGCTAAAGATTGGCTTTATCACTCATGTTTGGATCTTCAGAATTTAAAGCATATATAAAGCAAAACCCAGACAATTTGGGATCAATGCCTCTCTGGCATTATCCCATATAGCCAGCGAACCCCTACATTCTGGGGGCGGAGGGGCAGGGTAGGGTCTGTTTTATTTATATATATATTTATTTAATTTCCAGGGGTGTCTGCAGCAAACCTGGGTCCCTTTAGCTTGTGTGTAATTGGCCTTCCTCCATGACCAATCACTCTTAGGACCTGGTTCCCTCTAATATCACAGAGCTCTCATCTGGCACTGCTTATAACAGAACAAGCTTCCATTCACCTCCTTCCAACCTGCACATGCCTTTGGAAGAACTGGGTGAAGCAACCCACACGTACTGTGGACTGGCCCGCATTAAGCTCCTTCTGGTGGGCTGCTTCCTTTTGCCTTGCAGCCTTCATGCGATGGGGAACGCTTGCACGCTGTTAGCTGGGCTGCTGAGCTGAAAGGCAGCTTCCACACTGACGTGAGCTGTATTCTCCGTTGCTGCGAGCTGAAGATGTGGCAGGCTCTGTAATGTGCTGCATTAGCTGCTTATATAAGGGAGGCCATGGGCTTTTTTGGTCATGTGGCAGGTGACCCATTTATTGCACTGTTGGAAGCAAGCCTGCTGTCCAGATCCTCTTGGCATGCTCTGCTGGGAGCGCATCTGTGACCCTGGCTGGTGCTCCCCCACCTCCTTGATGCAGTGCACCACAGCTTGTAGCGCATTCATGCTTTCTTGCAGTAGTAGCCAAAAGCCCAGCAGCTCTTTGGGAAGGGTAATGGCACGTGCACTCTAACCTGCTCCTTTCCTTTTCCTGTCCTCTAATCCAGAAACCTGTACTAATTGCCGTTAGATTTATGAGCATAACCCGCAGTTCAATCCCGGTATGTATCAGAATTGCATTGCACTGACCTTGTGCTGTAACCCTCCACTCATTCTAGTGCTTCTGCATGCTCCATGCCATAACCCACACTTCATAACTGCGTGTGTCCCCCTTAAGCCACCGTCAATTTCTCGTAGTAGAGGCACCACCAATAGGGAGTGCGCACGGCCATTTTTTTCTAGAGGAGTTACCAGGAAAGAGGGGGAAGAAAAGGTCAAATAGTCATTGAGACTGCAGTGGACTAAATGCATTGTTTTCTACCAATGTCTAATGCAAAAGGGTTCTCTGGAGCAGCAGAAGACACCATTCTGCCTTTTTATTTTGTCTTATCTCACAGAAATGACCAAACAGTTTGCCAGTCAAAGAGTGAAATAGGGCATGTGTACAATTTCAAAAGGCTATGGTTGCCTGGAGTAAAATGCTTGTATTCAAGGATTTCTAACCCCAGCGCTTTCTCCAGCTAGTGTCTTTCCCATCTTTGTTTTCTCTTCTTTAGCTTTTGGTCTAATAATCCCTTATTTCTTCTGTTGCTCACTCCTTTTTCTCACAGTAAGGTCAAAAACAATGATCTGTTGAAGAATTACAATAATTAAATCCCTGTTTCAGGAAATCTTTTTCTCCACCTAACACTGCCAGTTTTCAGAATAAGAATAACTGTCATCATCATCATCATCTTGCTTGGATTTCCAAACCAGACAACAACAATGCTTCCAAGCTCTGTCAGAGAGAGAGAATGTGAATAAATGTTGATTTACTCTCTTTCTGCTAATGCAAGAAGAAATACCCACTGTAGGAAGCTACTTTTTAAATGTATGTGCACATGAAGCTGCCTTATAGCTAGTGTGCTTATCGATCCATCTAGTTCAGTATTGCCTCTCCACACCATCTGGCAGTCTCTTTCCAGGATTTCAAACAGGAACCTTTCCCAGGCCAGCACAGGCATGGCAGAGACTGACCCTGTTGCCTCCTGCATGCAGAGCGTGTGCGTTGCCACTAAGCTGCAGTTCAACTGCAAAGATTCTTGCTGATCAAATTCGCAGATGACACTAAAACTGGAGCAGTGGCCACAACTGAGGAGCAGGTACTCCAGATCCAAAAGGATCTGGACAGACTGTGGAAGTGGGCAGGAGACAACAGGATGGCGTTCAATGTGGATAAGTGCAAGGTCTTGCACTTGGGGCATAGGAATAGCTGTCGTAAGTACAGGTTAGGTGACAAGTGGCTGGAGAGCAGCACTTGTGGAAGGGACCTCGGGGTGCTGGTTGACTGCAGGCTGAACATGAGTCAGCAGTGTGATGCGGTGGGCAAGAGGGCGAATGCCACCCTTGGTTGCATAGCCAGAAGTGTGGCTTCTAGATCGAGAGAGGTATTACTCCACTCTATACGACTCTGGTGTGCCCGCAACTGGAGTATTGTGCTCAGTTTTGGGCACCTCATTACAGGAAGGATATAGGCAGGTTAGAGTCAGTGCAGCATAGGGCCACAAGGTTGGTGGCCGGTTTGCAGGGGATGCCATACGAGGTGAGACTGAGGGAACTGGGTCTGTTCAGCCTGGAGAAGAGGAGACTCAGAGGGGATATGTTGGCGACATACAGGTATGTGAGGGGATGCCACATGGAGATGGGTAGAGACCTGTTCTCCCCTGCAGAGGAAGGCAGAATGCGCTCCAACGGAGCCGAGCTCAGGGAGCTAAGGTTTCGTTTGGGTGCCAGGAAGCACTTCCTGAAAGTCAGGACCCCGAGGGTGTGGAATGGGCTTCCACGAGAGGTTGCTGAGGCCCCGTTGATGTGGGTGTTCAAGGATAGGCTGGACATCCACATGGTGGGCATGTCTTGAGTGGAGCCAGCTGGTGCCGGAGATCAGACTAGATGGCCCGGGAGGCCCCTTCTGACTCGCTCTGTTTCTATGTTTCTATGGAATCAGGCTCCTGTCAGCATCAGTCATCTGCTGTGAGTACCAGTCCAAGGTCCCAGACAAAGGTCCTTCACTTCATTTGCTATTTGAAATGCATTTGGATGGGAAGGCGGGGATCAAAAATGATACTTTGGGTTTAACCACATTAGAGAACTAAATATAGTCAGAGTCAGCTAAACGTTGAAGCACTATTAGGGATGGAACAATGGATTAAACACATGTGCAAGCACACATGTGTGCATATATAGTTTATTTATCCACCACTTCTCTGCTCAAAATCAGTGTACTCATCTGTTTTTTTCACTGTGGGATTCTAAGTGCTTTTTTTCTGAGAGTATACAAAAACAGGTGTTTTGAAACAGCAGTGTGAGAGGGAAAGCTAAAGAGGCACAATTTGGAGTGGAGGAGCAACCAGTAAGGAAAGGGATTAAGTATTGCATCCTCCACAGTTTTCTGGGGGGAAAGTGATTCTTCAGTTTCTGTTCCACTTATGAAATTGTTATGGCTTTCCCAAAGCCTTCTGGTTGAGCACTCTGGAAGGGGGAAAGCAGGATGAACCAGATTTGGGTCCAATCCAGCTCTTGACTTCTTATGAAGTTATTCACCTGTCTACAATATGAAAATACATATTTTCACATGCAATTGTACAGCAATTCCTAGAGAGTTAAACATAATTTTGCTAGGTTTGAGATTCTCAGCCGTGAATTGCAGACAATAAAATGTTTCAGGAATTTGCTTTCAACTAAACATGTTTCCTGCTCACGCAGAGGCCACTTTGTGATGTTCATCATCTTTGCAGGACTACAACACGGTTATACAGCATCGAGGGCTTACCCTGTCTAAATCAAACGAAAAAGAAAATTGTTTCAGGTTATAAGAATGTTGTTTTCACCCTTCAAAGGCTAAGGATTTCTTCTTCTGTTGCACGTGCATCCTATGCTTCCTCGTGGTAACATCTTAGAGGGGCAATTCCACCTCCCATGTCCTATATTTTTCTAGTAAGTGAGGCCATATTGAAGAAAAGGGGCACACTAAAGGAAGTTGATGACATGAACTCCCATTTTGAACTCCCTATTTGGGAACACTGCAAGAGCTTGACAGGATTCAGGTACGAAAGGAGATTTTGAAAATGTCTAGAAATACATGTTTGGAGTCACATAGAATGAGAACCTTTAATCATGAAGTGATTATCTCAGAATGGTAGGAAGTTGTGCTAGCGCACTTGTTTTGACCGAAACAACCATTATCCAATAGTCTTTGAGGATCTGGTTCTGTTCGGATGAACACTGAATTGCTTCTTAGCATTGTGTGTCTAAGGGGCTATTTTCCCATTGCTGTTTATATAGAGATTCATCCTCACTTGTGTCGTTCCTGGATTTTCATTGGATAACGCAAGCAGGAGAACAACATAGCTTTGCAGATAGCCTTACTTCTTATTCTGTTGCTTTTGACTCACAGAAAGGCAGCCTTTTAGATTAACCTCTGTGTTGCATGTTTAATGCTTATTTCAGGGTAAAATGGCTGTAGATTGGATAAACAGGCTTTGGTGAGTGGCAGTCCCGGGCTAGTGTCACTGCTGACATACTGAGCCACCTGTAATGCCATATAGAGCTGCAGAAATACCCCTTAAGTTTAATTCTAGGATCTGGCTAATAAATGCTTTAGTATGCACAGGTCAGGGAGCATTTTTAAGAACCACCGAAATAATGAACATCCTATATTTCCTGTCCTGTCTGTGTTTGCCAGTCACCTACAGATGTTGTTTGTTTGCTCATTAGATTGTGCACACGTGTCAGGAATACGTGTTCTTCCAATCTAGAACTTAGACCAAGGCCGTACTCTCATTAGGACTGCTTCGCCTGCAGGGTAAAGGGCGCCTGCGCCGAGGGACATATCCAAGCCCCACGTCCCCAGCGGCGGTCCGGTTGCCATCTGTGTCGGACGTCTCTGAAGAGGCCCTGAGCAGCGAGGAGGCCATGGAGACGGATGTCACTGAACAGCAGCAGGTGGCCATGCAGCAGGAAGAGAAGGTGCTGACGGAGCAGATTGAGAGTCTGCAGAAAGAGAAGTGAGTCTGGACGTGTTGGGAGGGTCGTCAAGAAGCTGTCAGTCAGGAACCGTACATACTGGGCTGGGCTGCAGGTTCAAACTGGAACACTTTATAGCAGTAGTGAGCTGCTTTTTTGGTGCCCGGGTTTTGGTATCCCATTTTGTATTTTAGATAAGATCTTTGTTTTCTTTGCCAGAGAATGCATTTTTTCCAATGACTCCATGGCTTCCAGGCTAACTGCATATGTGAATGGTTCCTCTCTTCCCCTTTATTTCAATTTGTTTTCTGGTATTCCGTTCAGGGAAGAGTTAACGTTTGAGATGCTGGCGCTGGAGCCACGAGCCTCTGATGATGAAACTCTAGAGTCTGAGGCTTCTATTGGAACTGCAGATAGCTCAGAAAACCTGAACTTTGATTCTGAAGGCGCCATCTCAGACAGATCAGGTAAATGAAATCCCCTTGTCTGGATGTGTAAGGCTGAATTAAGCCAAAAGTATCTTCAAGCACTTTCTCTGCTTTTCCACTGTAATGAGTATAGGAGTTTAATTATACGTCGGGTTTGAAATACCCGGCTCTGGGTACAACATGGTGGCTGCTTAGAGAAGATGATGTTAACCACTATCTATAGGTGTTGCTCTGTTCATGCTGAATTCAACAGATCCCACAGAATCCTTAGAATCGCAGCTTTAATATTTCAGAGCAAGGTTATAGCTCTCACGACTGCAAAATGAATGTGGGCAGCTCAGACAAAAACTCTTTCTTTGCTAATAGCCCTAAATGTATGGGAGAAGATAAAAACACTAGTGAATCCTAGCACTTACTAATGGGACAGATACTGACTGTCTTGCCAGTGATACAAACTAGAAGAATATGCCTTCCATTCTTCTCTCTCACACAACTCAAAGCAAATGTGTGGGTTTGTTGGGTGGGGGGGGGCGGGGACTAATGCACAAGAGCATCAAGAATGGTAGGTAAGACAGGTGTTTTCTCACTAAAGTTGCATTTAAGCTTTCTGCTTGTTTAAATGGAGCAGGGTGGAAGGAACGCAAACAGTGGATCGGACAATAATATTTTGAAAACACTTATTTTAGTCACTCAGCTTGGAACAGACAGTGAAGAAAACGAAAATGAAGTGCTTGATTTCATTTAGTCTGGCTTCCTTTTGACCTTAGCAGACAATGCGGCATCTTTCTCAGTGTACACGTACCAGCACTACTTAAACCCTTTTGGTCTCTCTTTCCTGCCAGACAGAACTTCAGCACTAGGCTCAGTGAGACCCATCAAGGCAGAGCCCGTCACCACCACCAGGCCTCGAAGACACCTGAGAAAGCAGCAGGATTCCACGGACTCGGTGGACTCCTCTGTTTCCTCTCCATCCCTGTCACCCTCCTCCTCCTCCTCCTGCTTACCTCACGTAACTAGAAAACGGTTCCAGATATACTCCAAATCGCCTTTCTATCGAGCAGCTCCCTCTGGCGGTGCCACCGCACTGGAGCGATCCCCAGGGCATGCGAAAGGCCTGGATGACCGGCCACAGTTCACCACCAGAGGGACATTCAATCCCGAGAAAGGCAAGCAGAAACTGAAGAATGTGAAAAACTCTCCCCCCAAAGCCAAAGAGCTCCCCGAGGGGGCTGCTGGGACAGGCCGGAAGAGACACCCTGATGCTGCTGATTACACCAGTTCCCAGCAGCTGGTGCTGCATGGAAATAAGGAGTTCATGGTGTGAGCCCGTCCATCGCAGCAAAACAGAAGCATCTCTTCCTTAGCATCTTCCCGCCATTTCAGCACCATCTGCCACCGCTTCCATTGCAGGCCTGCTGTCGCCACCCAAGTCAGCTTCACTCTCTAATTCATAGCTTGGAATCCCAACGTTGTGCTGCCAGTACGGAAGAGTGAAGGCGAACTCTAACTAAAGCCAGTGGAAGAAGGTCCGGCTGTGGCCTTAGCTGCCTTGACTTTCGGAACTCAGTAATTTCTTGGTGTCTCAGGCTGGGACTTGTAGCAAAACCAGTAAAGTAGGCAGAAGAATGGCTAGAGAGCCACATCTGTGTTTCTCATCCATCCTTTGTCCCATCCTTAAGGGACAGGGAATGTGCCAGCCAAGAACACCAGGAGGGCACCTGGAGTTCAAGGAGCTTTTCTTCATCCCAATGGTCAAAACTGCTGACTTTGGGATTGGGTTTTTGCACTGGGATCAACAAGCCTGGACCATCTTAGTAGGGGCCACAGCGAAGAAGAAACTGAACCCTTTGTTCAGAGTCATTTATAATGCACTCCATGGTGTTGTCAGTTGGTATAAAATGTCATTTCTACTCGAGCACTTCTCAGACAACCACCAGGTGCATGCCTGTTGTGGAAAAGAGTTTTATGTCTGTCTTTTTGTTTAGGTTTCTTTGTTGACAATGTCAGAATAACCAATTCCAGATTGATTCCAGGTAGGTTAAAGCCAAATGTTTGTGCTGGGTTTCCAGTAACCATAGCTATGACAAATATCCTGAGTTTAAGGCACAGGATTGGATTCCAGAAGTTAAAAGAAATGTCAGGAGGAAGAATCCTTTGTCTTTCAGACACTCCTTTGTCCCAGATGTTCCGTGCTGCTATCTGAGCAAAAAGCTCCACAGACAGACTTTGACAGACAGGAAAAACTCAAGCAAAATGCAAATGTATGGAGAAGCCGTAAGAAAGGCTGCTGGTGCAGTCAGTCTGTTTAAAAAGTGATTTAACCTCACTCTCTTCATGAAACCATCAGTATTAAAGAAAGGCGCAACAAACCCCAGAGACTACTTGAAGCTCTTTGTTAGTATTATGGTTACTGAAGTTCAATGTAAATAAAACTTGTTATGTTTTTTAACTTTTTTTTCCACAATGTGGGACCTTTTAATGTGGGACAGTTAAGCCAGGAAGGGAAAGGTGAAGGGAGAGGGACGAGGTGGGTTGCAAGAATTAGATCTGAGGTCGTTGCAATATGGATCAGTAGTCACATTTTTGCCAGTGCACCGCCAGGTACTCCCACAAGTATCTCAAATGTGAAGCATCCAGCAGTTCACCCTTGTTGCTTAAATGGCTGTGAATGGTGCGAGAAGAGCCCCTCCTTCTCTAATGGTCTTTTTTGGAAGCTCCATTTTTCAGAGCGTCCAGTAATACCATTCTCCTGTGGTGACGGTGTGACGGAAGATACTGAGGGGAATGAGGTTTGTTCAGCGGGCCACCAAGTGGTGTGTCACCTACATAAATGTAGCTACAATTTGGAACAAAAAAGACAGGGCTAGTGTACATTCACTGCATACGCAGAACACGGTCTACATAAAACTGGTGTCCTTTGCAAGCCATTGACCTTTAGCGTCCCAACATAGGTCTCATCTCCAGTCTTAAGGGGTTTGACTGAGAGGCAGTGGTGAGTTCACTGTTTAAACCTGCCTCACAATAAGTGTGTGAGCAGCCCATTCAAGTTCAGCCACAAAGGTCCCGAGAGGCTTGTGAATGGATGGAAGCTTCAGCTCGGCCCCCAGCGTGCAACACTCTGGCACTATACAGACCTTGAGGTGTTCCGTGTGTATGGAACAGCTGGGCCGGCTTTCGCAGGTCAAAAACTAGTTGTTAAAACCAAAGGTGATGTGATCACAACAGAACAGAAGCTACTATTGAACAGTTTACTGGGTGGCAAAGGTAGGAAAGCAAAAAGCACAAAGCAAAGCAACAGTATCTTTTAAAAAAAACTCAGCATTTTCAGTTCTGAAGATATATAAATAGAGATGTTACTCTGAAGAGGATTAATTAGAGAATTCAAACTGTTCCTTCAGAGATTGTAGATGGTACTTGCTCTGTTAGCCAAAACTTTCTCTAGCTGCTAAGAGGAGCCCCCGGCTGTGCTTTTCCTGCTTCAAACCACAGATTGTCCCTCAGGCAAAAGCTTTGATTTGGGCCTTTCTGATGGCAGCTTCTACCTTTGGCTTCGCAAAATTTGCTCAAGGCATCATCTCAGCTGTGACCTTGAGGCCTTTCCCTGCACCCGGGTGGATCCTGAGGGAGCCCAGCAGGCAGAATTTTCAGTATGCGTGGGCCCAGTTGTTGTTGTTTCTTTGTCATGGTTTGTATTTTTGTGTTTGAGGCATTCAACAACTTGCCCATTTCAGCCCCAAAATTGAATGGCTTGTAGCATGAGTTCCAAGTCAAATATTAAGAACTGTGGCTGAGGATCATCCCTATCTTTCCCTCTCCCCCTTGAGGCACAAGGGTGCTAGGACACCCACCTTTCTGCCATCCAGAAACTTGTCCGCTGAGGTGACAGCTCAGTGTCCTTGGGCCTTTGTCCTCACAGTGGCCTTTCTCGTGGCTTTAGATCCAGGTTGTGTTGCGACACTGAGGAGCTCTGGTGAGGTAGGTAAGGGAGCCCTCAGTATAGTTTGGTAAGCAACGTTTATCAACAAAGGGACACCTCTCTCTCTCTCTCTCTCTCTCTCTCTCTCTCTCTCTCTCTCTCTCTCTCTCTCTCTCTCTCTCTCTCTCTGCAGTACCAATTTGCTGCAGATAAGCTAAACTCCCCTTCACCAGCCCTACCCCAATATTATCCCATAACTGCATGAGGTAGTCAACACATTTCTGATGCACACATTACGTGCTTGCTTCTGTCTGTACAATGCTCAGCAAGTACGCAAAGATCCTTGGAAACTTTTCAGACTCATTTTTAATATTCTCTCTCTCTCTCTCTCTCTCTCTCTTTCTCTCTCTCTCTCTCTCTCTCTCACACACACACACACACACACACACACACACAGCTGATTTCTGTGCTGGAAGGCACCGGATTTTGCAAATACTCCAGGGGACTAGTTCCTTTTTCTTCCAATGCAAAGCCTTTTTCTTAGCACTGGCCATGGGGGCAGGGAAGGCGGGAGGGCATCTGTGTGCCTGAGACTTTCAGTTGTTGCGCTAGGTTGGAATGTGGGCAACAGGAAAAAGTCCTTTTGCTTCCATTCCCTGTCCTGGCTCTGTGCGATGCCTGTCTTCCAGGATCGCCGCCTCTCCTCCATCCCTGCCCCAGGGCAGTCTGTAAACATGGAATCTTAACCCTTAGTCCACTCATGGTATCAAGTGAATGTACTCACCACTAGGAAGGACATCGGCTGCATATAATTATTTTTAATGGAAATTTTTAAAGTAATTTATAAGTATACTGAGTGTAAATTTAAAAACAGACTATGTATTGTAAAAGGATATATTGTCCAGTGTCATACTCTATAAATTCTACCTGTTTAAAGAAGAAATCTATAAAGGAAAATGCTTTATTTTGCTCATGGAACCAGCTGGCTTGCTGTGATGCCGTTGGGCCAGCACATTGTAATTTCATGTCTGGAAGTTACTCTAATTTTTTTTTTAATTAATGTTATTTTGTTTCTTTCTTCTGGAACAAGGCCGTCATATTTAAAGTGCAATTTGTGTAATATTTCGTAAATAATGATACTATATGGCTGTACAAAAACAACTTTATGAACAAATAACCCCTAGCTTATTAAAGAACAAAGCAATGGAAAACAAAGCAACAGTGGCAGATGTGTTTCGTAATTGGTGATGTTCGGAGTCACCATATGGAAATCAGCTTTTGCGTCTGAAGAAAGGTGGGGGAATATGAAGAACAGCAGCAGAGTGTTGATGCCATTAAGGGACTGTCCTTTTTCAGAGTGCAGATGAGGGAAGAATCGCCATGCTTAATGCTTTCTCTCTGGTGAGAGCTCTCGGAAGATGCGGCACATCAGTGAAAAAGGCTGGGACATCTTAATGTGCTTCTCTTCTTCATACAGGGTGAAGGCTTGGCTTGGCTTGGCTTGGCTTTTGAACCATATGTGAGCCAGTCCAAACACGTTATCTTTCACTTCTGGTCTGAGAGTATACCGTTCCAGGGCAATGCTCGTGTGGTTTTTGCCAAGTGTGTAATTCAGCTTTTTATTTGCGGGCAGAGGAGGATTGTCCTAGCGGCTTGCTTATTTCCACTGTATGTAGTAGCAACAGAACTGCTGACATAGGAATATAAACTTGGCCCATCATTCCTGTACTTCAAGATAAGCGTCTCACCTTTCCCCTTCCAGCAAAGCGGGAGAAATAACCGACAGATGCGTTTCTACTGACACGGCCAGCATGGGTACCTTCAGAGGGTCTGGGGCCCAACTTCCTGTCTGTCTGCTTGCTCCTCCCCCACTGCATTCCAGAAAGCAGTAAGTGGCTATGAAAAGAGAATTTGCTTCTGGCATTCTAACGTGTGCCATCTGTTGCCTTCCTGATCCCAGAAAGAATGATTGATTTTCATTAAACTGCAGAGCTGAGTCATAGAGGTGATGTTTTCCACAGGGCTGGATGATCCCTCAAGCAGTGACTTATTACAAAGGTTGATCTTCAGTTTGCACAAGGCAACCCTGGGCAGTGGGGAGCCACTGTAATAAATAAACTCACCCATTAGATTTGGAATGCAGGCAGAAGACTTGTCCATGAACAGTCAGTGGGAGACGGGGGCTCCCTCCCAGGGCGGAGCCTTTTGGGTCTAATCCCGCTTTTGGTGTTGACCAGCCCCTCAGCATCGATGGCAGGCAGGTCTCTCAGGGCGCCCCATGTGCTGGCAGTCGCCATTCCTTTCCCCAAGCTTGTGCACTTTCCTGGCCACGCAGTCAGGCATAAATGTGGGAAAAATACTCAAGGAGAGAAGCACTTCCTGATCCAGGAAGAGAGGTGGTCAAAAAGGAAGTGAGGGAACAGGTGGGAGCCTCTCCCATGGATGTGTGAAACAGAGACGAGTGGGGCTCCCACCCAAACTGGCGCTTCGCTGTAGAGTTTTCCCAACCACCGGCTGCACGCAGGCACAGAGCCCGGACGTGTGGTGGGCAGAGGCCCCGAAGAAGAACAGGTAAGCAACCTGGGTTCCCAAGTCCGGTGCAATTTGGTTGGCACTTCCAAAGGCAATGTTCAGCTGGCAAATTTCGGATGATGATGATTTTGGTCCACATATTGTGTCTCTTTTCAGGTTTGTATTTCTGTTTTTGTGCACTCTTACAATTTTTAGATGACTCTATATTGGTGTGTTGCAGCTTTTGTATTTAAGATCTTAATATTCACCTTGGGCATATTTTATGAAAAGATGCATGTAGCTAAATAGAAATTAATGGAAATATGTTCAGTATAGCATAAATATATTGTAAAATCTGGATTTTTTTGACTGGAACAATAGGTTGGAATGGAATTTAATCATACTTACAGGCAAGCTATCAAAACTAATGGGGTTTATGTTAGTAATTGTTTACATAAGTTCCATTAATTTCAACTGGTCTACTGCTGTCAGCCACCCAAAGCACTTCAGGTATTGGGTGGTATAGAAATGAAATAACACCTTTAGGTATGATTAAGCCTGCATTTGGACTAATGGGTTTGCACTCCTTAATTGTACCCTCCTTTAGAAAAGCAGTGCAATAGTTTCTCTTCTATGGTGTTTTCTCTTAGATGCACCATAGTTTATAGATAACTCGGTTATCTCCCATTATTTCCCCATAGCATTCTTAACCTTGTGCAGCATTCTTCCACACCATCATGGGGTTTTACAGTCAGGATCAGAGCTTACCTTGAGTTGAAAACCCTGTTTTCAAGGCCCAGACTCAGCCCTGCAATAGAAACTAATGGAGAATTTTGTTGTGCGTGTACAAAATGTATTTTCATTCAAATCCATGTGCATGCCCAGACCACCAGGAAGGGCTTGAGAGTTAGATGGTGCAAAATGAGCCAATTATTGTTAAAATCATCAGCACTGCTCATAACTGTTCACTGTTGGGATCCCAGTATTTTTCCTTGTTATGTGAATGTGGCTGAGCTGCAGTTAAGATGCCATGTGGTGATTCAACCAAAGTCCAAGCAGTCTGTGGGAAGGAGCACCCCCATGTCTCTTCATGGCCTTTCAGACCCAAGTTTATAAGGATCGGTGGAACCTGGGGAGGAGGCTCCTGGAGCATGTCAGTTTTTGAACATGTCACATAGCAGCTTCTCCATGGGAGTGTTCCCAATAGTCTTGCGGAAAAAAAGAAGCTCAATGCGCTCTGAAGGAAGAAACTTCAGTGAAGGCAGCAGCAGCAGCAGCTTTCCAAACCTGTAAGGAGGAGAAAACAGACATGCTGGTTATGGTGGCCTTCCAAGATTCCTAGGCAGAAAAGGGGAGAGCATTTCACTGAATTTCTCCCATGGGAAGAGAAATTTCCCAAACTTTTTGGGAGTGGAGGTGCAAGTTCACCAGCAGCAGCAGTTCTGCTGCTTTTTCTTCCAAAGTGGTGGCCTGTTTTGCTGTCAATGCAACAAATATTTTGCTTCCTCCACAGTGCCCCAGGCCTAGCATTCTGCTCCCTTGTGGCAGAGCAAATAGTGAAGAGTGCTTGGTGAAATGGCTCTCTCTTAAAGGAAGAAATGGGAGAAAATGTGTAGGGTTATTTTGTTCTCCCCAGATCTCTTCTCAGACATTTCAGCTCAGCTGTCATTTCCTTATAGAATAAGCCTGTCACCATGCCACTTGCTTGAATTGGAACTCTGACCTAAAGGACTTGAACATGTTTTAAAATATATTTAACCCACTTTTCAACTGTCAGGATGTAAAGTGGTAAGCAAGTGGTAATTTGAACTAATACAGTAGAAATACAATAATGCATCAAACCAAACATTAAGGCAGTAGTAAGTAGAACTGAAGAATTGCCTTAAAAGCAGCTAAAACAACAAATGCAGCGACTGGAAAACAACCAACAAGTGGGAAGTCACAGGAAGCAAAGTCAAATTTGCAGTTAAATGAAAAGCTCAGGCAAATTTAAAAAATTCTTCAAGTCCCTAGAACTTAACAAAACCAGCTGTTGAAGTTCTCTGAACAAGGCATAGCATAAATGAAGTGCTACAACTGTTCTCAAAACGTGGAGGTACTTAAAGAACAGCCTCAAATTAAGACCTTGACTCCTGGCCAGATATGTTTGAGAGAGTGTGTGCATCACTAGCTGTGGATAATGTTTTGCTGGAAACTAAAATATATTGCAGATTTATGCCACCTGTTGTCTCCCAGTTAGTTGAACTACAGCTCCCAAAATTTGGCTGGGAGCTGTATTCCAAAAAATCTAGAGGGCAACAGGTTGGGGAAGGATAAGCTATGAAGGGATGGTATAAGTTGGTGTCCTGCACTAGCAGGGAGTTGGACCCAATGGCCTTCTTGGCCCCTTCCATCTCTAATTTTTGGTGATTCTGTGATCACCTGTCATGCAGCCAGAAAAGAAAGGGGGACCCTGCCAGAAGGAAAGCTTGCTGCCCTAAATGTGGGAGATCTTGAAAATCCTTCAGGGGCTAAGTTGTTAGGAAGGTAAGAACAGGGAATTGCATTCAGGTACCTGACAGGCTGGTTTGGGTAATGGATCTGGTTATGTTGTCCCAGCATCACCTGTGACTGATCCTGCAAATTCTCCACCTGGTCTGGATCCTTCAGGCCTCTGGTTTCTACCAAAGAAAAACAGCCAGAATAAACTACATTTTTGCAGAAACTTGCTTTTAAAGAAAGTGTGCATTCATTGGTGCTGTTTTGCTGGAAATAGGTATGAATGCTTGGGTATAAAAGTGTTAAGAGTAGCATGGAAAACAGAAGAGAGGTGTGATTCTGGTTGTAGAATTCAGCTTTCATAGGAACTCGGCTATAACGTTTAAAAAGTGAGGGTTTAATCCTCATGGCTGCAAATACTTCTTTGAAAGTTCACAGGCATTGCCTGCTGGAATCTGACTCTGGAGAGGTGACAGGAAAGCTTTTTAGTGTCTGAGAGTTGGGATCCTGAGCCCTGCTTCTCCCTGGGGCAAGGAAAACCAGACTCTTTCCCCCCCAGCGTTAAAGACTGAGGAATGAATTACGCAATTTGCCTAATTTGCATAGCATTTGCTGTAGAATTCACATTTTTCTTGGTGCAGAGTGTGCATTTACCTTGATAACTGAACGTTGCTTCCATTTCTTTCATACAGAAAAAGCATCACCCTCTGCCGGTAACCAAATGCTCTTCCTTCCAGCTAGCTCACCTGGTTTGAACAGCACAATCGCTTTCATGCAGGCAAACTCCGTGGGGTCCACGAGCAGCCCTCTGAAGCGAGCAATGATTTCCTGCAGGGCACGAATGTCCGCTCTGCCAGATGTAAGCTTTCCATGGAAGGTCGGGGCCAGCTCCGACACGGAGAGGAGGGGGCAGCTTTCCAGTGGCAAAGACCACTGGATGGCACAGAGCAGGAACAGCTCACTCCATGCTTCCTCCAGTAAGATCACCTACAAAGGCAGAATAAAGGGCTAAGTCTCTGGTAGCTTCAGGAACTGACTGCTACATCAGATCTGTTACTTAAATAGCTCAGGAGCTGTCACGTCAGGCACATCAGCATATTATTTTATGTCAAAACTTTCCTTCTTAAACCTACTTTAGGATAATGTGCCTTGTGTTTACAGAACGTTGCATCAGACACGGTCGAGTATCACCTTCCAGTGAGCCAATTCCACTGCTGTCTGCTCACCTTAGGCTTTTAGATGAGTATACTATATCCATGGGAAGGAAGGACTCCCTGGAGAAGCCCCCAATGCTGGGAACAATAGACGGCAAAAGAAGGAGGGGACGGCAGAGGATGAGGTGGCTGGATGGAGTCACTGAGGCAGTCGGCGAGAGCTTGAGTGGACTCCGGGGGACGGTGGAGGACAGGAGGGCCTGACACGACTTTGTGACTAACAACACTATATCCATCTAGCCCTCATCCCTTACTTTCCAGTTCCTCACTCTAGGTTCCTTCCCCCACCGAACCTCCATCTCCAATATGACCCACACTGCTGAGATCATAGAAGATAGCCCTCTTCAAGCAGGGAAGGGGGCGATTGGTGGCCCGCCAGACCTGCATCTCCTGCCAGCGCTAGCCAACACAGCCAGTGGTGAGGGATCACAGGGGTTCTGGGCCAAAACATCAGGCTGCAAAGGCAAGCAGAACTGCATTTGCTTCAAGTTCACCTCTTTCTGTGGCTCAATAAAAATATCACAGGTCCAAAATTCACATATACTGAATCCAAGGATATAGAGAGCTGTGAATTTGGCATTTATGTTATTTCATAAATTACATATGAAATGGGTATTTCTTTGCATTGAGATGCCTATTGGTTCACTTAGTGCAAGGACAAGAAGAGGATCTCATCCTGATAGCGCATGCACCGAGACCCACACACCTGAGCCCCCTGCCCCACACACTGCCAGTACCAGCAGCTGGTACCAGCTGCACCTGGCCCAGGGACTCACCTGGTCTCGGAAGGGCAGGTTTGAGAAGACAGGTAGGTTTTTTGCCCATTTCACAGCCATGAAAAGGAGTCGCGCAGAGGTTTCGTAGACACTCTCGGGGCTGGTAGTGGGGTAAGGGGACGCAGCAGCCTCACCCCCTGAGTGCTCGGGCTCGTTACTGGTTACATCAACGTTCTCATCAGCTGCGGAAGGGAAAACAGGTCCATCACTACCGTGGCAACATCACTGCTAAGCAACTTTTTCCTGTGTCTATGCCCAAAACGGTTTAGCAGGACGGCTTGCGGGTACCAGCAGCTGTGGACTATCCACATAAACATGGCAGCAACACTTAATGGGCATAATGAGATTTAAGAGTTTTTGAAAGATCTGGCACCATTCCTAGAATGCTGTTGAGGGTTTGAGGTTTAATTTCTAAGCAGCAGCAGCAACAGGCTGCTTCGTCCTCCAACTCCCACGACCTCTAACTGTTGGCATTGCTGCTTAGGGCTGGTGGGAGCTGTAGGCCCACGCATCTGGAGGCTGACCAGCCTTGAAGCTAAACACAGACCTGAAATATTTTTAATTCTGCTTTTTCCAGTCCGAACAGTACCGTGGCCAACCCAGGGCCGGGAGACCCGATGCAGGCAGTACCAGCAGTGCTCGCTAGAGGGCAGCGGAGGACGGTCCTCGCCAAGCCCCGCAGGCCCGTCCAGCAGCGGCAAGCCGCCCCTAGGAAGCCGCGGCCGTGGCGCCGCGTGCTGCACGGGGCCGAGCGGGCGCTGCCCGGGCAGGAGCCTGGCGCGGGCCCCGGAGGGCGGCGAAGCAGGTGAGCCCCCCAGCCCGCCCGCCCCGCGGCGTGGCGGAGCGGAGCGCCCTACCGTCCTCGGGCTCCAGCTTGGCGCAGGTCTCCGCCGTCATCAGGCTGGCCATGAAGCGGTGGCTGCCGGCGGGCGGCGTCGGGGGCCGCGCCCTCGGGGCCGGGGCGGCGGCCGCGGCGCAGGCGGTGAGGGTCCGGTGGCCCTGCAGGGACGGGCAGGGCGGCGGCGGCGGCGCGTCCCGCGTCGTGGCCAGGTGCTCGGCCGGCCGGTCGGCGTCCAGGTCCGCGGCGTCGAGGCGCACCTGGGCGGTGCTGCGCGGCTGCCGCTCGTTCTGCACGGCTGCGGGCGAAAGCGGGCGGCGGTCTCTGCGCTGCCCCCCGGGGGGGGGGGTTTAGGCGGTTCGGGGGGGGGGGGGGGGGCTGGGAAATGGGGCTTTAGGCTTTTATCGGGGGCTCCAGAAATCACCTGCTGCCCGCCTGCCTCCACAGCCATACAAGTTCCTCCCACGTCCTTCGTGGCACTGGCCCATCGTTCCCCCTCTCTCGCCCCATTCCTGCGTCTCTCAGTGGAACAAGTGAAGCAAAAGAAAAAGGGAAAAAGCTTTTTTAAAAAAAGCCCCAGCCTGCTCAAAGTGGGTCTCCAAAGGATGTGCTTGGATTCCCTTCCTTCTTCCTTTCGAGCAACAGGCAGATTTTTGGTAAAAAGCACTTTATTTCCAACATACAGACAGGAAACTAATAGCCAATAGAGGAAGAGTCTCTGAGCATGCACAGAGCAGTTTGTTGAACCCGCACTAGAAACTGCTTCCCGCCACCCTCCTTTGGGTCACCCTGGGCTCCACCCCTCTCGTGGATCCAGGCAGGCGCTCTGGCTGGGTAGCCCTCCTCTCCTGATGCGCCTTCAGGGGGTCAGGGGCTGGAGCAGGCCCCTCTCCTGTGTCCCCTTCCAGCACTTCCAAGCCCTGTCGGTTCCCAAGGCCTGTTTTCCTGTGTACTACAACTGTTTCAAACATCCTGATGCTATGTTGATTTCATGGGACTGGGATTATATTTTATTGTTTTGTCTTTATGAATGGCTGTAAACTGCCCAGAGAGCTTTGGCTCTGTGGCAGTGTAGAAGTGAAATAGTGAGAGCTTTTCCCACCCCCAGCACCCCCTGCTCACCATCCTTGTTCATTCCAGCTTGGAGGCATTTCTTCAGCCGACAGGCTTGGCACTGGTTCCTGTGTGCTTTGTCCACTGGACACATCCCTGTCCCAGCTTGGCACCTGTTGCGAGAACAACACAACACTGCATTAGATCTGATCGAGCCGGCAGAGCCCTCTGCATGCGCGCTTTGTGCCCTGTCCCTGAGCTGCGGTCCCCCACACCGCCCCGTCCAAATGACGACAGCTGGGCCCGTCCTGTGATGGAGCCAGGGACCAAAATCCTGCCCATTGTGCCAGTGGTGGCTACCAAACGGGGCGGCCATCTTCCTCTCATCTGCCCAAACTGGTCGACTCAGCCAGAGCCCCAGACGCTTCTTCATTCCTCACCTGTGCCCCACTTCACCTGGAGGGCGTGTCTGAACTTGGAGCACATTTCAGACAAGAACTGGGCCTGCAGAGACCCAGCTCCAACACCCCCCCAACTTGGATTAAAAATGGAGCTGCTTCTGCAGGGCATCAAAAGTAGGCAGGTATGGGCACCTGCCAAGGGTGCACCCCCCATTAGGGGGGCACAGAGGAGAGCCCCTTCCCTGTGCTGCTCTCCATCCTTGCATTCTGCTTGCTTGTTCTTGTCTAACGCTGGCCCAGGGGTGCTGCTGACGAGGGAGCAGCAGAGGATGCCCTGGCCTCCGGCCAAGCAAGCAGGCAAGCGGACCCGTGGAGCAAGCAGCTGGCACCAGTGCTGAAAAGTTGGTGGGCCACCAAGGGAGGAGGCCGACTGAGGGTGCCTCACTTGCGGGCTCCCCCAAAACTGACGGGCAGTGTTGCCTGCATGATATTGAAGCTGTGGGGCATCTCATCACACCTCCCCTGCCCCACTGATCGGTGGACGGCTGGGCTGCGTTCCCAGTGCAAAGATGAGCCCCTGACCTGTAGATGAGCTTCCTGCGGACGCTGCGCTTGAAGAATCCGCTGCAGCCGTTGCAGGCATAAATGCCGTAGTGCTTGCCGCTGCTGGAGTCTCCGCACACCCTGCACAGCAGCACCGGGCTCCCGGCTTTGCCCGGAGGAAGGCAGAGCCCTGCTGGGAGCAGAGAAGAGGTGCCAGGACCGTGCAGTGGCACAAAGACGCGGACCGGCGGGTCTCCCCAGCCCGCTCGGAAAACAGGTCACGCTAGGAAGGGGCGAGGAGGCATGTGTTCCCGCACCCCGAAAGGAGCTCCGTCTCCCATGGTTGGATCCCTGTGTTTACTTGAAGGAAGGGCACTTTGTGCTTGCTCAGATTCTTGCTCATTACTTTATGCTTACTGTAATCAATACAGAGAAAGAGCCTCTCCTCCTGTCAATGACAGAATGTGACTGAATTTGCATCTGGAAGGTAGCCAGCTAGAAGTCCGATTTTCGCATTTTCACCATCTCTGGCAGGTACATTGTCCAGTTGCCACCTCACCTCAACCTGTGTCTAAGCATCCCTCCGGTGTTGCTGGCAGGGCAAGACTTTGGGGCTGAAGTCCATGGGCCCCACGCAGCAGCATGAGCAGACCTCCAAGTGCAGCAGTGGGCTGATACATTCCGAGATCAATGACAGGATTGAGGCGTCTCACCATCACTTCCTGCGTAAGGGCATTAAGCCCAGACTCAGAAATTACCCAGCTTCATGCACAGTTCCCCACCAATTTTTAAATTTACTTCATGTTTCAAGCCAGAAGAAGCCAGTTAGGAAACAAGACGCTATTGCAGCCTTTTCTCTTTTAGTGTGTTTTTTCTTGAAGTATATGTGCCATTTTTATCCTGCCCTTCCTTCAAGGAATGCACGACGGCATGCCTGGCTCCCCCTTCTTAGCTTCACCGCAGCCTTGCAAACTCCTTTGGGCTGGGAGAGCATCCAGTGAGCAGGATTGGAACCCAGACCCGCACAGTCTCAGTCGCTGCCGTCCGCCCCCCGTGGTCCTCAGTGCCCGCTAGGTTTACTTGAGAAGACACCAGACCAGGAGGTAAGCGCTCCGGTCTGGGTTCGGGGGACTGGCTGGGTTGGAGGAACTGAGCTTACCACTGTTTCGTTTTCGTTCTCTCTTGAGGATAGATGACCGGCAGTTTCGGTGCCGTTTCTGCAGCTTAAGGGACGGAAGCCGCAGTGCAGGGACATCAAGGGGGCTGGCCATGCATTTGCCCCACCCCTGGGGTGCAGCTCTGCCACCCAAGCCTGCCCTTCCCACCTGGTGACCTCCAGATGTCACAGACTGCGACTTCTAGCATTCCTAATAGCCGTCCGTGCTGCCTGAGGCTGATGGGAGCTGGAGTCCCACAGACCCAGAAGGTGTGAGGTTGGGAAGGGCTGATTGCGCCTCTCGCACCAAAGGAGGGTCCCGAAATCCTTCTCGGGGGTCCCTGGGCTTCCAGCTGGGCCTATTTCTTGGGAGCGCCTCGGACCTGGAGGGAAGGGCTGGGCAAACGGAGCGATGGCGGTGAGATCCGGGGAGCAGCGATGCCACTTACCCAGCGGGCTGCCTTCCGGTCCCTTGTACCCTGCAGGCTCTGCAGCGGAGGCAGCCATGCCAACGAGGGTGGGGGTCTGCTACCCGCCGTGCCACGGAGCCGGGCTCTTCCTTCCTCCTCGGGAACTGGCCCGGAGGCCACGTGCAGGGGAGGCGGCCGCAGCCGCGCTCTTGCCGGCTCTTCAGGAGCAGCTGGACCTGCTGCCGGGGAAGCCCTTCGGCACAAGGCAGCCTCTCCTCGGGGCAGGTCCGGCGCCCTGAGCCAGCAGGCGGCTGTCCCGCAGACGGCAAAGCCTCCGGCTCTTCTCGGGAGCCTCCGGGCCCTCGGGGCATATGTGCGTGTGTGTGCGCGGGCGAGGCCTGTGTGTGTGAGGCCCTTCTTGTCGGAGGGAGATTAGCCTTTAACGCTGCGTAAGCAGATGCTCGCGGTCATCCTCTTAATCTTTAGTCTTTCCAAAGGTGGAACCACCGGCCGCACGAGGGAGCGAGGTGCTGGAGACCCGTCCGTGAGCCCCGGACGGTGCCAGAACGCTGTAACCAGACGCCGCGTGTGACACTGAATCTGTCGGCACCGTTTCTGTCGGTGGCCGCCGAGCAAAGCTGCTGCCGTGCCACGCTCTGTGGGCACCTCTGCCCCTCCTGGGAGGCGTTTGCACCCCGTTTGTTCGGCCATCAGCTGACAGGCCGGAGCGGACGCCTGGCTGCATCCTCTAGGCATTTGATCCGCCGTGGCCCTGACCCCCGACACGGTCCACTTTTGCCCCTGCCCTGGGATCTGATCGGAAAGACACCCCCCCTCCGCCGGACCTACATGGGCGACCTGCTGACCAGGCTGAATATCAGGCCGGTGAGCAACTGCCTCTGGGACGAGGTCCTCCATTATTGAAGGCAGGGAAGGGGAAGCAAGAAGGGGCATGCCAAGGAAACCATGCGGGGCTTCAGGGGCGGGGAGAGAGGCCTCCAGATGCATTCCTGAGCTACCCAGACACTGCAGGCCCCCAGGCAAAACCCTCAGCCAGCCCCCTCTGCCCATGCCGCCCCCGTCTCTTCCTCATGGTCGCCCCCACTTCTGCTTCCCCTCCTCATCACGGCTCCCACTTGCTGCCGGCCAGAGAGAGAGCGCCGGCCAGCAGCAGGCGGGGGATCCCTGCTCCCCTTCCCGGCTCCACCGTGGTCTGAGCCAGAGGGGGGGGCAGGCAGGAAGGGAAAGGGCGGGTCGCCCCAGTCCAGAATGCACCTTCTCAGTCTAGGCAGGAGCTTGGCCGGCTGGGGGCAACCATGGCTTCTTTTTCCCACCCCGCAGCTGATTTCCATACTTGGAGGAAATTGCGTGGCCTGCAGCTTCCTGCATTGTCCAGACCCAGCAAGATGCCTGGCAGGCAGTGGCTCTGGAATCGCCCAGAACCCGCCACGAGCCGTTCTCCCCTCCGCCTGTGCTTGCCAGCTGGGGACACGGCCCTGGTGCCCGTCCCCGTGTGGGGCGCAAAAGATGCAGGGCAAGGAGCGAGACGGGGGGGGGGCGAGGGACGGCCCCCTTGGCCGGCGCTTGTGGAGACGCTGCTGCAGCCAGTCGTCTTTCAGTGGCTGTTCTCTGCAATCTGCCAACTAATCCATTTACTCGGTGTAAGCGGTGGGGGGGCACGGGGGGGGGGCAAAGGAGAACAGAGCAGGCGGTGGGGAGTCTGCTAGTTTAACAAAATCAATTAGCCCAGGATTGAGACAGCAGCTCTGAGTCAGTCAATCCCCTGTGCCCAGTCAAGAGACCAGATGGTGATGGTCATCCATTAACGGCAAGGTCATAATTAGTCTGCAGCCCTGATCTCTCCCCCCACCCCCACCGCTCAGTGAGGTAACCGGAGTCCCCTGGTCACCCACCCCTCTGGAGCGTTTAGATCGGTGCCAAACGGTTGTCTCGGTCACCCATTTCAGTCTCTTTTCCTTTCAGCCAAGCCATGAGCCATTTGGGTCAGGGGTCCGGCTTGCTGGAGAGATGCGATAGAAGGGCATGGCTGGTGCAAGGAAACGAGGCTGCCCATCCTCTCTCTCAAAGTCCGTTCTGTCGCGAAACCCCGAGGCTTCCGATCAAGGCAAGTACACCCCGTTGGAAGGGGATGCCTCCAGATGGACGGGTTGTTCCTAGCATTCCTCTTTCGCAGGCACCCTGCAGCTCTTCCAACCTTCCCCACCCCATAGCTGGGGTGCTAAGGAAAAAGAAGATGGGAGAACAGGAGGGGTACAGCAGCCAGGTGTCATCTGGGACACACAGTACACCCACCAGTCAAGTTCTGAGAATGAAGCACAGTGAGTGCATCATAAACACCATGTCCAAATTTGGGGAGCACCTGGGCTCAAGCGTCATGAGAAGGGCCTGATTCTATGCAGTTTAGGCAGGAGAAAGGACGACTGCTCCCAGCCCACGCCAGCCAGGCTCAGGCCTTTCTCCTGTCTCAACTGGCGTAGAACTGCATGTTAAATGATCTTGCAGTCGCAGACTCGGGAGTTGCTGGCTTCCCTGGAGAAGGGGTGGGGCCATGGGACAAGGACGGGGATCCGGGGAGCCAGAGGGTCCAGAGTTCGCCCACGGGTGTGACATTCAGCACCTCCGGTCAAAGCCCGGCAAT